CTTCCATCCTTCCGCGCGGAGTTCATTTGTTCTCCATGGAGTACTAGAGCCTGCTCGTGATCCGATTCCTCATCCAATTGCTGTTCTGCCCAGTTCGCGAGCGTGTCCAGGGCGGAGGTGGTGGTGGTGGTGGGTTTGGTGCTTCTACCTCCCTGATGGTGTTGTCGTGCTTGCGTCGCCGAATTCATCTCATCGGTGCGGTTATTTCTCGTCGAGGAAAGATCATCCCCATTTTTAGTACCATGAAGATCGTCGAATAACGCCTCTTCCACAGCGTATTTCGTTAAATCAAAGGCCACGAATTTCTGGGTTGTTGGTAGCTCCTCATTCGCAAGAATCTGGACGTCAGATGATGAGTCACCTGGCGACTTTGTCGATATTAATCCGCTCATCTCGCTGACTGGAGGTGCTTGAACTTGAGAATCGGAGACGTTCTTATCACCAGTTGCCGAATAAGCAAGTTCATTTGGAGCACCTCCTACCGACGTTGTAGCTTCAAGATTGCAGCTGCCTTCTTTCACAGCTTCTTTTCTACCTTCCCCTGCACCTCCTGGTGCAGCCAGTAGCACGCTTTTCAGTCCCCAAACGGAGCTCAGGATCGTGGAGGTAACAGATGATGGTGGTTGTGCTTCTGTCGGGGCCGCTCCGCTAGTATTTGATGCGCCAACCTGTTTGTGCTTCGCTTTCGCACGAGAAGTAGGCACAACGCCACCAGACCCCTCCGCGACGACGTGTTTGACAGCGTCGGCCTGAAGATCGGTCTTTTCCGACGCGTGCTGTTCTTCTCCTGCTTTAGGTTCTTTCTCATTGGGCCTGTCTACCGCAATGGCGTCGCCAGCCCCTGCGCCAACTCCAACTGCAATATGTCCATCTGCAACCTCTTCCACAGGCGTATGATTCGGTATCGTAGAAGCAGGGGAGTACACCGCCTCAATGTCACTCAGGCTGCTATCCGGGTGATGGTTGCTGCAATTGCTGGTGTTTGCAAGATCGGCCTGCGCCAAGACGTTCTGGTTCACCTTTTGTCCAGCACTACTTTTCTTGTTGGTACAGCTGAGCACATCTTCATGGATCATGACCTTCGCAAACAATTTTGTCACCGCTTCTTCCGCCAGGGTCATCACGTCGTCCCGTCCTCCCACGGAGAGAAGAGGATCATCTGTTTCATGTCCCTCAACTTCTTCACCTCCCCCGCAGCTCTCGGTCCGCGGCTTCCGGAGATACTGCTTCGTAATCCGCATAGGCGTAGTAGTGGCTTCGTCGTCCGTTTCGTCGTGGTGCGACAGAGTTTGTGCTGGCACAGCTGCTGCCCCAGCAAGGTCGACAGCTTCACGTCCATAACCTTCCTTTTCTGTGCGTGTCGCGGTTTCTTGGCCGTCCTGCAGCTCTGCTAGAGCGTGCTCGTTCTTTTGCAGGCTGCGAGCCTTCCCATCCCCGCGCCCACCGGCGTTGTCCGCGAGGAAAGATTCTTTGCTTTTTACTAATTTTGCGTTCATATCGACCGGACCCGGCTCGTGTTCGTCTCCCGTTTGATTTCTGCCTTCAAGATGTTGATGTTCCTCCTGGTCGTTGCCCCCTTCGGCTAGTACTTCGCCCCCAAACATCTTCTTTGTTGCGTTTTTCACTTCTAGCAGCAGCCTATCGTGAATCCGGACGCCCGGTTTGCTCAACCGCAAGTACTGAAACACCGCGTCCGGCAGCAAGTCTTCGCGCGCAATTTCCGGTCGCGGGCCGCCGGAGAGCTCCAAATTTGTCTCCATCATGTACTTCAGGGTTTTGGCCAGATCACCACACACCTCCGCGCACAAGTTTTTCTCCAGGTCAAAAATCCTCTGGTTCGCCTTCGCCACCCGTTCATTGCACTCCGTCTGCGCCTCCAAGATTCGTTTCGCTAGGAACTCCTCCTCGTGCTTTCGTTGTTCCTCCGTCGCCTTTAAAAACCGTTCCTCCAGCAGCTTTTTCTGGCTCGCGAGCTCCTCGGACTGCCGAAGAGCGTTGTGCTGCGTATCCTGTGCAAAAGAAGTATCGTGCCCGTACTTCTAAATCGCAATCATGCAAGACACGAACAAGTCTCAAGCTAAATCTGCTTCACAAATTCGGTCTGTCAATGTCATGTTGAGCTGCTAGTAAAATAATTTGCTATTGCGCTTACTACTAGCACGACGCCACCACTTTTGCAACTTCATACTGCAGGTGGTGCAGCGATTTTTCGTTCTCCAGCGTCTTTTCCTCGAGCAAATCCGCATGCTGTTCCAAAAGTGCCGCCTTTTCCTCTTCAAATTTCTTCTCCAGCACTTTGACTTCCTCTCGCTTCATTTGCTGCACTTGAATCAGCTCCTCTTCGGCTTCGTCGAGCTTTTCCCGTAACACCTCCTGCTCCTGCGACCACTTCTCCTTCTCAAACAGTACCACTTCCGTGTGACTCGCTTCCAGGTCCGCCAGCTTCTTTTCGTGCAGTTCCGTCAAGTTTTCGATTTCTTTTCGCACCCGGTTTTCCAACTTCTCCACTTCCTCTTTGTGCTCTTCTTTCACCAATGTCAGCTCCTGCTCAAACTCTTCCTTCGCGGTGACGAGCACGACTTCTTGTTGGTCCAATTTCGCTTGATGTTCCGCATGTTTTTCCTGCATTTTTTCTTCAAATTTTTTCTGTACCTGTTCGATCTCTTCATGGTGTTTTACTTCTAGATCAGCTTTCTCCTGTTTATTCCGCTCCTCGAACTCCCTCAGCCTCGTGGAGAACTCCTCCGCCTGTCGCTGCACTTCCTGCTGCATGTTCTGCATTCGCTGGTCGTGTTCCGACACCGTCTCCTGCCTTTTTTCCTCCAACAACGCCACCTGCGCCGCCGCCCCCTCGGCGTGCTTGTTCGCGTCGTGCCAGGCGTTCTCGATGCACTCGCGCGCGCCGGTCTCGAGAAGCCGGATCCGGGCCTCGGATTCCTCCTTGTACTGCCGGTTTTTATCTTTTTCCTCCTGCAGCTCCTGTTCCAGCGTTTTCACCCTTTCCTCGCACTGCTCCTCGATCTGCTTGATCTGCTCCTGCGCCGTTTGCTGGATGCGCTCGCAGGCCTCGTCGGCGGTCCGCACCCGATCCTGGTCTTCCCGTAAAACTTCCACGGCTTTGCGCAGACAGGAATTCTGGATAAGTAATTGTCAAAATGCCGAAAATTCAACATCGTCTCATGGTCGTGTCTTTACCTTTACCTGTAGTCGATCACGCTAAAGGAAATAAATGAAATTGAACTTCTATGCCATGATGCGAATACACCATAGCTGGACGCACGGGACAAAAAATCACGCTACCTCTTCCTCCGACACTTCCATTTCTTTTTCCAGCTTCTCCAGTTTCTCATGCGTCTCGGCGATATACATTTCAAAAATGTCTGGGTCTGGAGACTGATGTTGCTGATACAGCCTGGATTGTTCCAGTAGACATAATTCGTTCTTAACATTACAAAAAATATAAAACTGGCATCGATCCGCCGCGAGCGCGACAAAAAAAATAAAAAGCTGGCCAAGGCCAATCGTATTGGTATTCATGCATTGCGGATCTTTTTGTCCTTCAGATCTTGCATCACAAATCAAAACCCAAGGACCATATTTGTAACGCATAGGCAAGGGCCTGCTCCAACTCCTCCACCGGAATCTCTTCCGCGTTCTATGAATTACAAAAGCATCGCGATCGCACTAGTAGCAGCGGTTGCATGTCAAATGTTCTCAGCCAGACATCAAATCCGATTTGTCATGGCGATGTAGCTTAGAAAAAAGATTTGTCATACTCCTACATGCATAGCTGCATTTAGAAGTACGAGTGCGAGACTTTTGCACAGTAGATACGTGCTTGTACCGGGTCATTCGGTTCTTCCACTTGCCCAAGCAAATCTTGAGCAAAAACTGGTGAAACTCCGCCTCCACCGCCTCGCATTTCTTCGCTTTCTTTGCATTGCCATCGGCCTCCTCGCGCAGCTCGACACAGCGTTGCACGCGCTCGTCGTATTGGCGACGAAGGTTTTGAAGATTTTGCTCCATCTGCGAATAGGTCACGACCATGGAAGTGGAGGAAGAGGTTACGCATGTAGTACCAGCAGCTCCAGATGTTGTAGACGCGCAACCGAAAATCATGCCGCCTGAAGATGATGGCATCGTTGCTGGTCCTCCCTGATTCTTCAATATTTCCGCCGCGCTATCAATGCCGCACGTAGTTTTCCCCCGACGAGATGAAAACTTGGTGGCACCAGCAGCCGCACGTGAAGAAGCCAGCACCTCCATCTTCGAGGAGGTCGTCGTTGGGCCGACGTTCCTGAAGATCATCTTGTCCTTCTGCATTTGGATTCTTGCGGCCAGAATCTCTTCGTCGGTCTTGCCGCGGGTGGTGTCCCCGCCGATGTTGGTGCAGTTGCTAGGGCCGCGATAGGGTGTACTAGCAGGTGGTCTTCGGGTACCATCATCCTCGCCATCTTCTTCCTCTGAGGAATTTTCCGGCGTGGACCGGTCGGAAATGTCGCAACGGTCCGTGATAATCCCCTTGGTCGTGGTGGTGGTCCTTTTGACCGTAGTTGCACTTGGCAAACTAGAAGTAGTAGGACAACTTCGGCCAGCTGCACGAATCCGCCCGCGAGGTTGCTCAAACATCCTGAAAGGGTGCGTCAACACGAGAAACACGCACGAAGGGAAGAAAAACTGGAGAATTACTTTCAGGAGTTGCTACTACAGGAGAAAAGTGCGGCGCGGAAAAGACATTAGCATTACCGATACCGGCATTGCTTGCTTTCATGTGAAGAAAACTTCTTCTACCCGCTCTTCAAAAATTGGTCACCAAGCAGTTCTCTGCTACACTCACATTAAGAGAACGTGTGGGTTTGCGCCTCCTCGTTATTTCGCTCAAATGTCAATGTCATTCTGGCTCCGCATTGTTGTGTCTCTAGTACCTGGTGAGCACTGAACAGGAGAAAGCCCTCACGGTACTCGACCAGGGAAAATAATCCGGAAGTGCATTAAGAGTACACCTCTGGGTCGAAGCGTGAAACTTCTCGTTGTCGAGTGAGACAATGATAAATCTAGATCTCCTTGATTATCCTAAAAATAAATATGAGTCTAAATCTGGTCGAAGTTAGTAGCAATCCAGGCAAACGACCACTCGACAGTCTGTCAAACATTTCTGTCTCCTTCGTAAAAACTTCGCCTTCGAGACAACATCTTCCAAACCTTGCTTCTCACATGGACACCGTGCCGCGCCGCGTTTGGTTTATTTGATACACGCAAGCACGATGATGGCCAGTTCGGGTAGTTCTACCGGATTCTCGCAGCACCGCCCATAGTGAGATGAAAATATAACGATCGCTGGTAGTCCTAGTCTATTACTTGGCTAAGTATACATTGTATTCACAGAGGTTGTAATTCAAACTGGGATTCTGTTCTCGAAACCAAAAACGCCGCAAAAAGGTTCACTTCAGAAATTATTGCTCTTAAAATTACTACTTAGAAAATCGCCATTGTGCAGTGCTTCTGCTGCGGATTTGTCGTGGTGAAAGAAAACTGCCTCCTTCGACCCGTTGCAGATGCTGGTGAGCGCCAGCACACATCGCAGCTTTTGGTTTTGCCGTGCGACTTGTCGCGCGGCGGAAAATTGAATTCCTTTCCGGAGATAGGATTCAGAAGTTCGGGAGTTTCTCCGACTCGGGCAGCGTGTGTGCTGTGTTGATGATTTTTGCATGCAAAATTTTACGTCATTCTGTCACTTTTCATCCCGTTGCCGTGTCGTCTCTTTCTGCAGCCTACCCGTTACATCTCACCAAGAAAAAGAACGTGAACAATGTCGTTCTGAAAATACAAATCAATAGTAAAGTTGAAGTTAGTGTACGAAACAAAACAGATCAAATTAGGTACATCCCTCCCGCAGCACCTCTCCCTGGCCGAAGAACCCGATCGCATCGGGCGGCGGGAGAGCTTCCTCGGTGTCTACTTTCATCTTAGGGTTGTTGTTCTTACTTTTCTTCGCTTTTTTGTCTTTCTCCATAATTGCTCGTCCCATCATGTCGACCATACCACCGCCCCCGTCCGCGATCTTCGCCGCATCCCGGGCCTCCTTTTGCTTCTGTCGTGCGATGGCCAGCGCCTCTGCGCGCTTCTTCTTCGTCTCCATTTTTTTGTCCTTCTTGGCCTTTCGCCCCTCCTGGAGCTTCTTCTTCTGCTCCTCGGTCATTTTCTCGCCCTTCCGCGGCATGGTCGCGTTTTCTGTTCTTGACACAACTGTTACTCAACAAAAAATCCCGGATTGCGAGAAAGTTTAGACATGTAATACGTGTTCGCTGTTAACTCAAGAGACCCTCCAGTTTTTCTAAAATACTTTTTTGTCAAGACAACTCCGTCTGCCAAGATTTTCGCAGCACATTGAGGTTGCCGGCACCATATGCACGAGAAAGTGAAAGGCACTACACACCACCGATTCATAAAGTGACGCCGACGCTCTCAATGGTTCTGTATCCAATGGTGCATTCTTAGGGTAAGAACTTGAACTGAGGTATAAGACGAAAGGAGAGCGAGTCGTTCTCCTTTCGAGGGAGTGGCGGTGCACTGATCCGTTATTTCACAAAGACCCGATCTTTCGTGAGCGTAAATGAGGAAAATGGAGCAAATACACGGTTCCACATAACTGGAATGCGGTTTGAAAGCAACGGTGCTGCTGCTTGCTTGCCGAACACCAAGAAAAAGGAAGAACCAACACCAGCGGAGTTGCCACTTCGTATGTCGTGGGCTCCTGATGCCGCTCCCGTCGCCAGGAGCAGGAGTACAGCGTGCTAAATGAAAATCGTGCAGACGAGATACTTGTGGAGTTTTTTCGTTTCAAGCAAACGCGAGCGCAACTATTTTTTTTTTCTGGTAATAATGCAATCTGTTTACACCCCAGAGTGTAAGCAAATTCATGCTGGTAAAGGCAACAAGTGTTGGGCAGCATTTCATTCTAGTCGTCGAGTGCATCTAGTACTTGGTGTCGCGGTATCGAGAAACGACTAACGTCAACTCCGACTTTCGTTTCCCGTCGCCTTCGCCACGAGCAGCCGCGCGCGGCGGTATGAAGCTAGTAGGTACTGGCATATCGATAGAGAAACTGCAACTACACATATTTGCTCATTACTGGCGACGTAGAATCAAGTTTTTAATCTATTGGTATTGGATTTAGACTCGTTGGAATATAATTGGCTACTTCTAGGTCGCGATGGATCAGGAGCAGGATTATTTAGAATCATCGGTATATTAGTGGCTACTTCTAGTAGAGACCGAGCGGTTGGTACAACTATGTACAGCTACAGGAACGTGTAGTTGGCGTGCTATATTAGTAGAGAAAATCCTATTCAGGTTTGCTTCTTCACGCATCATGTGTATTTCTTTGTTAAGGAGCTGCACAGGCAATATCTAGTACGGACACGGCGTGTATCAAGCTGAGCAATGGAAAATGCAAGGCAGGCAGTGCTGGTAGGGCGTATATCGAAAAAGTCAATCTTAATTCAAAAACAAAAAGATAAAGAATAGGACCCATCGTTTTGTCTCTCATGAGTGTCATGGAGCAGTCAATCAAACCTCTCACCGTGAAGCTACTTAATACTTATCAAATCTAGGTTATCTTCGATCTTGCCGCCACGCCAACAGGAGCTTCCTTTGCTTGAATAAAACGGAGGCTCCCACTTTGCGGCACGAATAAATGCGCACGAGCTGCAAACGATGCAAATGCATATGGAAAATCTATAAACGGTTGTTATTTTTTGAATTCGCGTGTTTGGTGTGGTTAGCTTTTTTATGTGTCCCCTTCCTCGTCTTCGACCTCAGAGGAGGACTTCTTCCTATCGTTACCTTGTGCACCTGCGGACGAACTCTGGTCCTCGCATGATTGATCGTGCTCCGACATCTTGTTCCCTGCTATTTGTTCCGGCGAGGTCCGATTTGCAGCAGTGGGGCTCCTACCAGAACGCTGTTCTGGTCCTGGTGCTGCATCCGCACCGGTAGCTGCCCTTGGGTTCTTTCCACTACTAGAACCCTCCGACCGCCGATTTCCTCGGTTTACCTTCCGCGTGATTCGCGACGTGGCTGCGATGCGATCGAGCACTCCTTTCATGTCTTCGGGCAGAACAGGTGGCTTTGCTGGTGGAAGTTTTTTAGTATTGGCTTTATTTTTACCCTGCTCCAATTCTGCATTGGCTTCTGCTTCTGTAGCAGCCCGTGCCTTGCCCAACATCTCGTCTCGGTTCACCGCAGGCAATGCCCAACAGGCCTCGAGGTAAGCACGCTGTGATAGACGCGATTTTTGACTTTGACATGTGCATTTGCACTTCCTTGTTTCCAGTTTGAATGAGAATGTTGAAGCACCTGGACTAGTGCTATGAGAGAAGATCATGATCATCTTTATCGGACACAGAAAACTTCAGGTTGGAAAATCCGAAAGCAAAACTCTAACAGCGACCAGCACTACCATCCAGTCGTCTCTTCCTTCACGAAACACATTTTGCGCTTTGTGTTGTCTACTACATGTAGCGAACTTAATCCAGAAATAAGTCCAGAAAAATTGGTACATGTTCCTGCAGTTCCATTTGCTCTTTCTCCGCATGGCTCCGCGCCCACACCAACACCCGCTTTTCCACGCAGTTTGCCCAATCTTCCTGAAACAGCAGCTCGATCTCCTTGACCAAAAATTCCAGCTCCGGATCCCGGTGCGTGTCGAGTGGGCACACAATCCAGTAGGTAAACAGCTCGTCCAGTGCCTCGCGCCCCGCGGTGGTGTCGAGAAGGACTTTTGACAAACTGGGCAACAGGGGCGACTCTTCTTGACGTAGTTCTTCGTCCCCTCTGTCGGTCTTTTCGTAGTTACCAGAAAAATCATCTTCAAAAAACCCAGACGCGTTAGTACCGAAATGAGCAAAATGGCCCAGCAGATCGTCCTCGTGATCACGACCTTTACTTCCCACAGCGCCGCTGGCAGAATCGCCGCCCGCGTCGCCACTCAACGCTTCCTGCTCTCCTGGAGTGAGGTTCAAGTTTACAGTTCGTTCGGCATTGCTTCGACTGTCTTGATGTCTCATCTCGTTGTAATTCTTGCTCTTGGCCCGGTCAGCATTTTCATTATTTTTCCGATCATTTTTGGCGTTCTTATGGCTCCGGCTGCGGTGGCCACGGCCGAACAGCCAACCACCTCCACCGTCATCGGAGGAGGACTCAGCATCATCTTCTGCACGACCTCTTTCTTCAGGACTGGAAAGAACATCATCATGATCTTGATCAGGCAGCTTAGTATCTGTCCCAGCTCGACGTCTCACGCGCCCCTCACGAGCTGCTCTTTCTGGTTTATGACTCTTAGGATTTTGAAAATAAAAACCAGAAGCACGTCTCGTGCCGGTCGTGTGCCAGTCGATTCGGGATGCGATGGAATCTTGATCATCTTCCGAAGAAGGAGCATTATCCATTCGCCTAGAAGTATCGGAGGTGCTTCTAGAAGTAGTACCTTCAACATCCTTGCCGCCAGCATCCTCGCCGCTTCCAGGAGGTGTTGGAGAAGCACTCGCGCTCGAAGATGACGATGAATTTTTGTTGAAATAATTCCGCGGAGGTCCTGAAGCACCAGGCAAATCAGAATCACTTCCAGGAAAAAACCCATCGTCTATGTTGCCATCACGCTCTTGTTCCAAATCATGAACATCTTCGAAGAACTCTGGGTCGGCCAGCGGAAGCCGGTCCTTCCCGCGACGGCGCGCCGCGTCGTCGAGAGAGGGATCCTTGGAATTGGGTGACACTACGGAGGACGCGGAAGATCCTGCTGTTGATAATGATCCCGCGGAGGTCGGACTCGAAGCGTTTTTCACTGTCATATCTCGCGCATCGTCAGCTGCGTCAGAGGAAACACCCATCGTCGACGCATTTTTCATATCGGCAGTTTTATGATCCAGCCGCAGTTGCTCTAGTTTCCATCGGACCTCCTCGAGTTTCCACTGCGCCGCCAACAGCTGCGCGTCGTGTTGCGCTTTCCGGGTCAGCATGTAGCGGAATACCCTTTTCAGGCCTTTCAGTTTCGAGTTGCTCCGCCAAAAGTGTGTGCGGTCGTAGTTGCCGTCTTTGCCCGGACGGAAAAGGTCGTCGTGGCCTGCTCCATTTTTATTCCCATTCCCGGCGCGCAGCTGCGTTCTTGGCTGTGTCGCCACAACTGCACTGCGATGTCGGCGATCATAGTGCTTTAGCACCGAATTTCGTTGTACCGAGGCTCCGCTTTTGAGCCATGTTAGTGCCCCGCCGTTATTCTTGCGATTAGTTGCGGAAAGAATCGGCGCTGTCGGCGTAGACAGAAAACTGCGACAAGGACCTGGCTGAAGCGTAGTGCTGCCTGGCCTTTGATGAATGCCAGCCTGGACGAGTGGTCGCCCTTGCAAAATTCCGAGTGCTGCTCCGGCACTGAGTAGGGCGCCTCTGACGCGGGCTGCCGTCGATTTTTTCTGCTGCTTCCTGCCACGCCGCATCGGAAGCATTCCCTGCACACGTGTTGCTGGTGCTGAAAGCGCGATGCCGGCAACTGGGTTCTCAGTTGTTCGCTCAAACTCTGTCTCCATTGGCCGCGACCGCGCCACGGTCTCGCAGTCACTTGTCTGACACCCCACGGCTCGGCTTCTCGCGACATCTAAATGCGCCGAGCTCCAAAGTAGGACTGCTAACAGAAACGGCACTCTCACCGATCGGGCCACCATGACGCCCGGATTCTGTACTGCTGTTCTTCGGTGGTGGCACCGGACGATGGGCATGATTGTCGGTCACGGTACCGAAAGGAAAAGGAAGATGAAACTACACACTTAATTCTGGATGTTACGCAGAGTTAGATGCAGATGAAAAACCACTCGCGCTGAGCCTACAGGGAACTAGGTACGTATGTTTCCTTGTCGTTCGCAATTACTCACTCACCTTCTTCTGCACAAAAATGCTATGGTTTGTACTGGATTTCCATTTCATGCGGAGGTTTTTGACACGGAGACGGACACACACTTTGAAGATTGATACCCCCAACACTGTTGAAAGGTGCTGAACTCCTTTAAGATCAAGATGTTAATTCCTGACGAGCCTTGTTCTATTTGGAAATGTGGAAAAGCTCAATTGATGGCCTTGCCGCTGTCTGCAGACGACGGCAAACCATCGTCCTCAGAGAAGTTCTTCGGCCGCAATAGGCAACGCGGATATTTCGATCAGAAAGTAACAGCTCCATTTGTTCAAATTGCTACACCACTGACGTCGTTCGAACCAAAGAATGGTAATGGAGCGACGTAGTCAAAATGGGCGTTTGTTCGACGAGCGCTCATCTGCAATTTCAAATCGACTTTCACACGGAAAAAACGCGTTATTTCTGCATTTTCTTCATTCCTCTGAAGAACCACACGACGACAAGAACTTAGCACTATGTGCCACAATGCGAATTGGGTGGATAAAACAGGAAAAATACATCGAAGCGGCCATTTAAAGAATTAGATCTAGCAGATCACTGTGTGTCAAAGAATTTGCCAAAGCAGCATTCACAACACCGAGGCTTCGAGCCGCGACGAGAAACCTCTGCCAAGAACGGGAAAGTCACAAACCTCTCGGGGAAAAAAGTGCAAGATCCCATCATTGCAATATCACATGGCACGAGCAGGGTTCGCTTCATCCCACCAACAAACGCTCGACTATGGCAGAACACTGTCTGAATAAACTCTCCTCCTTAACGTCCCTGCTGTGCGGGATCCTTCACGCGCACTGCCAGACACCCGGTGTCTCTTTCTTATTCAACTCCAACGAAGTAAAAACTTTCAACAATTGGTGTTCGATTTTCGTTGTAGCGTTCTACTTCACAGCATGAGGAATAAAGACTATCTATCACCTCTGCTGTCTCTCAACATCTGCTCTGCGATTTGGATTCTTCAGTGCGTAGAAGTGAAGACCACATGTAGGGAAGATGAATCATCAAATTCACCGCATAAGCTTCACGTCTCTCTTGCAAAAATCCACGAAAGCGTTACTAGCTGAGAGGTAGTCGCTCCTCTGGAAAATCCGATTCTGATCCTCCCATCAACAGAGAGACCAAAAGGTCGTCCACTTAGGCGTTGAGGAGAGCGGAGGCGGTCTCAGCGCGGTACTTCCAGGCGGCCGGCAGGGCCTTGACACGACGGTAGTAGCGGGCCAAGCGGTGGATGCGGGACTCGTTGAGGATCAAGCGGAACTTGGAATCCTTATCCTTGTTGGCGCGCTCCAAGTGCTTGCGGATGGAGATGGCCTTCTTAATCAGGTGGTGCAAATCCTCCGGGACCTGTTGTTATTCGAGCAGAAAGATGAAGATTCGTGCTGGTGTACTTCTGCTAACACTCATATCTATTACGCTGGTGACGTTACGAGAGTGCTGTGTGTGTCTTCATCTGACGTGCTTTAATACCACATTCGCTCCTCTTCTTGTGCCTCTCTCTACCCTCTTTCTCGCTCATTCACATGTTACGCAGCACGTTTCGCGACCAAAGTCGTCCATGACCGCGCGGTGAGGGGTACTTGCAGATTAGACTATCGCTGACTGAAATCTAAAACGCGATGAATTGAAAATTTCCCCGTCACGAGAGATAATAGAGAAAGTCCACGAAATCTATCTACTGAAATCTCAAATGGAAAAAAGAAGAAAGAAATCACACGCAAATAAATCTTTTTTATCAATAAACGCTTAGTACCGTCGGGGCCAACTGGCGCTTCTTGAGGATGCGCAGGATCTTCTGTCCGGTGACGCTCTTAACCTGCGGGATCCCGAAGGAGTCACGCAGGGTGACACCGATCTGGGAGGGGGTCAGACCCTTCTTGGCCAACTTGCAGATGTGGTCCTCCACCTCGGTATCCTTCATCTTCAGCCACGTTGGGGCGCGGCGGCGGTACGGCATGGCACTGCTGGAGATACCCTTTCCGCGTCCGTACATGCGACCCATTTTGTCGAGTTTTGTTTTTGTTGAGAAGTTTTACTTCGGGGAGTTTTAGAGGAACTAATGTCCTACTTCTTCGTTGGTCCCTGTGAGGAGAAAATTGGAGAGAGGAGAGATTTAGAGAAATGGAACAAGAAGATTTCCAAGATTTACTCTTTAGTTAGATCTAAATCGCGGTTTCAGGAGTGGTGCCTTTGGATCATTGAATTTAGATTTTCCGAACAAGATCGTCATTCGCTAGAGAAATCTTTTCCAGATCAGTCGATAGTAGACCACGCAGCAGGCATCTCCACTTTGCGTTCTATGGATCTAAATTTAGACTTGGATCGCGTTTCAAAAGGCTGTTCAGGACCATGGATAGAAATGCGGATTTTGATCCTCCAATTTTGAATTGAGTTTTAGGGCGTCGTGAAGTTACATAACTGCCAATCAAGTTGAAGTCGGTTCTTTTTGTTCTCTTACAAATAGAAATTCCGCATCCAAACAGAGTACTCTTTTGCAACACCTGCTGATGATCCTTGATCATCTTCACGTCAATTCAGATTTAGAATTTGGCACTTTCCAGAGCTCTCCTAGACAGATCTTGATACTTCCAGGGATCACGGTGGTGCAGGTGATTCTGTCCGATTTCAATCATTGTTCAGTTCTGATCGATTTGAATTTAGAGCAGAACTCTGAAATTCTGCAGCACGGATACAGAACGAAATCAAGTGTATCGGCAATGATTGTTGATTATGTCGAAAAACGCGGCGTTAGATTTAGTTTGCAACAAATTACCTGCTTCGTCTAGTTTTGAATTTTAAAAAAATGATCTTCATCACCGCCACCTACTAGCCATGCGAAGTGGAAGGGCCCGCTTCTTTCACCACACGCATTTAAAACAGATCAAACATGGCTCTGTCTTGCACAGGCGCACTCTGAGCCCCTGGAAGAACCGTGCCTTGCTCCCCTCCCAGCTCTCCGCTCCCACTGGACGACGTCGTGCTTGACGTACTACTGCCGCTAAAGGTTCCGGTGTTTGCAGCCACGCCATCTTTCGCCCTATGCAGATGACCCGTTGCAGCACTAGCGCCTGGTCGTGGCCCCGCCGCGTGCATCTCTTCGTCACTGCTCATTCCGTCCATCCCCCGTCCCATCGACTGAAACCAAATCGCGGCGGTGGCAGCAGAGGTGGCGAATTTCTTCAGCCCCGTTTTACTGGCCTCCCAGGTTGGTTGCAACTGTTCCTGAATCGCCGAGGTCGACGTGGACATATCCTCCGCCACGGACTTAAAATCTTGCTTGATTTCGTGGAGTCCCTCTTGCACCACCGAGCCAGTCTCGGCGAGTCCGGCGCGGACCTAGTTGATGGTAGATTTGTTTCTGAAAGAAAAGTGTCGTCCTCGACGTAATGCAGTGCGCACCTCAGTACGAGGGAATTGTTATCTATGCGCGACCATAAACAGGGTCTTAGAGAAACGACCTGCGACAGAAAATGAAAAGGTACTATCCCTACACGGATCGTTAACCATGACTGCACGTAAAATTTACGTAAGTACCTCGCTCTTCATCCAGTCCTCTTGCACTTTCCCGGCCTGCGCCGAAAGGGTTTTCACGGCGTCTGATTCTTTCACGGCGGAAAAGCTCCAATCGAAGAAAGACTTGGCCGCGAGGGCTCCGGATTTTAGCTTGTCCAGCGGGATGATCTCCGCGAACGGGTCGACGTCAGCATCTTCCTCCACAATCACGTTGTTGGCTGCAGCACCAGATGGTTGTCCTGGCAACGGATCAGCACCTCCAATTCTCGTTCGTGACCCATCAATGGGTCCTGCGGCTATTGAAGTAGGATACGAAGTCGGACCCGAGCTGCCGGCACCACTTAGCAGGTTCGTTATCCTGGTGGTGCGGCTAGCTTCGACAGACGCCACACTTGGTGGTTGCGATGTGATGGAAGGAATGAGCTCTTCATGTCCGCCGCTGCCGACCGGTGCCAAAGAATTCGGAGGGCGCGGAAGGGTCGCAGACGTAGATGAAGTAGTGGACGACAGTAACCCGGTGCTTACGTTGTTCCCAACATTTTTCCCGTCGAGTGGTCCTCCGGCGGGAAGAACAGGCGGGTCACTGGTGCTGTGGTTCAGCATCCTTGTCGCGGCCGCCGAATTTGCTTTTGCGTCGTCCATGCTGTACCAAGAATCGAGCCCGCCATCCAACGCCGGCGACCTACCGTTTTTTTCTCTGTTCCTCTGCTTCTGCTCGTCGTCGCTGTGGACCGGCGTCCCGTCGTCCATCGCGATTGACATCACGGTCGGAGCGGGCAGTTCCAGATCAAGCATTTTTTCCTGTTTTTGCTGCTTCTGCTTGTCCGCCATCCTACGCAACATTTCCGCGTCTTCTTCGGCGCGCGCTCTGTCCGCCTGCGACGGGTCGGCCACATCAGCGCCGCCCAAGAGGTCGTCAAAATCGTCTTCAAGCATTTTTGGTTTCTTAAAATGACTCTTTAGACAAAGAGAAAGAGTGCTGTAGATTGTGATCCTTAATAACAGCACCCTGCTTGCTAGGGCTATCTTCAAAAATTTTTTTCTCACTTCTCAACTTCACGTCACTCTTGCTCTCTTCGTTAAAGTACTACGCAGCGCTGAATGCATTATGGTTATACGTAGAGGTGCCATTTTCAGACACCCTTTCGTTAACTTCTTCTTGTCTCCTTCAACGGAAAGGTACAAGGGCAATAGAAACTCAAGCTGCAAGAAGAAAACAAGAGTATGCGCATGTGGTGACGGTGAGGACTGTGAGGGCAGAGATTGCTGATGAGAGAACAACAGCGTACTTCTTGCACAACATTACTCAACACGTACGTGCTCTTCATTGCATTCTCGTCATCTGCAATTTTTGTATGGTCAATTGGTAGCTCGCGTTTTTTCCCCATGCTGCTTAAGAAACAGCTCGTCCTCTGGTTGAATAAAGATAACGTACCAAACTTCCGGTGCCAGAGTAGCGGACTTTCACGCATGTCCAACTGCAGAAACCTTCCACGGAGGACACGCGTGTATTTACACTTTGTCATCTGGATCGCAGCCCGCTTGCTCCACGTCCACGAACATCCTGTGTGACAACTACTCCCCCTTGCACTTGCTCCTATTTCTCATGCAACATGATCCTCGGCAGTCAACACAGAGATGCAAGAAGAACGGCCTTCTTCTTGGCCTTCACTACTACGATGTAAAAGCTGCAGTTGAAGATGAAAAAACCTGTCGCGGATAGGGATAATAGAACCCGCGATATCAAGTTGTATTCGCAATTACATTCGCCTTCCCACTCTCTAGCGTGGAACTGGAAGCGCAACAAAAGCGAGGCTGGAGTAGTTGTTCTCACGCACGATATAATCGCCATCATCAAGCTCATCGACTTTTAGTTCGGGGACAAACAGGTCGCTCATCAGCGTCGCATTGTCGACGCCACTTTCATCTCGCTCTTGCTCGGAGTAGTTGCCGTGTTTCTGCTCATGTTCGGTTGCAGTGGAAGAAGTGGATGGCTTGCTAGTGTCAGCCTTGTTCAACATCCCCGGATCCCATGCACCCCCCGATGCTGGCGAAGAACGACATGGAGCTGGAGGATTGCGTTTTGAGCTCCTGGTTTTTTCGTAACTTGCCGACCGCTGGCAGTCGTGCTCCGTCTCCACCCGCGGGCCGTTCTTATTACGAACACGACCGCTTACTCCGCCGCAGTCTTCCGGCTCAGCCTGCTGCAAATGAGAGTCCTCCGTGGTAGCTGCGTACAAACCGGTCGCGCCGTAGTTGTTGCACTTGCGCGTTTTATCGGCAAGAACAGGGCTTGCATCATCTCGATCGTAAGTCGTGTCACCACCGCCCGCGCTGCCCACCATGAAAAGCTTGGAGGATCCATGTCCACCTCGTCCCGCCTGCCGCAACGCCCGCTGCTCGTCTGCGGTTTCCAGCCCGTCCAAATCCTCGTCGTCAGCAGGTTCAGATGGGTGCGCGCGTAGGTTGCGCCTGCGAAATACCGAGGGGAGGATCCGTTGTATCGTTGGGACACGTTTAGCATGCGCGACGTGGTGGAATACAAACTGCAATAACCTTGCATGACCACGACTGAATGCAATCCTCTTACGGATGGAGATCCTACGTGAGCTCCTACATGATGAGTAGACCTACCGTGATGTGCAAAACCACAACTCTTTACCAAATTAGCTAAGCTATTTTTGTTTTCAGTTTAACGAGTTCGAATTTTGCAGCGTACTTTTTCCGACACCGACGTGCGCGACACTCTATTCGCAATCCATAGGCCGGAACTGGTCCTTCAGGACCTTTTTGCTGCACCATCCGGACCCCCGAACCCCGCAACACCACACGATCGATAGCACGAGGACCAGGGCGATACTTCCGCAAAAGTGGAACAGGAGGCGCGTAGCTCTTGCGTGGTCCGCGTTGCTGGACGACCAGGTGCGCAAGATGCAGTCCCAGACGTGGCTGGTCGGTTTTTCCGAGGAAACCGTCATGGAGCGGCCCACCTCCTTCTCCACAAAAGTTGTATCGTGGTTGCTGAGCTGGTGTCGCTTTGTTGCAGGACTGCTGAAGATGCAGCTCCACAAATTCGCGAACAGGGTTTGACCTTCTGCACCAGCCAAGTCACCGTGCATCGCAGCAACCTCCGTGAAGCCGCTGGCGCCGGGCTCTGGTCGCACGTCAGTAACGCGCATGGAAGGGGAACTGGTGCTACTGCTACCACGATATCCCGCATGACTTGTACGGGGGTGCGCACTTGTTTGTGGTGGTAGTGAAGCCGTTTGAGTTTCTTTGATCGGGGACACTGGTGACAAACCGCCTACCGCATCAAACTGCACCTCCGCATCCTCAGTCTCGCCGCCAACTGTGCTCGCTGTCCTTGCACTCATTTTGCTCGTCGTTCTTTCGGCCGATGACGAGGCTTTCTGTAGTGCTTGGCCTGAAGCGTGCCCGGACACCAGTTCCGCTTTGGTAGGGGACATTACTTTACCCAAAGCCGCGCCCTCTACTTCATCCGAGTGCTTCGGAGCTCTGGCTGCGCCGCGGTCGCCGCCATGATTTGCATCATTCGACCTGTAATCTGCGGAGCGTGTCGCTCCCGGCTCCACAGATCCCAGTTCGTCTGCCCCTGACGGAAGTTGTTGTGAGTGCGGCAGCGCGGCGACGCTACGGGCGACCGCCGAATTGTCCTTGCTTGGTGTCGGGGTGTGTAGACGAAGCTCCACTAGGGCGGTGCCGCCGGGAGGCAGCTCGCCTGCATCTTTGAAGGGGTGTGGGTCGTTGGAGCTGACCGCGCCTATGCCTTGTCCCGGGGCCGTGGCCTCAGGTCGGGCAGGGCGTGCTGGCTCCTCGCCCGGGCCACTAGTCCCGGCGGAGAACATCTCGCCCCACCCGGTGAACCTTGCCGCCAATCTCTCAGCAACGCTAGGCAATCTCTCCGCAACGCTAGGTTTTTCCGGAACTGCTTCGAAATATTCGGGCGGCCGCAGGCCCAGTACGTACGAACCCCAAACGCCATTCATTGTCGTGTAGTAGTCGCCCATCGTTCCACCAAAGAAACCGCCAAGCACCAAAACGAGCGTCTGGCAGTTCCAACGCACTACGTCGCCGCCCTTTAACTGGTCGAGCTGCAGTTGTTGGCCCTGGTTGTCGTGGTCCTTGGCCTTGCGGGCATTGCCTCCAGCTCCCCCAGCGCCAGCGCTTTCATGTTCAGCAGGTGCGGCACGCTCGCTTGCCAGAGCGGTTTCCCATTCCTGTACGACAGCCTGCGACCACCTCGCCTGTCGTGTCTGAGCCTCATCTTGCTTTGTCGCGCCGCTGCTAGTATCCGCATCCGCGGGTGCTTTTGCAGGTTCAGCTCTATTTCCTTGCGCTGCACCTGCTGGATGTGCATCGGCCCTCTTGCTCGTCTTAATCATGTTGTAAAAATAGGATTCGCGCCCCGCGCGAGTTAGTTCGCCCTCGCCCTTTCCCACGGTATTGTCTGCAATACACTCTCCGCCTGCGGGGTTCGAAGCGCGGCAAGCCTCATTCTGGGCGAAGAAAGGCGGGGGCGGGGCTGGCAAACATGAAGAAGGTGACTACAACGCGTCTATGAATGTATATTTATTGCAACGCAAAATCAAAGCTGCAGCTTGGGTAGGTCGCTGTAGCCGGAGCGAACTGCGAGAATTAGGGGAACGCTTAACCTGTCGCATGGGGTAGTTGAAGATAAGAAGCGGAACGAAAATGGGCCCTAGCGAAAACTGACGCGCCGCGCGAGTTCTGAGCCCCCCACTGCTGCTCTGTATGTTTTGATTGCGCAACGGTCATGCGGCCCCTGCTTGCCCGCTCGCTGCTTTGGATGACACTTTTTTGCGGCATTCTCTGCCTCTGTTGTTCTCATTGGTATCGCCCTGTGTGGCGGCTCATACGCTTGCGCTGCAGTTCGTACATTTTGCCCTCCTGGAGCTACCTCGCAAATTCGTACGCCCCCGCGATGCTGCTGCTTATCAAATCCTCCGCCAGCTCTCTTTTGCATGCGCCCCTGCAGCTGTAGGGCTCTGCCCTTTTATTTTGCCTCGCCCGTCTCAGTCTGATGTCTTTCTACTGGCCCTTTGCTTTCTCTCCGCCCCATCTCCGCTGCGCCCTTGTAGGTTTGGCCAGTTCTCTACCCCTTTACTTTGCTGCTTTCGCCTAAGTCTTTCTCCTACTTCTGCAGCCTTTGCAGCGCTGATGTGCGGATCCCGCGCACCCGCAGGGGGTTTTTTTTTTCCGCCTAGCCAGCGGGCTTGTCTGAGGGGATCGGGCGCGGCAGTGCCGCGGAGGTGCCGCGCTTGTTCATCAGCACCGCTGCGGGGCTTTCGGCGCGACCCTGCGCAGGTTCGTCCCGGCAAGGAACGGCGCTCCTCGGCCCGGGAGGAAAGAAATCAGCTCCAAAAATTTCGCTTTCTTATGCACCCAACAGGCTCGAGGATTCGGCCCCGCCCGGAAGTCAAAGGCGGCACGCTTTCCATTAGGTCCCCGCGGGTCCGGTCTGCTAGTCCAGGCGGTAGAAGCAAAGCCTTTCGCGCCTGGCTTCTACACGAGGCTGGCACCTTGCCTCCTGGCGATGGTCCGACTGCTAGATCTTCCCCGCAACTAGGCGGCGCCGCTTGTGGTTTTCGCAAGGCGGCTCGCACCTCCGTGGAGTCGGAGAGGGGTCTCTGCCGGGCTTCAGCGCCTTCCGTCTGGCCTGGGCTCCTGGTGCTGCGTTCGCCGTTGGAAGTAAAAGAACTAAGAGCAGAAGCCTAGCTGCACTGGCAGCCGACCTTACGCGCACCCTGAAGTGCGGAGCTGGTCGGCCTTTGTGGTGTCCCACTATCAGAAGTGCGAGCCACAAGGGCCGGGGAGTGCCACCTCCTAAAGTTCTAAAACACTCCTACCTACCCATTGGGTCGGTGAGTGTTTATTACATACTACACCGAGCGAGCCTGCTTGGCCTATTTATTATTTTGTATGGATGCCTGGCGCGTATATCTTCTTTTTCCCGGAGGAACGGAAAGAAAGATCCCAAAGGGCTGGGTGTTCTTGCATTGGCGCGCCGGCGATAAAAAGTCGGGCCGCAGGGGGCGTCTGGATTTGTCGCGCCGCGTTCAAAGAGCCGCACAACCCCAGACGCTGCCTTAGAGGGCCGAGAGCGGACGACCGATGTCTTCAAGTCCTCGACGGGACGGAGAGCACGGAAAGCAGATGTAATTGCTACACCATTTGGTAAAAGTCCCCCTCGTAGAACCCCTGCATCTGAATCACCGCAAAGAGCCCATTTAGCTCTCCAGGTGTAAGAAGGAAAGTTGCGGACGCCTCGTTTCCCGTCTTCAAAGAGTCGCCCAGAAGGTGATCAAAAGAGCCTTGTATCCCGTGCATTAAAGTGCGGCGCTTCCGCTTTTATGCAACTCACAGTCTAGCTCTAGTAGAGTCGAATCACTACGAAACACAATCACAAAAGGGGAAGGCTTTTGGAAGTAATATGGCATGCCGCAGTTGCTGTGGCCCCTCGGTTCGCTTGAGGTCGAGCACATTATGCGGAGTTACTACCACACTTTTGCACACGGTACCCGAACTCCAGCTCCCGGGCCTCTGTCTTTGATCACCGAAGGTTTCGTCTAACATGAACCCTATGCCGGAATTTTGACCCCGTTGGTAAGTCCATGTAGTCTTTCTCGGCCTCTCTCCATGTGTTTTGAGGTCCCAATTTATATACTCAAACTCCAGAAAATGGTGAACAGTTTCAGCCCACCGCTGCATACTATCAGCCCACCGCTCCATCATATGAGAGGGGCAAAGGTTTTGAAAAGATCCCTCTTCGGCCTGATCCCTATGGCAAATGTTCTTAGGGCGCGTCTTTTATTTGTTCGCCCCGTGTGCCATTATGCAGGCAGGTGCGATTGTTTTCTCCATCAAAAGGACAGAAGACGCGCGACGGCTGTGGACTTTGTGAAAGCGATCTTGGGCTGCTGGGAAAAGCGCCCAACTCCATCACAGAGATCGCCACACAACTTCTAGCGCGCCGCCTAGGAGCGAGCGCCCTCGTCGCCTGCAAGTGCCCTCGAGGTCCGTGACAAATTAAACGCGCCGCGTCCGTAAAATGGCCCGCGCCGTGAGTCACGTGCAGAAGAGGAGGGCTGAAGCCCTAAAGGACTTTAGGCTGTTCAACAGCATGCATTTCTTCAATGCAAAAATGGCCACAAGTCTGCAAACCGGAACTACTCGCCACGAGCGCGTTCCCGCGGGGCAGGTATGGCGCTTCTTCCATCCGAGGGCTGTGAAAGGTCAAAATACTCGCGATGTCGCGTGTCAGTTGCTGGGATTTTTACGGCCGCTTGTTTGCCTGTCATGCGCTCGCTGCGGCGCAACATCGTGCCAAACAAAGCCTACGCGGACTGGCGCGGCCCATCTGCTCCGCCGCCTGTCTGACTTCCGCCCGCCCGTGGCTTGCCGGCAGAGACGCCCGCTGGAAAGCTAATATCGACTGGGGTCGCGCCGGCGTCGCAGCTGCGAAGCTGCGCCCCCCGACGGATGTCCCACAAGAACGAGGACGCGCGGACCGAGGCGCGGCGTTTTTCTTTTTCGCATTTTGGGGGGGCTGGCAGGCTCCTATAAAGAAAAGCAAGAGCGCCCACAGACTCGCTGCCCGCTCGGGCAAAATATGAAATAGACAGGGGTGGAGCGACAATTGACCCAACTAAGCTGCCAAGGTGCCGGCCTTAGCCTTCCGCCCGGCCGGAGGGGCAGGGACTGTCTGCATTGCCATTTGCGGCGGGGCCCTTTTCCTTTCAGGCTGGTGCCCTCCCCAAGAACCCAGAGCGGGGCCACATAGATGGGTCATCACACCGCCCAGAGGCCACACACAGCGGACCACTTTTCCAAATGGGCTATCGTGCTCTTCTTATGGTTTTTTTTTTGGACAGGGCGGGCGCGGCCCGCCTTTTGGGCCGCGCAGTCGAGAAAACACATCGCGCCGCGGCAACATAAAAAAAACAAGGGAGCTTGCGGGGCCTTCGGGAGGAGAAGAGCCCGCCCCAGAGGGTTTGGCTTTGTCCGAGTGAGGGCGTTCGGCCTTGCGCAAGAAAGTTGCGCTGCCTGGTGCTGCCTCAAAAGTGCGCCCGAGGAAGCAAGTGCGCGCACAACGCGGGTGCGCGATTATCTCGCCGGCAGACAGGAAATTGAAAAGGGGCCGCAAAAAACCTGGGGGGGGTGCCAGTTTCAGCCTCACCCACCTGAAGGCTTTTCGTGGTCATGCTGATTCTGCTTTTTTTGCGGCCTGGGAGGCTGCTAAACTTCTGCGGTTTCGCCTCGTCATCAAAAGGCGCGCGCCCTGGTGTTCAGGACACTGCCTACCTTCTGAAGGTTGAAAGAAATACACACGCTACCCTTTTGACGATAGGTTTTTTTGTCGAAAGGCCGGAAGAAAAGATAGGGCATTGCGGATGAGAAGGCGAAGGGTCTGCCTTCGAGGCAAAACCCCGAGAAGCCTGGGCCAGCGTTCTGGCGGTTACAGTAAATGGGCTGGAGCCTCACCCCCGGTGCCTGCTTCTGCGACCTCTAAACGATCGAACAGGGGCGGAAAGGCTCGGCAGGGTCAGGCCGCTCCCAAAAGAGAAGCAAGTGGGCCCGCCGGCTGGATTTTGAAAAAACCACAGCGCCCGAGGAATTTTGAAAACCGAAACGAAAAAACAGCAAGGAGACAACCAACCCCCCTGCCAGTGAAGGCCTCGGCGCTAACAGGCGCCCACCGTGGGGCAGTAACAATGCAGGTGCCGATGTCGGAAAATCCCGAGAAGGCCGGAGCCACACGGTCTGAGGTCAAAAGATGAAGCATAGAAACCTCTCGCCGGCAGGTCACGCGGGCAGGAGAAGGAACGCCACCCGGCCACCACATAGGGGCCAGAGCCGCGAAAACGCGCACTCTGCAACCCTTCGGAGCTCTCCAGCAGAGGCCGCAATGCGAATTCCGCGAAGAAAAAAAAAAATCGGCACGACACCGGCGCGACGAAGGTCAGCGCCGCAGGGAAGTTGGAACGGAATCCATCGGGGCCCGGAGGATAGCAATTATTTTTCATGCGATGCCTCTCTCAAAATTTGAATTTTGGATTTTCATTTTTTCGCGTTTCTATCAAATGCCAATATATCTGGGTCTGGAAGGAGGTTAAACTTTTGGCGCTGTCCGTGGATGGCCTAGTGGCCGAGCACTTACTGCATACATAGCGTGCGCAATGGCAATCCAAGTTCAGCCTCTAATGCTTTAATGCTATATCTCGGAACGCAATAAAGAAGCAGAAGAAGATCCGGCGAAGCGACTTCATTTTCAAAAATCGTTGCGTTTTTTTTACTTCCATGTCGTTTGCGCCTGTACCTGTGGCGGGTTTGGGGGTCGACTTTCGGTACGTTTAACGGTAACCTTGACCAAAAACGCCTGGATGAGTTCAAGCTGGTCCCGTGGCGACGTCTCCTGTCCTCCTCCACGCACTTGCCCACCATTCTCGCTCGTGCTGGTACTTCCCACGTCTGTGGCGAGCTTGTCCAAGAGGGCGTTCCGCCTCCGTAGCTCTTCCTTGAAGCGCTCTTGGTTTTCTTTCAAACCAAGTGGCTCTGCATTACCGGATTGGCCGTCGCCTGAAGCATGGGCGCCATCAGTAGTTGCGGCGGCATCTGCTGCATCACTGGACTCTTGTTCGTGAAGGCGGTAGATGAAAGGGTAAGTATAATCATAATTTTCTTTTCTCGCGCCGCAGCAGAACAACGACGAGCTAGTATAGTCCGGCTCCTTCGCTACGAAAATTCCTTTTTTCTTCATGAAGTTGTCCAACGTCTCGTGTAGTCGTGCATTTACCTGGGAACGGACACGCTTTTCGTCCACATGTTCTACGTAACTGCCCAATGCGTCATGTAGTTTTTTCTGGTCTGATGCGTCTTTGAGAAACCCAAGCGGCTCGATCGGTTCGGAAGATAAACCTGTCAAGCGGCGGAGTATTTGTTTCTCGAGTTGAAGCCGGAGCTTCGTTCGACACTGAAGAGCAACAACAAGTTCCTGCTTTTGTCGGTCGAGTTGGTCATCTTCCGTCCACTTTTCCATGGATTTTGCTTGCAATTGCCGATGTTGTTCTTCTTGTTTCCGACCCGCATCTACACTTGCGGAATTCTTTAGGGCCCACTTCGTCAACGGCAACATCTCATGCAGTTGTTGCCATTTCTTTACGAAGAGAGAGGTGATATCGCGCTGGAACGACCACGGCTTTTCTGCGTACTCACCTAACTGCGACGGATTATACGTCCACAGCTTAGGTCGCAGCGCAGCGAGTTCGGTTCCTTGCTTCCAAGTCAATTCGCCTCCGCCGTAGGCGCTATTGTCTAACTCATCATCGGTGGTCGCGTAATCTAGTACCGGCGGCCAGATGACGCGTCCGTCGTAGAGATGCTTGATTATGCACTCCCAGGGGTTGTCCAAGTCTATGTTCCACTGCGAGAGAGGAGGTTTCGCTGATGTTGTTGCGGTTGAGGCGATTTGCTTGTCCTCATCGTCATCCTTGATTTCTTTCATCGAGATAAGAAAATAGTTGCCGTAGTTGCTAGGAATGGGTCGATCCGGCAAAAAGGTAGTGGGCATCAGCGGCATTGCGAAGTTATTCCGGCCCAAGCGCGAGATTTTTTCTTGTGTGTCCCGCGAGAGAACAAGATGCACAAAAAACCAATACCGTCCTAAAACCCACTCATCGACGAATCTCCCCAGCTGCCCCTTGCGCAACTGCATCCTTGCAGCACTTGCTTTGGCCTTCGCCTCGTTGCCGATTTTCACCTTCGGCGTTGCGATGTTCTTCGAAGAAACCGCATTTCGGTCGGTATCGGATTTCGGAGCTAAGATGCGCGAGACTGATCGAGCTATCTCGAAGTCACTTAATGATCCTTGATCCAGGATATATTTCTCATATTGTGGGATCGTGACAGGCGCCGCGACATCGTCCTTGGTGTCGGTGTTAGCATCTGCTTGCACAAGCGAGAGCGACAAGGAGTCATCGCCGGGATTGCTCGTCAACTGCAGCTGCCCAGCACTTTTTTGGCCCTTGTGCCTGTCCGGAGTGTTCGGTGCCGGTGGCCGGCTCGGTTGTAATGAGAAGGTGTTGCGTGCCTCCTGATTTGCGGGCGCACCTCCAGCTCCTGGATCACTTAGTTCCGCGCTTCTTGCGGATTTTTGACGAGCCCGGCTTTTATTCTCAGGCGGTATTGTACTTACTGCACGGCGGTCACCGGAAGAAATCGGAACATCATGATCTTCAGCAACGTTAGCATGATGGTCTTCATTCTCACCCTTTCCTGGGAAAGCTTCAGGACCCGTTCCTTGCTTTGCTTCGGCGCTGACCATTTTGACGTCTTCTTGCTGTGCGGTGCGCTTCACGCCTGGGGACGCGGGCTCGTCTTTGCTTAAGTTCGCAGTCGCTTCATCTTCTTCATTCGTCGGGGAAGCTGAGGCAGTCGCCGTAACAGACGACGTCTTCGCATTATTAGTGTCGCGTCGCTGCGACTGAGTTCGACTTGCAGCTCCACCTTCCACGCCGTCCGCCGTTATTCTTGCTGGACGATTCAACATCTCGGTTCCACTAGGTAGTTGAGATTCGTCAATCTGGCTGTTCGCTTGGTATTGATCAATCAAATTGAGGCGTACATTGCCGATACTGGTTGTGCTGGGCGGCAGCGGCTGGGGCTGCGTTTCTTCGTCTTCCGCTGTTGTTGCTCTTTGGCGCCCGACTTCCAGCGAAGCAATTCTTGCTTCGCTTGGTCCTTGGAATTCTCCAGCGTGCAGAAGTTGTTCATCATGCGAATCGTCAACAGCCTGTGCCTGGCTTTGGTGCTGATCCTCTTGACCTCGTGCTACGCGTTTTATCTGCACAGCCGTAGTGGAAGCAACAGATGACGTTTCCGGAGGTGTTTTCCAGTTCGCGGCTGCGGTCGCGGACGCCGAGCTCGGAGAATGCTGATGTTTTTCGCCTTGAAGTTCAGTATCGTGATCTTTTCTTGCGGAGCCACCCATTACTTGTTCACTAACCGGCTGCTGGTGCGGACTGTCAGCGTCAGTTTCTTCACCGTGAGCTGTGGATGCCGCCGTGCTGACAGGCTGCGCTGCGTCCGATTGATGACCCGACCCCGGATGAACGCCGACACCTTCTCGGTCATCTCCAGACGCCGTCGCTGCCCACGCCGCGAAGGTACCAACTAGAAGCACCGAAAGGAAAGCGGCGCCTTCGGCAGACCGAAACATCAAAACGCACCGCCTTGCCTGCGAGAAGATCACGAAAAGCGGCTTGCTGGTTCTGGAAATCCAAGACCACAAGCCAGCGGTGCCACTAGAAGTGCTGCTGCCCGATGAAGAGCTGCAATAATATGCACTTGAAGTTCATTAATGTTTTTTGTTCCTCAGTTTCAGGGTCTGGCATTTCAGAATGAAAACTCCTCAGTTTACATGCTTCGTGACGAGAACACTGTACGCGAGATACGAAGTCGAAAATCAAAATTATGTGAACTGCAATTATTCATCATCTTGCTTCTACTTCCGTGGTCGCAACACAATTTCGGTCCTGACCCTGATTCTAAGGAAATAGAGAATGCTTTGCGCCCGGATAACCCAGAAACCGTTCCCGAACGTACAACACCGGAACAAGAGGATCTCGAAGTTATGCCTTGCAAAAGCCCCCAATCTTGCGATAGTAGGATGGCGACAGCTTGAACTTCAAGTAAGATGTAAAATGCATATACTTATGCTGTAGCACTCGACCATGTTCATGCAATAAAGCTGTTACTGAAGAAACGGTGTGAGTCACGGCAGATCAACCGCACTTTCCAACGAGAGGATGAACACTTTTGCCCAGAATAGATCTGGTGCGCCCGCGGCGCGTGCTGCGAGAAGGCGTACAGCTGTCGGTCTTGCGACCACAAATCGTTTCGCATTTTCGCCTTGAAAACCCCTTGGATGTTCGCGCGCGTCCACGTCCGCGCACCTCTTCCCCCGGTGAAGGAGGTTGGGTTTGATTTTCATTTTGCTCATCTTCAGAAGCACCAGCTGAAGGAGCCTGTGACTTTTGTTGTACTTGCAGCGGTAACATGACCACTATTGGGTCAGGGTCGCGTCCGCTGGTGCAACAATTGCTTCAAACCTTCGAAGTTCTCGTGTTGCCACTGAACCATACTGCAGGGGAAACCAACACGTTTGCTTGGGCCTAAGGTATCCTCTGCGTCGTTTCCCACGGTTCCTTTCTTTGGGTAAGGATGAACCAGCAGCGGAGAGATAAAAAGCAACGGGCAGCAGGAGGAGGTGGTCGAAATCATCTTGTCGGGTGGCATTTTGACTATCCAATATTCCAACATCATCTTTTTTTTTTGCATGGATCATTGTTCAAGGATCTGGATTTTGTGTGGTCATGACGAAGAATATGAACGAGATTCAAGGACCTTTTGCTGCGCCGCGGTCTTGGCGCGAAGACAACAAGTACAAACAAGACGGACAAGCTACGAGTTTCCCTGGCCGCAATATGTATCTTCTTGGCGGCCAGCGTCTTGTGTACCAAAAGGCTTTTGGACAGTGAACATCGGAATGGAGAAGTTTAGGAGCAGTGGCAGTAGTCGCTTTGCAGCTGTAGCACATTCGTTCACTGTTTTTGAAACTTCCTTTTTATGTTCTTTTTCTGTGTCTAGTAAATTTGAATGTTGATGTCGTTTCTGCTAGACGTGAGCTGCAGATCGCACTCGCATCCAGAAAACAACCCTGGTCCTCGTGAAAGGGAAAGCAAAAGGAAGCATGTAGACACGAGTTCCTCGCCAGAGGCGCAGCTGCAGAATTGCTTTAGTACGTTACCACCCGCTTCTCGGTCGTGTAGCTGTTCTATCTATCACTCCCCTCTCGCCATGTCTCCTGGTTCATGATCATGTCCGTCTCTAGCGTCAAAGAACGTCACAATGTTATCCTTATCGCACACGTCGTCGTCCCATCCATGCTTTTCCCACCACGCCGCGTCGTGTTGCTGTGCCTTTCGCCGGTCCTGAAACCTCTTGGTGAAAACGTGCCGTGCCATCGCGGAGTGCGACCAGCCGTCCGGGCGGTAAGAACTCTCCGGGTCGGACGAGTCCACGCCAAGTTCGATGTTGTTCAACAAGCTGGCCAGATCCGTGTAGGCCTCGAAGTGCTTAAACAGGGTGGCGATCCAGTAGAAGGATATCGCACAGGTGAGGAAAAAGATCACCGAAAACCCGAAGTATTTGACGACATACAAGGGGACGACGAGGAGAAACACGAGAATGGTGTTTACCATCCAGATATGCAGCTGCGTCGGGGCAAAAGTAAAAACTGCAACGCACTGCGAGCGTGCGGACTGAATTGCGTATATTTCATTTCAATGTTGATGCTCTTCTTCTTGGCGAACGACAAAGAATGCAGCTTGTCCTGCTGCAGCTTCAGCTACACGTAGAAGGGTGCGACTTGTAATGCTGTTGATGCTGTATCGAATTGGACGCAAGGAAGAAGTCGAAGTACGATTGCGATACTTTTGCAGCACCACAGGTGGATACCACAGACACTGGCTGTTCAATGTTGGGCACCAAACCCGGAAATATTTCCGCCCGGCGCGGGTTGTCAGGTACTCCTGCAGGCCGAGGAAGCAGAGCAAGAGGACGATGAAGGAGCAGAGGATCCAACCGATGAAAAAGACCCGCACCTGGTCCACGATGCTCATCGCCAGCTCGGACACGCGAAACAGTTCGCACTTGAGCGTCGGCGTCGCGGACCCCTCGTAAAGCTGGGAGGGAGACTCCGCAATCAGCGCGGCGAAGACGAAGGCGGCAAGCACCGTCGCCACTTGTGCGTGCATCTCCACCTGTATGACAGTGCACAACTCCCCCTCCCCTCATTTGTCATGCAAAACCAAATCCAGTCGCTGCCTTGTAGCACTGTTTGCATGACAAACTCCGGAAGGCCAAACAGTACTATATTAGGCACACAAATTTGTCATGCATTGGCTCCACGTGTGCTGGTGATTGTCTTGCTGTTCATGCAACACAAATGAGGGGGAGGGGGAGTTGTTCACTTTCATAACCTGCATAATCAGTCCGTTCGACGTGCCAGCGTCCTCGTAGGCAGTGTTGGCACTAACTAGCGGGTAGTAGGGCACGTGTGTGGGCTATGCAATACAAATTCCCCGTACACGTACAAGAGGCATCACAAATTTCACCATATTAGGAGCGTAAAATAACTTGTCATCGCTAAACTAGGATCGAAGCCAAGTTTTGTCATGCAGAGACCGCATTTGTACGTGTACGGGAAATTTACTGTGGATATGGGCTTTCTGTGGAGGTCATTCATTGGGTCCTTGTGCAGCTTTTGCTTTTTCCACTTCTCGTGGTCCGGGTCCGGCCCGGGCTGCCCGAGAATTTTCGGATGCCGCTGCAGAAAAGCCCGAATCACCGCGTTGGCCTTCTCGAAATCGAAGGGGGGCCTGGGTGTTGAGGTGCTATTTCTCATGCTGTTGTTATCGTAGTTGTTGTGGTGGTCTTCACCAGCGGTGGAATCTTCGTGCATCGCGACCATATCCAGGAAAAAACACCCATCCCCATCCATTTTTTGCATCGCAAACACTGGAGTTTATGCATTTTTTGCATGACAAATTGGATGGGGGTGGGTGTTTTTTCCTGGATAGACCACGCGGTTTTCGTACTTAGACGCCGCGGAACGGTACATCTTGATTTAGTCGTACGTAGGTAGATAGAAACTTTTGTTTTTCTATCGTCGACGTAAATCTCCCCTGTCACAGGCAGTTTCATCATGGATTCTCGTTAGACGTGGTCAGGTGAGACCGATACCACTTCCCTCGCCCTCCGCATCATGCGACGATTTTGCATAAGAGGCTGATGCACATTATGCGCACCATGAAGATCTACTGACACTGAGAACTGCACAGCAGGCTGCCATCGCAAAAGGAACTCTTCTATGCTACGTCTTGGTTTGAAGCTCAACACCAGCGGACGAAGCGGCGTTTATTTTAGACAAGACCTCGTGGTCTAGTTCATTTTGTTGTAGCAACACAAAGATCTTCTTCTATCTCTCTCTCTGGCATCCTCATTTTTTCATAGAGAAGCTACTTTTGTTCATTTCAGTTTTAAGTAGTTCTTGATCTCTTAGCGATCAAAAGACAAACCCGAGGACGATACACGAAGGAGCTGCAACCAGTGCACTGGAGGCAGGGACGACCGGAGAAGATGACCGTCGCCCGACCGGACCCAGCATCGATATTACCGTCCGCTTGCTGCCGATTACTAATATCACTTCAGCACACAGGTGCGCTTGACCACGATCCCTTGGTCGTTGACCAGCAACTCTGTGCAGGACGCCCCAGGCGGTATTACCACGGTGGAATCGTACGGAGAATCCCGGTAGAAGCCCTTGAAGTCCAGCAAGGCCGAGACCACCTCGACCGCCGGCATCAAAAACGGGATGCTCATGTCGAACTCGCACACGCGACCCCACACGGCCCACACCTCGGGCGCGCGGAGCAGCACCGTATGCGCGCCCACGTGGATCGAAACCGCGGAGTCGGCGTAGGAAGAGGTCAGCAGGTTCGCTGAGGAGGGGGAGGGGGAGGCGGCGGCAGGTTTAGTACCATTATCGTTCTTGTTTTGGTCCTCGTTGTCGCCCCCCGCCAGCAAGCTTCTTTCCTGCGCGGAGTTGACCGCGGACGCCAGGTAGTCCGCGACCTGGGACTCGTAGGAAGGCCGGTCCAACACCTTCCGCGTGATCTCCACGGCGACGTGACTGGCGCTGAAGGTGCCGTTGCCCAGCTGGCCCACCTCCCCGCGGCCCCAGGTGAACACGCTGTGGCTGCCGGCGGCGAGAATCATGCCGAACTCGGCGCCGACCTCCAGCTGGGCGATGGATCTGGGTGGCGGGCTGTGTGTGGTTTACGTAGTTGTCCTCGATCGCATCATCAATACGCGCAACATTTCTTCGTTTATCTCTATCTTTCAACATGTTTTTTCTACGAGTACGATCTGCCATGTCCTGCGGTTGTCAATAAAGCACAAAACTCAGCACTCATACTTTTCCTCCGTGAAGGGTAGAAACTGGGGTTCGTGCATGTAGTGCGCGTGGTCCAGCTCCGGATTGATGCCGCACTGCCCGAAATCGTTGCAGCCAAGCAGCCGCACGGTGTTTTCCCCCTCCAGCCAGGCCGCGAACTCCAGTCCGCAGGAAAATTGCCGGATTTGGCGCAGGGGCGCGATGCGTTTCATGACGGGATTCAACTTAATAGGGTCGCCCTGCGCACGGTACTGCTGCACCGACTTGACGTCCTTCACGCTGATCACGGTCAGAAATTGGCTCGCCGTGTGCTCCACGGCGAAATAGCCACGCCAGCCGCCGATATTGAGAGGAAAAATCCCCCCTCCCCATATTGAAAAGGCAAGTTTAGAAAAATTTGTGTTGCGGATTTGAGGTCACAAATCACATCTGTCTTGCAAGAAGACAAGGGCAGAAGCTTCCGTTCCATTATGGAAGCGATTTGTCATGCTGTTGGGCCTAAAGGGGAAGCGTTTGCCATGCTGAACAGCTAGACACATGCGCCTCTACCTAGCCTGGGGATCTGGCCGCAATGCCTTTCTGCAATACAAAGCTGATTTGTGGCCCCAAATCAGCATCACAAATTTCCGTTTTGATATGGGGTGGGGGGATTTTTCATTTTGATAGCCGATGGGCAGCACCCTCTCCGTCTGGGGATCCCACTGCAGCAGCAGCTCTATGGAGTTCTCAAATGTTACATTCTCAACTGTTACATGAATTTGTAATGCAAGACTGGCAAAAGTGAAAGGAGGAAGATTGCGCCTTTTGCATTACAAGTTTGGCGCACATTTAGATGCTGTCTAGCCCTTCCGAAATTTGTCATGCGAAGCAGCTCGATCATCTGCCGGCTCAAGGTACTTTTGCATGACAAATTCATGTAACAGTTGAGAATGTAACGTTTGAGAATGCCATAAGCTCCGGCTCCCCGTTCGGAAATTTGGGTCCGAAGTTGCCGAACGCGGGCGTGCTCCCGTATGAATTGCAAAAGTATCGTACTCGTATAAACGAAAATCAAAATGCATTACAAATTTCCTCAGCATGAGAGATAAAATTTGCAATGCTGATTTACCTTACAAGAAAGATTTGCAATGCATGATTGCAATACGCGTACGATACTTTTGCACAGGATATCCCGTTCGCTACCGCAATTGCTTCCCCCGTCTGCTCGTCGAAATCAAGCGAAACCGGGCCCAAATCCTCGAACGTGTTGTCCTGCGTTTTGGCTTGGCTCGTGCTCACGAACAACCCCCACTTGTACAACCCCTGCAAGGGTTTTGCGGTCGCGGTGCGCTGGGGAATGCGTTTGGTCACGAACAGATCGCCGCAAATGTCGGTTACCAGCTGGTTTTTCGCTCGGCTCCAGGGACCACACACTTGCTCGTTGTAGGTCAAGGGGAGGAAAACTCCGTCCTCCGAACTCAACTGCATCAGGGACGAACTTGGGCCTGTGTTGATCAAGGTTTCGACTTCAGCTTCACTTCGATGTATTTTTGCATACAGTTGTTGCTTATCGCTGCCTGTACATGTAGTTGCAGGAATACCTACCATGCAAAAACGAGTCACCATGCAGATGATGAAGCAACGAACTATAAGACCAAAGAAATGCGATGTAGTTCATCCACGCAGCAGTCCGCACGATATTATTATTACAGTACCTTCTCCCCGGAGCGCGTACACCGTGCCGTCCGATTTCGACTGAAACATGTCGTTCCAGTTTCTCGTGTCCAAATCTCTCCGTCTATCCAAGAAAAAAACATTGTAGGTGTAACTTTTTTGGAGGAACAGCATTTACAAATTTGTCTGGCATGACAGCAAAAACCTGTCACGCGCAGATAGTACGTGAAAGCGCCCTTTAATGGACCCTGCGACGCATGCTAAGCATGACAGACGCAATCATCTTGCATGTTGTTGAGCATCACAAATTTACACTAACAACGTTTTTTTCTTGGATACCGTCTTTTCCCGACTATCTCCACGGCCTGCAGGCACAATCCGTACACATTCATGCAGTGTTGCACGACAAACGGCGGATTTTTCTCTTTTTTCGCACTTTTCGTAGCCTTCGAGGAAGATTTTTTGCCGTTATTGTTGTCATTGTCATTGTTGGCATTGGAAGATGACCCTGACATTTCCGGTGGCACCTTGAAGGGCACTTTCGGCTTCTTTGGCCTGCTCAGGGCAACCACAGGAGCGGTGGGTGGTCTACTTGCTGGGGAAGCTGCTGTTCCCCCTCGGCCCTTATTCGCGCTGGGAGAGGGCGAAGACTGCACTGTCGCTGCGCTGCCTCGCTTCACCGGACTGTTTTTCGAGGGCGAAGCAGTAGATCCTCCGGGCGTATTGCCGCCTCCACCTCCGGTCAGATTTGCGAGCAGCGAGTTGCTTCTACTCGGTGAGGACCCGACGCCGCGTTCCGACAAGGACGACGCCTGTCGGCTTCGCATTCTTGTTTTGTACAAATCCAGAAACCCGGGGAAGCTCCAGAGCGCGATCATTCCTGGCCGGTCTTCCCCCTTCCCCTCCGCGCCGACCGCGGGGGGCGCGGTCAGGTGGTAGGTGGTTGCGAGGGAGGAGGTTTTTGGCGGACCGAACACCGTCGCGCCCATGCCCCGCGCCAAGACGGGGGGGCCGTGCGGAAAGCTGTCGCCGTCCTTCTCGTGCAAGGAGCAGCGGCAGTAGGTCTGCTGAGATTCCTCTTCCAGATCCGACTGCGACCGATTGTAGACTCCGACGGGCAGGCTTCCATTCTTAGTCACGCCTGCGCCACCAACAGCAGCCGCCAGAAGTTGATTTCCGCCGCCGATCCCCATTGGCTGATTTGATACCCGGGACCCGAATTTCAAAAACGCGATCGTTTGGAACGGCCGCTTGGCCACCACCGGCACTTGCTTTTTCTGGTCCTGCTCGTCCGACGTGATCGTCGTTTTTGACCCGGTTAGCGTGGTCTGCAGGCTCGGCTCGTGGCTCGACAACTGATGCTGCAAGCTGGCGTTCGCGGTCTGCAGGACGTGCTTGTTTCGCTGGCTGTTCCGCGTCGCCTGCGACCCGGTCGCGGCGGTGCCGGTGGTCGTGGTGACTAAAGAGGGGGACTGGGACCGTCTCACCGAGCTCGCCGGGGTCAAAGGCGGGGAGGAGATCATCGTTTCGTCTTCGTCCTCACCATTCTCTCGGTTGTTCTTTTTCCGTAACAACTTCGCCATTCTCTCCTCCTCGACGTAATTCTCCCACTCTTTTACCGGCGATTTCCGCTGTGGCGACAGCTGCGACACTCTTTGACCCTTCTTCCCGGCGAACCACTTCGACGGGAGGTTTTCCCCGGTCTTCATCGTCGGGGAGCGGGACCGAAGATCGGTATCGACCGGACGTTTCAACTTCATCTTGTACGCCTCCGCGTATTGCTGCGTATGCAATACAAATTTCCCGTACATGTACAACATGATGCATCACAAATTTCACTAACTTAGCGCAGACAACTTGTCATGCTGAACAGGATCGAAGGGAAGCTTTGCCATGCAGAAACGGCATTTGTACGTGATGTACGGGAAATTTACTGTGGATACTGCGTGCGAAAATTGTATTCCGTGCCCAACCGCGCAAACTCCTTTTTCCGGAGACAGTCCTGCACGAGCAGGTGCAAGGGTAACGCCGCGTACATCAAATCCTCGTCAATCTCCTTGCGGCACAAGGGCCGCAAGATGTCCACAAACTCCGGCCACAGGATCGGCTTCTCCCCGGACTTTTTTTGCAGCTTCAAGTGAATGTCGTCCACCGCGTCCAAAATGGCTCGGTGCGACTTCAGCAACTGCGTGCCGCCGTCCGAGCTGTGCGGCGCCTGCAGCTCCGACTCGCCGCGGTACTGCAGGATCACGTTGTTAAGGAACGAGTCGAAAAACCCGGGGAATTGTATGACTTGCTCAAACGTTACAATCCCAAACGTTACAATAGAATCTGGAATTTGTCGTGTTGCATGATGAGCATGAAAGACTCGCAAAGCATTCCACTTTTTGCAATACAAATTTCGCCAGATTGTCATGGGGTTTAGGGCTCCGGAACTTGTCATGCGCAATCCTATGAGACTTGGCTAGATCATGCAATCTTGCATCACAGATTTCCAAACTCTATACGTAACGTTTGAGATTGTAAAAACACCAGAGCAGGTTATAAATTGGTCCTGCAGCTTCTGCGCGTCGTCATTCACGTTGCAGTACCCGCGAAAGTATCCTGTGCAAAAGTATCGTACTCGTATTGCCATAATGCATTACAAATTTTTTTCTGAAAGCAAATCCGCATTACAAATTTCATTTCTCATGCTGAGGAAATTTGTAATGCATTTATACGAATACGATACTTTTGCAATTCGTAGAAAGGAGAGCTCCTTCAAAATCTCCCCGATCCTCTCCTCCGAGGTGATTTTCTGGTGCAGCTCGTCCACCAACCCCGCGCCGCTGTCCTCGTAGCGTTGGACTTGTTGGTTGGACAACTCAGTCTGGTAGTCCTCGCCCAAATCGGCCTTGTCCGCTAGAAACGACACCCCGTCGTTGATGTCGTCCAGCATGCCCTCGAACTCCCCCCGGAACTTCCGCGCGTGGGCGTTTTTCGCCGCAATTTCCTTGTCGGACAAGCGGATCTCAATCGTGTCGAGCCTCCGCTGCAGACTCTCCATCGCCGCGTCGTCCGGCAGCGGGTCGAGCGGCTCCTTGATGGCCGTGGCGTTTTCGGGTACTAAGGTGGTTGGCGTCAATTCTTTTTCGTTCATCGCGGTGGAGAAAGAAGTGCCCATCCCGTCTAGGGAAACGGTGGACGACCTGCCGTTCGGGGATGAGCCATTGTTGTTCGCATCATTACCAGCACCCCCGGCCGCGGCTTTCCGGAACTTCGCAAACCCGCTGCTCTTCAGCCCGCCCGCCGGCTTGCTGCCCTCCTGCTGCATCAACACGCTCGCCGCGTCGAACATGGTCGCGCCGGTGGTCTGCTGCGCGTGGGTGGCCCCCAGCATGTCCTTCATGGTGCCAACCTTGTCCTTGCCGAGAAACAGCGGCACGTTGGAGGAAAAACCGAGCATCTTCGCCTCGTTGCCCGCGCCCCCTAGAATTCCGCCCTGCGACTGGAGCTGCTGCCGCGCGCGCACCGTCCGGTACCGCTGGCGGTCGGACGTTTCGCCGAAATAGAAAACAGAGTAGAAGCACAACCGCATCGCGCCGACAATGAGCTCCAGTTCGTCCGCGTCGATGTACTCATTTCCGTCGTAGTCGATGGTCTTCCAGAGCAACCGGAGAAAGCCCTCCTCGCCGGCCTGGAGGTTTTTCTTGTCCGGGGAAGCTTGTTTATTGCCGAAGGGAGTGCTGGAAGAAGAGGAGCTCGAGCTGGAACCTGCTCCGGCTTTCTGCTTGGCCAGTGCACCCCGGCGCTTCTGGATCCACTTTTGGACTTCATGCGAGCGCACGACGGAGGTTTTCGGGACTTTTACGTTTTTCCGGTCGAAAGTGGGCACCTCCTGGACCTCGAGGAAACCGGGAGCGGTTTTGTGGAAGGCCATCTTCGTAGAAGATGTGGTCTTGCTCTGGTTCGAATTATTCGAAACAAAATCATACACAAGAAAGAGAAACTACGAGTAGAAACAACTGTCACTTCCGAATAATGTACTGAAACAAATCTTTATCGTCTCCGAAAAAGAAACTGCAATAGAAGTTGTTTTCCTGTTTTCCTGCTCGAATGATGATGATCAACACACAATTTAAGCACAGTTCGATTTACTCGAGTTCGACACGACATTTTGGACGAAGGAGAGGAAAAGAGAAGATGAATGACGACCAGACCACGAGTAAGACGGACTAGACCTCTCAGCACTGCTCTGGTTGTAGAACTCGAAATCGAATGTGTAGTTGCAACTCTCTGTATTACAGCTACTCTCTGCACGAACGATACAGACTGGGCGGAGAGACGACCAGGACAATCATTTTGATTTTTGTCAGCCTAGGCCTACTGGCCATAGACATAGTACTTACTTACAGTTACAGCACACTACTGAACATCACACAATCGCGCACCTTCGAGAGAATTAGCCAGTACATTGCAAACTGCTGCAACAAAAACGCGCACATGTGCGCTCCTGTACTACTGAGAGATACTCTTGCATTTTCAGTGCGTCAATGTCAGATGAACCGCTCGCATTATAACTGTCGGACAAGCAACAAGAAAGCGCGTATTCACGATGGACTCGGAGAAGAGCAGAGGCACTATATTCGCCCGAATCATACTTCTCCGAAGAAGAGCCTTCTTAAATCGCAAAGACCCTCGCTCCCTGGCGCACATCTCCGGTTGTCGCAGTTTTTTTCTCTCTTTTCCGTTTCGCCGCCTCCTGCGCAAACAGAGCCGTGTTTTCCTTTTTCGTTTGTCGACACAATTTCCGCGCTTGCTTCACGGCTTGTTTTCTCGCTTTCTTCTCCTCCTTCGTCTCGCCTTTCTTTCTGTCGGGAATCTCCACAATCTGCAATTCCTCGTCCTCCTCTGCATCGGACGAGTTGTCTCCTGCGTTGCTATCCGCGTCTGAGTCCTCGTCCTCCTCATCATCTGTCGTCTGTTCCTCGTCCTCCTCAGCAATGTCGCCCAAAAGAGAACCACCACCTCCACCCGCCCCACTTGCACTCAGCAACCCGTTCTTTTTCGCCTGTTTCTTTTTCGCCTTACTCGACTGAACCAGAATTTTCCCCGGGTGGTTGGAGAGGTTTGACCGCGTGGATAAAATCGTTTCGCAATCGAATTCCACACCGGTTTTTTCCTTGTACCCGAGAAGCTTGAGAACTTTTTTGTTTGTTTCGTCCTCCGTCTCGGGCTCGTCCTTTTCCTCCATCGCCATCTTCTCTACCCGCGCGAGAATAATGTCCTTTGTCGGCTTCTCGTAGAAGGAGCACTGGTGATCGTGTTCTTGGCCTTGGTTCTCTGTCAACGCGTCTGGCCTATGTTCCGTCGCAGGAACATCAGCCTCTTCGGTGTCAGACGAAGCAGATGCTGCGTTTTTGTCCTCCTGCTCAACAACGACCACATCAGTTTTACTTACCCTCCCAGCTTCCTCATAGTCCTCTACACAGTCCAATAATCCTGGCCCGAGCCTGGTCTTCCCCTCCACCGTTTTCATGCGCTTGGATTTCTTCGAATCTCGGAAGCCTTTCTCCAATGGGTCTTCTAGCGAAAACTGCTCCTTCATGATCACCCGTCGGCCTATGAACTGCAAAAGTATCCTATCGTACTAGTATAAATTGCATTACAAAGTCACTTAGGATTACAAATTGGATTTGTAATGCGGATTTGCCTTCACGAAAAAATTTGTAATGCATAAACGCAATTAGTACGAGTACGATACTTTTGCAGAGGATACGGCCGGTGCTTTGGTCAATGTCAAACTTCCCGCCCGGCGCAGCATATCCTGAGTAAAAACGTCCCCACCCCAGAGTTGTAATGCAGATATGCGAAGACAGGAAGACTTGTAATGCGCATCCCCATGAGAGCCATTTCCAGTCGTGTTTTGGAATTTGTGATGCTGCAAATAGGATGAGAAGCTGGCTTTGTGATGCGGATGTCCTTGCGAAACTGCACTACAATACAGAGGGCAACTTGTCATGCGTGACTCCCAAAACTTCCGGGTTTGTGTTGCAGACTTCCCATCTCGACTATGGGGTGGGGACATTTTTCCTCACAATACAGCAGGAACTAGGTTCATCTGGTCTACTTCGGCTCCTGCTGGGTCTATTTCATCAAGAACATCGTGAACACCAGCACCAGTAGTTCTTATACAGCAGTCGTCGCTCGTGCCGGCCACCATGGCCCTAAATTGGTTGTTGGCGGAGTTGTTTTTCTTCCCGGGGTTTAGCGTCAGCATCTCCTGCTGCCAGAACCGCTTCACGGTCGCTTTTTCTATCCTATGTAAAAACGTACCCACCCCAGAGTTGTCACGCAATTCTGCATGCCAAAAAAGTTTCTCATGCGGAGCCCTATGAGAAGCATTTTCTATTCGTGTTTTGGAATTTGTGATGCTAGAATCAGTATGGTAGGCTAGATCTGTAATGCTTCTGAGCTAGCGAAACAGGATCACACTACGAATCCAAATTTGTCATGCAAAACAGCCAAAGCTTGTGGATTTGTCTAGCCGATTCCCCATCTTGACTATGGTGTGGGTACGTTTTTACTCAGGATATTTTCCTCCAAATACTCATCCAAAATGTCGTCGAATTCCTCCATCTCCTTCTCCCCATTCACCTTATCAAATGCAAGTATGTCTGGGTCTGGAACTTTGCTAGACTTGTCATGCAGGTTTTCCATGACCCATATGATCTGTAATGGAGGACCTAGCATGACAGATTCCGTGAGATGCTAGACTTGTCATGCAGGCTTTCCATGACCCATATGATCTGTAATGGAGGACCTAGCATGAGATTCCGTGAGATCCCTATCATGCCTGTCCTGCATGAGAAACTGCCTCTCAACTTGATCAAAATTGGGCAGCGTTTGGGAATCATGCAACACAGATGTTTGTATGCTTCAGATTTAGCATGATAAGTTCCATCAACCTTCCAGACCCAGACATTTTTGCAGTGCATACACCTCCTCCGGGTCCAATTCGCCGAGATTCGTGTCGTCGTAGCCCTCCTCGAGCATCTGCCGCAAGCGGAATTCTGTCAGCGTTTCCTTCGCCGTGAGTCGCTGGTCATCCAGCTTGTCCACGTCGGCGTAGAGCTTCGCAAGTTCCGGGTCGAGGTCTTCTTCTGCATCTTCGTCCTGGTCGGCTTCATCGGAAGTTCCGTCGGAGTCGGAGTCGTCTTCGTCAGAATTATCCGACTCCTCCTCGTCGGACTGCTCGCCGTCAGCACAACTCGTTTTGTTAGTATTTCCGAACAAACTTTCCCCCGCACGCAGATTCAAAATCCCGACCCCCCGACGCACGCGCTCCATTTTCGCGAATTCCGCGCCCTCCTGGCCCCACAGCTGGGTCAGCTTGTCCTCCACGCCGCCGGCCACGTGGAAAAAGTCGTCCCACTCCTGGAAAGCGTCTCCCTCGGCTTCTTCGGGAATTTATGAACTGCAAAAATGTCTGGGTCTGGAAGATTGCAACTTGTCATGCTGTTTTTGGACTCTAAAAAAGTTTTGTATAGCATGACCAGCAAGAGGGGCACAGATTTTGCTACACGGACAGGGCATTTCTCATGCGGAAGGTGCATCAGGAAACCCTCTAAAAGTCTGCGATGCTAGGCCAAGCATTACAGGCATCATGGGTGATGAAAAATATGCATGACAAATCTTGCATTCTTCCAGACCCAGACATTTTTACATTTGATAGAATTTCCTCGTAGTCCATCTCCAGAGCCTCTAGGACGTCGGCGGGAAGCTGAGGATACGTCGTTTGGGAACAGATACAGAACGTCACGATAATTATTTCTGCTCATGGCAATTACGAGGACCTTCAATATTGTCTTGGTTATGCTGGCGCTCCAAAAAGGTAAAGGAGAAAGTGAAAGTGGACAAAGCGAAAAATCAAAACTGATTTCAGATGTTGTATCTCATGTATCTTCTATACCTCTTCCGCCGCGGCAACCCTCGAATCGAATTCGTCCCGAAACGTCACGGGCTTTGTCAGTTCCTGGACAGTCCCCGCGGTTTCGCCGGTATCGGCGTCTCGCAATTCCATAATGTCGATCTTGTCCGACTTTTGCAACTTCTGCTTCACCTCTTCGATGGGCGCCTTCATGCCCTCCATGGTCTGCACCAACTGCACCGGCAAATTGGCACTCACCTTGCTCGCGATTTTCTCCGCGCGGGTGGTCACCGGCTGCTCCGCCTTCTGCACGAACCGCTCGTCCATGACCCGCAAGTGCTGGTTGTAGTCGTACCCATCGTTGGGAAAGTAGGTTTCCTCCTCCGCAACTTCCTCATTTAGCAATTCCTCATCGGAATCGTAGTCTGCGCCGCGGATGTAGCCTTCGGTTTTGCTGTTGAAAACCTGATTCAGCCGCTTGTTTTTCGGCTGGTGTTGTTCGTCATCCTCGTTTTCCTCCTCGGAGCAGTCCTCTTGCTCCAGACCGAAAATCTTTTTCGCATCGAGATCGACTCCTTTGATTGGCTTGTACAAAAGTTTTTCCTCCTCTTCTTCGTCTAGTTTTTTGTTTTTCCGCACGTTGATCGGGAGGTACGGCTCGAGGTAATTCTTCTGCTCGTCGTTGTCATCCAGAATGGGTTTCTGCACCACCCGGAAATGGCGGACGTTCTCCCGCTTCTTCTTGCGGTCGACGGTGTTCTTGCCCGGCATGTTGGCTAGGAGGAGGTGTTGGCTTTAGAAATGATGTTCTGTCGTACAATTCTCAGGCGTGATGTTCACTGCAAATTCGTACCTTTATCGTCGAGTTCGCATTTATTGCAACTACAGCACATCCATGGACAGGACTGGTAATAACCTTAACGAGGTCGCATAAACATAATGGGGCTTTTTCTTAACAAGCCAAGAACGAAATCGCAAAGTCTTCATGCTCATAGAAAACCTGAACTGACCTGGTGGTGCTGTGAATCGTAATTCGCAAAAATGAAAGCAGTTTCAGTACGAAAATGAAAAACCAGCATGAAGGATCAAGAAATTCGACATGATCACAGCTCACTTTTTTCTCCGTGGCGTAAAGGACCTCCGTCAAAGATCAACCACATATCCCATTTAGATCGTGCGTTGCACTTTCTTCATTTTGACCTGTGAAACAGGAGCGGGGCTGATCTTCATCTTGTTGCAATTCAACTTTGAGGGGAACTTTTACCTGTAAACAGAGGAACAGGAGGAAGTGCAAATTCTTGTGGAAGATTCCTCGAACTTCAAGCATTTCTGAACAGAAAATGAAGACGGACTCAAGCTCAACAGAAGGCGACGATCAAAATTGATACGTCTCTCATTATCTCCGCTTTTTCTTTTATTTCATCTTTAACCTCCAACATTCAGTTGCAGCATACGCACATTCATTGACATTCTTCTACTGCAGCTCGTCCGCATACATCCGCTCAATTTTCTTGCCCCCGCCGGGGACAACACTATCCCCACCGTCACCATACACTCGTTATGGATTGCAAAAGTGTCTGGGTCTGGAAGGTTGGGACTTGTAATGCTAGCTCTCCATACCTAGAAAATCTGTATTGCATAACGAACAAAAGTCGCAGCCTCTTTTGTCATGCAAAATCGCAGTTTCTCATGCGGATTGCCTATGAGAAAGCGTTTTGGGAAGTTGTCATGCCGGACTGCATTCGGAAGTGTTTTCATCATGCACATTTTAGCATCACAAGTTTCCAGACCCAGACATTTTTGCATTTCATACTCGCTCCAACATTTCAATCACTGCGGTTTCCAGCTGCGCCGAGATTCGCATCGGCAGGAAGTTGTCGGAGCAGCTCCGTTATCAACTGCAAAAATGTTTGGGTCTGGAAACCTGTGATGCAAGGAAAGCAATAGTGAGCACACTGTGGTGCACTCCCCAGCATGACAAGTTTTTTGGTGCTTCTGAGTTGCGTACTCCGCATGAGAAACCACGTTTTTGCATGACAGACAAGACCACCTTTTCGCGGGCACGCAATACAGAGTTTAGAGTCATGCCAAACTAGCATGACAAGTGGTCTCAGAATCTTCCAGACCCAGACATATTTGCATTTGATATCCGTGCGATCGTTATCACCGAGGGATACGGCTGCAGGTTTGACGGCGTTCCTAACTTCCTCGCCTCAGCCAACAACCGCTGCGGCTTCGTTGGAAACCCGACGGGAGTGGTGCGAATATGCGAGTAGGTCTGGTAGTCCTTTGGTGTGTCGCTGGAAAAGATTGTCGGAAGTCTTGGAGGTGACGAAATTATGGGGTGATCTTCGAGTAGTTCTTGCGGTGCAGGTTCTACTGCGTTGGGAATAGGAAGACCAGGAAGATGCTTTTCACTCGACGGAACTCCAGCCGCTCGTTGCTGGTCTTGACCTTGGTTGTCCATTTTCGTCGCACCAGAGAGCATGATGCTCCGCAAAAGATCCTCGATTTCCTTTACCTTCGGACGAAAAAAATCCCCTTCGTTTTTGCCTTGATCTCCAGGCCGATCACATGGCACGTTCTGCGGCAGTGTGAGCATGTGTCCAGCTTCGAGCAAAACCGCCATTTCTGCGGTGCTGGGGCGGAGCCGTTTCCAGTCTAACAAAGCGTTTTTCATTGCGGTGGCGTGGCGAACCAGGTCGCTTCGCGGCAAGCGTTCTGGTGAACTATTGCCAGGGTCTCCATCTGTGAACAAGAAAAGGCCGGGCAGTACGGCGCAAAAGGGTGGCTGTGTTTCGAGCTCAACTAAGTACGGGAACAGAATTTCCATGCATTTTTCCCAATTCTCGTTCTCCAGCTCGTCTGCCCAGGTGGTGTCAAACGGAAAGTCTTTCTCCGGGTACGCGTGCTCCCAGATATCGATCGCGTCTTGCAGCGTTTGGACTAATTCATCCGATAACCCCATGGTAAAGGGATTCCGGGTCGTGAAATAATCGAGGTCGATGTCCAGGGCCCACTCCTTTCTGGCCGGGGCGGAAGGTAACTCTGCGGCATTTTCGTTCGCTAGGATTTCTCCTGCAGGATTGACAAGAACCGGCGGCTGCTTGTCAGCACTCCCAACAGCTGCAGGCTGCAGTTGGTCCGCGAGCGCAATTGCCTGCGGGCGTTCCAGAACAGCGAGCGTCCAATGTTTCGCGTCAACGGAGAGGGTGTCCTCGTCTTTGATGTCGTGTACGACTCCTACAGACGGTTCAGAATCAGGTTTCGGTACTTTTGGTCTCTGGACTTTCTCGTCCCCTTCGTAGTACCACAAATCAGCAAAATCTCCATCCACTTTCAGTACTTCTTGCTGCTTTTCGTCCGTTCTTTTCCCATCATGATCTTCTTCACGAGTCTCAGGACCGACACACGACGACGCACTGCTTTTCGTCGCACCACCCACCCTTCCCTGGTAGATCCCCTCCGGAATCTGTCGGCAGAACGGCTGCTTCAACCACCAGATTTCGTCGATCATGCCGGCAAAGACCGCGGGCAGGATCCAGCTGGCGATCCCGCCCTCAATCGTGCGGAGGGCCGTGTAAAGATCGCGGACGTCAGTTTGCTGTTCCTCTGGTAGTGTCGCGTCATCCTGCTCATTCACCCCATCTGGACCTCCTCCAACTGCAGCAGCTCTCCGGTGCACCATCTCCCGCTGCTCCGGCGTCCGACACAGGTCCGCGGTCAAATCCTGCGACACGGCCAAATCCGGGTGCGAGTCGAAGTGAACCAGGAGGATGGGGTTGTCGCATTTGAGTCGTTTCTTGCGCATGGCAAAGTGTAGTCCGCGAAGAGCCTCGTCGTGGAATTCAGAAATGAAAAGGGGGATTGTGGCGTTCGGGTTGGAGATTTCATTTTTTCCTGCCGGGACTTGTTTATTCTCTTCAGGCGTCGCCATTTCCACATCTTGGCCGGCCATGTCTATGGGAGCCGTAGCGGCTCCCGCAGACGACGTTGTAAAAAGTAGAGTTGGCGCTGTTACAGACATCTTTCTCAGCTATGACGAGGAACTACCTGGCACAGGTCACGCGGCGGCAAGGCCTCTTTCTTAGAACAACGATCGTCGATATCGTGATAAATTTTCCTTTGACTGCTCGTCACGACCAGTGATGGTGTGGTCGGTGTGTATTTATTTCTTGAAAGAGACAGACACAAACTCCAACGAGCACAAGGTGGGGAAGGTACTCATCAATTTGCTTTCTAAAGAACCAATCGGACAAACCGGACCTGATGAAGAAAAAGAGGCGCAACATCATACACCAGATACAGATTCAGACTTTCCGAAACCAAAAACATTTCCATCCGCACGAACAGGTACTGCAATTTCCTCCGACCAGATCTTTTTGGGTAAGTACTTAATCGATTTCTCGAGAACTTGAACTTCTCGGATCTGAAGACCGAGCTGCCACCAAAAAGGTGAACGAGATTTGAAAGCTAATTTTGGTTTACCGCATGCTGTGATCCACTTTGTGATTCTGATCGCGATCGTCCTTTTCTTATTTTTGTCGACACAGTCGCAGCATTTGCACTACACCGAGACCTTTCGTAACAACTTGAGCGCAGCCGATTGTGAATGTACTTAATTCCTCGCAATTGTTCGATCACGATCACCAGGTGGAAAAACGATTTGGCTTCGCGACTATGCCGTGCGAGAATTCATCCAGTGTGATTGTTCCGTTCAAAGACAACTTCCTCCATTGTTTACGCTTGTTTCCTTCTAAAATTCAGAACGGGGTCCATGGCAGCAGCTGTTGCACGTTTCATTGATATCGGCTTCTTGATACGTCGGTCCTTTGGCTTTAACAGTTTACTCTTGACGTAGATTCTTCATCCCGTGGGTCCTACGAATCCACGTCCATTTTCTCAAAGCCGACGCTCCCACCGACCTCCGACGAGGAGTGGGACGAGCAGAGAGACATCCCATTTTCCTGCCGAAGATCCACCCGCGAGGAAGTTGCGACGACGGAGGAGGTGGACCGCTGTTGCTCCACCAACATGTTGCGACTGATTTGCATTTGCAGCTTCCCATCAAAAGCTTCTATATGGTTCGTAGCGTTATTCGCAGGAGCCATGTAGTTGTTCATCTTGACAGCTACAGTACGACCGTCGTCCAATACTCCGCTCTCCTCCACCTCCTGCTGCCTCTGTTCCCACTCCTCTACGGCCGCCCAGTCCGCATGCTCCCCCCAGACATCCGCGCGTTCCAGCAAACTCGCGTCCAGCGGGTTGGCTGTTGCACAGAGATTCCGCATATGCATTGCAAATATGTCTGGGTCTGGAAGATTCTGAGACTTGTCATGCACGTTTTGCATGAGCCATGATGTAGTCTGTGATGCATGCCCTAGCATCACAGATTTTCTGAGGTCTTCTTGATGCCTATTCCGCATGACAAATGCCCTCTCCGGGAGGAAAAATTAGAATCCTTTTGCTGCTCATACAATACAGATTTTTTTGACATCCAAATGCAGCATCACAAGTTGCATCCTTCCAGACCCAGACATTTTTGCAGTTGATACCGCATCAAATCCAACGCGGGTTGCGGGTGGTACAGTAGGTGCTTCTTCGTGCAGTTTTTCGGCTTCGGACGGGTCTTCTGACTTTTGTTGTCCGCTAATTGCAGCTTTTCCTCGCGACTCGCGGGTTTGCCTGCCAGGTACTGGTAGATCTTGGTCCGCCGTAATTTCATTTTCCGGTGCCAAATCTGGGACGATTTTTCTTTCGCGGTCAGCGGCTTTTTGTTGGCGTTCTTGGAGAAGGTAGTCGACGAAGTTGCAGCTCCTAGTACGCCGCCGGGTAAGAAATATTGCTGGGCACCTGTGCCACTCTGCTGTAGTAATCCGCCTTGGACGCGCGCCATCTGTTGTATTCGCTGCACCTCGGCCGGGGAAATGATCCGACCGTCCGGGGTCGTGTAGAAACCACCTTGCGAAAAAGCAAGTGCTTGCTGCTGCGCGTACGGCAACATTCCCGGATAATTATGACCTGGAATGATCCCTCCATTCGCAGTCCCGCCACACAAGGAGTTATCAAACACCTGTCTCTCATCTTCCGGCTGCCGGGATTTCATTCCGGCGAGATCCCTAGTAGTACAACCCGAAGAACCCCCGCTCGGCCGGAGCAGTGCCGCTCGCTGCAGCTGCTTGACCTCGAACTGAAATTGCTGCGATCCCCGCGTTGCTGGCAGCTGTTTTTGCTTTTTGCGCAACCGCCTCAGCCGCTCCGCGAGGGTTTTTTTCATGTTCTCCTGCTGAGGGTCAGGAGTCGGTTGGTTGGCCAGCATCCTGTAGTCGGAGTTGGTGCTCGTCTGAGAGCATTCATCATCGATGGTTGAGGAACCGGAAAATAAAGAGGGCGCTGACATGATACTCTGGCCGCTGCTCCGTATGTCGTGAAAAATCGGTTGTGGCTGCTCCTGCAGCACGTTATTAGAAAATGAGGAACTCGACGCGAGTGCTCTTCCTCGCTGCATCGGTGTCGGAAGACGTCCCACGAAGAATCCAGATGAACCAAAAGCCGATGGTGCTCCGATGAACAAAGAGGAACTGCTACTGATCTGTCGCACAGCATGAGCAGGGTCCCTTCCTCTGCAGGTCGTGTTGTTTCTCTTCGTCTGTTTTGTTGCCGCACTTGGTCGTGGCTCCCCAGTTCTTGTACTCGCTCCCGCTCCTCCGAGTAACTCCTGATCCATATCACACAGAAAAAAACTGGCAGGTCATATTTGTAATGCAAAAATAAATAGACAAAAAAATTTGCACTATTGCATATCCTAAATAGCATGCTATGAGGCCGCCCATGATAGATTTTTCATTTCTGTGTACTTATTCTTATTTTTGCATTACAAATATGCCCTGCCAGCTTTTTTCTGTGGGATAATCCATTCTACTGAACGCCGGGGGCTTTTTCAGCCGTTCGTTCATGTCTTCGTACTGACGCAAGGTCGTCTCCTTGTAGGAATTATGAACTGCAAAAGTATCGTACTCGTATAAATGCATGACAAATTTCCGCAGCATGAGCAATAAAATTTGTAATGCGGATTTACCTATAACAAAAAAGTTTGTGACGCATGATTGCAATACGAGTACGATACTTTTGCACAGGATAGGAATTCAAAATCGCGAGTTCGAAGCATTCCAGCATCTCCTGCTCGGAGTTCGCCGGGAACCAGTAGTAGCTCCGTGTCCGGTATGAATTGCAAATATGTATGGGCCTGGAAGAATACAAACTTGTGATGCGCATTCCAGAACACAGAAAAATCTCTCATGCATTGGTCGCAAGAGGCGCCCACTTTCTGTCACCAAAGTGGGGATGAATTTGTCATGCGGATTCGGCATTGTTAGCACGGGGCCACCTCGTACTTTTAGAGTTTTCAAAAAGACCGGAGCACGAGTTCAAAACCGAGTTCATTACGAGTTTAATCCGAGTTCAATAATTTGCCCATTGTCAGTTGACCTAAAAAAGGGCGCAGGTCAATTGACTTTTGACGATTTCCAGGCAAAGTCAATTGACTCTTCATTTTCGTTTTATGAGAAGCCAATTGACTTCTGAGAGCTTTTGCCAGAAAAGTCAACTGACTTCTGCAAAAAAATTGGGCACATCCTTCAAATTTTTGCTGTCTGTTTGCGAAATGAGCCGAATTCAGGAAAAGACATTTGACTTTTTTTGAAATTAGCATAAAGTCAATTGACTTTTTTTGATGCAAATTCCGCACAAAGTCATTTGAGTTATTGCAAACCACGCAAAGCCAGCTGACTTTCGACAGAAACGCTGGCTCTTTGCGATTTTGCAACAGGTCAAATGACTTTGCGAGAAATATAGGATTTTGTGTGCGTTCGTTTTGAACTCGCACTGAACTCATCTTTGAAGTCTTTTTGAAGTTTTTTCGAAGTACGAGGTGGCCGGATGCTAAGCATTGCGGAAGCTTCTCGAAAACTGTGATGCTCGAGCTTCCATGCCAGCACTTCTGTGTCATGTTGGAAGGCTAAGGGCAGGGCGTCCCCATGTAAATTATTTCGACAAACAGTAGCCGCATACCCGGTAAACTCTAGCGGAATTTATTGGGCAGTGCGATTTCTACCGAAGAACATCCACAGCAACTACTGGGACGGCTGCGACGGAAGTTGTGCGGGTGCCCAAGTAGAAATAGTTCTGCGCAACGCCTTCAACTAGCACCGAGGGAGGAAAAAGAAAGGTAGAAAAGTGAGAAAAAGAAGGTTCATCCAGCACTTCTGTGTCATGCAAAGGTTCATCCAGCACTTCTGTGTCATGCAAAAACAGCATGACGTTAACGTTTCCAGGCCCAGACGCTTTTACATTTGATATCCGGGCTGCGCTCTGCTGATCGTAACTCACCCAGCAGAGTTTGTCCTTGTTCGTGGCCGCCCCCTCGCAGACAACGTTGGGAACGGTGCTGACCCACGTGCCGACCGCGTTGCGAAGAATCTTATTCGCGTCGAAATACGGCTTGCGAACTTTTTGGTTCCGCAAATGAGCCGGAATCCCTTGGTTTCTCGTTTGCTGTTTGGTTTGCTCCTGCTTATTATTCCGGTGCCGGTGGGCGTGGGAGGTCGGCTCATGTTGAGACCGTTTCATCGATAACACGGCCCCTTCGGAGGTTGTTGGTGCTGCGAAGTCCTCTAGAAGATGAGCATCATTTTCAATTGAAGGCGAGCGCGTTGAGACCGTGGGTTCATCAGTAGAATCTTTTTTGTTCTTTGTGTCGGCGTCTGATAGTACCTGAGGGGACACTTCTGAGGAGGAGGGCGAGGGCAGGGCAGGCAAGCCACTGATTCTTGCTGGTGTTGTACCGGAAGTACTTGCAGCCGCTTTTGTTGCGTCGAGCTCGACATCGTCTTCAACGTCAACCTCCTCGTCGCACTGCATCATGACAACATGATCTGCCGCATCGCGCTCTAGTCCTCCCACTGCACGATCAGCAGCACCGCTTCCAGCTACAACGCTCGGCTGTTTGCCAAGCTCGCCCAAATTTCTTTCGCCCTCCGCCCCCGCCGGTGCAGTAATATCTTCAGGCAGTGTTTCAACAACATCTGCAGCGTCGGCAGTCTCTTCTCTGCTGGCACTCGCCCTGTTAGTGAGAGGATGTAGTTCATGTTTCTTCAGGCCCGAGCTCGACGTCGAAAACAAGCGGAAAAAAAACCGCTCCTCATGCTGCTTCTCCCGCTTCTCGAAATCCGCCGGAACAACAGCAGGAGGAGGAGGAGGAGGTAAAGCACCAACGATGTTTCCGGCATTTTGATCAACACCGGGATACAATTCGTCCCGCTCCTTTTCGTACTCACCGGCAAAATTGGTGACATTTCCCTGCACCCACAAAACAGGTCCGCGGTGAGCTTCGATCCTTACTCGTTTCGACGTCCAGTGCGTCTTCTTTTTCTTTTTCTTCAAGCCGAAAGTCATGGGAGGTTTCCTTTTGGTCTGCTTCGCTGCTGGTTTGATGCTTGTTGCGTGGTCATCTGGGTGTTTCCTGACCGGAATGGTATTTTGGTGGTGGTGAAGAACGACCATACCAGCATTTTTGCTCGAAGATGATGCTGATGCACTTGCGGTCGACGACGACGTTGGGGCCATACTAGCCATACCAGGGCCTCCCAGCGCTTGGTTATGGGCAGTTGATGATCTTCCACCTGTCGTAGAGACGCCGCCAAAAAAATGTTGTGCTTGTTGGCCAGGATGCGTCTTCTGTACTATCGGTTTCTCCGGCTGCAAAACATGCCCTAACGCTCCTGTGCCAGCACCTCCTGCAAGGGGTACCTGTCCACGTGCCGTGCCAGAGGCCGCGAATGGATCACGCCAGTCGTCCATATTTTTCGGGGGTGCAGCAGTGCTCGAGGAAACCGCCTGCGCCGGCTGTGCCGTCTGGTGCGGAACAGGATGGCTGGCGACAACAGATGAAGTGCCAGAGGTCGTGTTCATCATGTTCTACGTTTTTCGCTAGGAGATGACAGAATCAAATAAGGAGAAAAGCTACAAAAGCGGTTCTCGTCGACATGAAAGCTCTTTCAATCAAAATCAGAGTTGTGATCTTTGGCCTGGGATTTCTTTATTTTTCATAGTCCAAGACGAACTTTTTTGTCCAGCAAGACGAATCCGTTCCCGTTGACTACTTCTGCAGCTAGATAAGTACAATGCACCGGATGTGGCGGAAGTGGAACAGCATCAACAACAGCACAACTATCACTATACAGCTCGAGATGAGCGGAAGCATGAGCATCAAGCCTCATCTTTTCGCGTAAGTCGCGGTGTAGTTTTTTGTAAGAAGCCCTAGATGAGTTGTTTGCAACAACGACCACGACAAAGCCTTTAAGTACAGTCACATCCATGATGTCCGTGCGTTACTTGGGTTAGAAGCAGCCACAACTATTGACATTTGATGTTTCATGTTCTTCATCATAATTGGAGGCCATGGAAGATTTTTGTGTTTAGGAAGTGAAGACTTTAACCTCATCTGTAGTCTCAGAATCAGAAGTAGAATCGACGGAGGTGGACAAGGCGTCATTTAGTGCAGCAGCTCCCTTCACATAGCCTATAATCCTATTCGTGTCGACAAAGATTGAGACGTCAGATGAAGTGTCTAGCGATGATTTTCTCTCGTGCACCTTCTTTAGTAGATGAAGTGGTGCTCTCTGGTGTACATTGACATTGACATTGTAGAAACCATCTTCTTTCTTTTTGAATTACTATGAGTGAGTCCCGAGGATAAGACAGCATTTGTTCCGCCGGGGAATGCTGGCGGTTGAGCAACTTCTAGAAAAAGTCAAAAGCAAGATAAAAACGGGTCTCATCATGCACAGGCGTGGGTACATTTATGGAAAATTTTAAAGTAGTTGCTCACCCAGCTGCGGTAGTACGCTTATAAAAACTGAAGATGGTTGTCGACGGTTCATTTCGAACTTCTTTCCCGATAGCCTTAGCCGGTGTAAATTTTTCCACAGCTGGCCAGAAACAGCGCAGAAAGCAAGCGTTGTCTTTTGCATGGTAGTAACGGTAACGAAGAATATCGTGAGCGCGAGCGGTACATGATCAGAAAAATACGCCGCGTCTGGGTCAGCGTCAGTGCAACAGTAGAAGTTATGTTTGTTGGCAAGCGAGCCCCACGACTAAAAAATCCTGACCGCTTGTTTTTGTACCTCCCCTTACGCAACATCGTCGATTTCCGCAGACTCGAAGAGTTCATCGATTTCCGTTTTTGCCGGGCCACCCTTCTTCGGCTCCACAACTTTCTTCGGCGCAACCTCCACAATCGCTTCCTTCGACCTGGTTGTAGTCCTCGACCCCACCGGACTATTCCCAGCCCCGTCCAACAATTTCTGTTCGTCGATGACGTTCGCATCCCGCTTCATCTGGCGCTGCACCAACTTCGCGTAAATTCCGCCTTTTTTGCACAGTTTTTCGTGCTTCTATGCATTGCAAAAGTATCGTACTCGTTCGCACTAATCACATTCATGCATTACAAATTTCTTTCTCAAGTCAAATCCCCATTACAAATTTCATTTCTCATGCCGAGGAAATTTGTCATGCGAGTTCTACTAGTACGATGCTTTTGCATTTCATAGGTTCCCGAGCTCCACAATCTTGCCCCCGTTCACCACCGCGATCTGATCCGCGTTCATCACCGTGGACAACCGGTGTGCAATCAACAGCACCGTGTTGCTATGGATTGCAAAAGTGTCTGGGTCTGGAAGAGTGGGACTTGTAATGCTGTCTGGGGATTCTAAAAATATCTGTGTTGCATGAGCAGCAAGAGGAGTCAGTTCTTGGCAGGCGGAGAGGGCGTTTCTCATGCGTAATTAGCATCAAGAAGCTCTCAAGAAATCTGTGATGTTAGCACCAGCATCACAGACCTCACGGGCCATGCAAAATGTGCATGACAAGTCCCAACTCTTCCAGAGCACCCAGACATTTTTGCAGTTGATAGCTGTTGCACTGCTCCAGCAATCTGTCAATCCCCTCTTGCACCAACGCTTCGTTTTCCGCATCCAGCTATGAACTACAACAGTATCGTACTCGTATAAATGCATTACAAGTTTCCTCAGCATGAGAAATAAACTTTGTAATGCGAATTCACCTTAAGAAAAAGATTTGTTCTTGTAATGCGTGATTGCAATACGAGTACGATACTTTTGCACAGGATACCAGCGCGGAGGTCGCCTCGTCGAGGAAGAGCAATTTTGGCTTTCGCAAAAAGCACCGCACTATCAAATGCAAATATGCCTGGGTCTGGACGAATGCCAGCTTGTCATGCATATTTTCCATGCCCCATGAGGTCGGCAATGCAGGACCTAGCATGACAGGTTCTGCGAAGTCTCTATCATGTCTATCCTGCATGACAAACTGCCGCTAAACTTGTTCAGAAGTGGACACGTTTTGGTATATCATGCAACACAAATTTTTGTGCTATCCAGACTTAGCATGACAGACTTGCAACCTTCCAGACCCAGACATATTTGCATTTGATACGCGCTAACGCCAGCCGCTGCTTCTGCCCGCCGGAGAGCATCACCCCCTTCTCGCCCACCCGCGTTTGGTACTTGTCTTCTGTGTCCATGATGAAGTCGTGCGCGTTGGCTAACTTACACGCTTCGATCACTTCCTTCGTCGTGATGGTTTCCCGGTTTTCCAAGCCGTAGAGCAGGTTGTCCAGAATCGAAGTTGCAAACAGCTGCGTGTCCTGGGCGACGAAGCCGACAAATTTCCGGACGTCCTGGGGATTCAAAGTGTTCAAGTCCTTCCCGTCGATCTTGATCTTTCCCTCCGTGACATCGTAGAATTTCAGCAGCAAGTGAATGACGGTCGATTTCCCGCCACCGGATTTCCCAACCAGAGCGGTCGTCGTGTTCGGTTTCAAGGTGAGGTTTAACCCGTTCAATACCGGGTTCTCCGGCCGCGTTTGGTACTTGAAGTGCACATTCTCTAACTTTATCTCGCCCTGCATCGTGGTCACGGGGAGGAGATTACTAGAATTATTTGCGGTTTCGACAACATTTGAAGATACCTGCCGGGAAGATGAAGTAGAGGTGGGGGACAATGTGCCAACCGCAGTTGTCGAGGTGGAATCGGTTTCAGGTAAAGCATGCGCCACGACGTCTTGCAACTCGTAGTCGCTGGTACCGAAACCACCTGAATTCGGTGACGAGGAAAGCGCTGCGGCCACTTCCGCTGCGGACACGTCGGACTTTCCGGCGGGGGAGGACTGTGCCGCGTTGTGTGTGTTGTTCAAATTAATATTGTCCATCTCAGCCCGGTCCTCCGCGGAGAGTAAAGGCTCGCCGTGGACGATCGTAATAGAGTTGCCGTTACTGTCCTGCTGTTGTACACTGGTTGTAGTATCAAAGCTGGAAGTCGAGGTAGCGGACCGTAGATCTGTACTAGTTGCGCAAGTGCTCCCCGTGTTCAAACCACCGCCTGTACCGCCAATAGCTCCGGTGGTAGTACCTCCGCGGCCTTGCTGCGCAAAAGTAGTTGCTCCACCAGTCACACTCAACGCCGCGGTTCCTCTAGGTACCTATCAAAAGGAAAAATCCCCCCTCCCCATATCGAAAACGAAATGTGTGATGCTGTATTTGAGTACACAAATCGACTTGTAATGCTAGAAGGCCAAGAGACGCAGCTGCGGCCTCGTTTGCAGGCAATTTGTCATGCTGTTTCCCACTTCCATCTGCCCCCTGTCATGCTGAAGATGCAAGGCTTTCCCACGCCAACCAGCACTACAGTCCGCATCTTTTCCACCCTTTTAGCATGACAAAGCTGATTTGTGACCACAAATCTGCATCGCAAATTTCTAGTTTGAGTGTGGGGTGGGGGGATTTTTCATTTCGATAGTACCGGCGTCTTCACCAGATTCGCTTTGTCTTTCGTGGCGTCGATGATCTTATGGAATGAAAAAAGGTGTGGGTCTGGAACAAAGCAGCTTGTCATGCTAAATCTGAATCATGCAAAAATCTGTGTTGCATGATTACCAAAAGCTGCCCACTTTATTTGACCTAATCGAGCGGCAGTTTCTCATGCAGGATAGGCACGATAGAACTCTCACAGAATCTGTCATGCTATGTCCTACATACCAGACTTCATGAGTCATGGAAAACCTGCATGACAAATCTGGCATTCTTCCAGACCCAGACATTTTCACATTTGATAGATCTGAAACACCCGCTCTGCGGCGGAGGAAGCGCGGATCAGTTGGTTGAAGACATTGGATAAATTTAGAAACGCCGAGTTCATCATGTTCCAGTAGAGTTGAAAAGTGATCAACCCGCCAATCGTCAGCATGTCGCCATTGGCTCCACCACTGTCCGGCCTGTTGTTCGTCGAGTTGATCACGCTCACCCCACCGTACCACAGGATGAGAATCGCGGTGAAGAGGTTCATGTAGCTGCTGAAGGCCTGCACACTGGCGCCCACGTAGCTGTTCTTCGTGCCGTAGTTTAAAGCAACGTTGACTCCCTGGTCGAATCTGTGGATTTCGTAGTCCTCAGCCGCGAACGCCCGAACCGTTCGGATGTTGCTGATCGCCTCGTTCGCGACGGCGTTGCAGTCACCGTAGGCCTGCCAGATCCCCCGGTTGATCCCCTTTGCCCACCGACTATACCGGCGGTACATAAACGTGATCGGCGGGACCACGCAGATCCCGAGGATGGACAAGCGCCAGGAGGTGTAAAAGGCCATGAAGATCCCGCCGACGAGCAAGATTTATGCAGTGCAAGAGTATCGTATAATTCGTATGAAAATGAATGCAAGTCTTGCATTACAAATCTTTCTGCTCAGGCAAATCCGCATGACAAATACAAATTCCATTTCTCATGATAAGGAAATTATTTGTAATATTGCAATTATACTAGTACGATTATACTTTTGCAATGCATAAGATGGTGTTCGAGACTAAGTCGTTCATGATGGTGGACAAAGGCGAAACCATCGCGGAGACGTCGTTGGTCAACCGGGAGGTCAGCTGCCCGGTGTGCATGGCGTCGAAGTGCGCAATGTCGATTTGAATCAAGCTGTGGAACACTTTCCGCCGGGTGATCGCGGCAAGGGAGCGCATGGAGAGTTCGATGCCGAGGGAGCGTAAGCCGTTGAAGAAACCGGACAAAACGTTGACCGCAACGTACCACCGCATGACAGTGCGGAACCGCTCAACGTCCGGGTGGATGGCCGGGTGGTCGTCTTGCAGAACCACGGGGATGTCGTGTCAAATGCAAATATGTCTGGGTCTGGAAGGTTGCAACTTGTCATGCAGATTTTACATGACCCGTGACGTCTGTGATGTATTCCCCAGCATCACAGATCTTCTGAGAGCTTCTCGATGCCTATTCCGCATGACAAATCCCCTCCCCGCGTAGCACAAACTGGACTCCTCTACTTGCTAGTCATGCAATACAGGTTCTTTTAGATTATCCAAAGCTAGCATCACAAGTTCCAACTTTCCAGACTCAGACATATTTGCATTCGATAGGTCGCAGGGATTGACGAATTCGAGCACCGGTTGGATGAACAGTGCGTAGGGGTCCAGCATCTCTTGCAACGCGGACAGGTCCACGTAAAGTTTTTGCGAAATCGGGTCGGTTGCTGCGTGAAATGCTCCTTGTGCCGCTGGTGCTGCAACTGTTGAGGAAGTGAATGCGGAGGTTGCTACTTGCTCCTGTTGAAGTATTTGATCCGGAGCACTAGTAGGAGTCGCCAACATGTTCCCGAGAAGTCCCCCATGATCCGCTGCTACAGTCCCACTCGTGCTAAGGGCAGCAACAGCTGCAGCAGGTGCGCCACCAGTGGTTATCATCTTCGACGCCTTTCCAATGATCGCGTCGAAAATCTGCCCCTGCAAATTCGGCGCCATCAGTGTCAAAATCTGGCAAACCACCAGGCTCCCGGTCGCCATCAGCATGGTCGGCCAGAATTCCATGCACATCTCGATGCATTTTTTAAAGTATCCCATGGTGGTAAGCGAGTCCTTCTCCTGGCCCTCATCATCGCGGAACGCCACCCCCTTGAAATTCGGATTGTCTTTCCGCCGGTAGCAACGTGGGCAGAGGTCGAAGTCGCAGGTTCTGCACCGGTACGCCTCAAAGTACGGCTTCTGCGTCTTTTCGTGGCACACGTCGCAGTAGTGACACTGGAGATCGAGCGTGAAGAAGAGCGGGTGTGGATGGAGCCGCTTCACCACTTCGCCTTCTTCCTTGGTGAGATCCTCAATGAAGTCCCGGAGAAGGAAAAATTCCAGATTGATGAGGAAAACCCCCGTACCCAGAAAATAGGAAAGCCACCGCGTGCTGGTGGCGGAGTCCGAGATGAAGTCGAAGCCAGGATCTTGCGTAAGATTGCTGTTGATGTTGCCATCGCTGAAGAAGGTTTTCGACACGAACAGGTGGAATAGAGTCGAGGGCTCCTCACCATCCGGGGAAGCAGAGCTTGTTCCTCGTCCGTTGCTGCTGTCATCTCCGAACACGACCGTTTTCACCCCAGTGTAGACCGACATGGCGAAGCAGCACACGAAGAGGAAATACAGCAGGACCAGCTTCGCGAATTCCGCCGCCTTTACGTCGTTGACGTACAGCTTTTTCCTCTCAACACCGTCCGAATCCCGCTTCTCGCCCAGAGCATCCACCGCAGGTCGGTTGAGGTTCTCGAGGAGAAAGTCATCTGCGGTGGACGAGGGTGCAGTTGAGCTGCTAATTCTACTGCTCGAGGTTGTATTTTTTGGAGAGGAAGTCGAAGTGGTTCCTCCTGGCACCTCAGCGCAAATCAAGAGTTCCGATGCGACGTTTTCCGCGATATCCGCAGAGGAGCTGCTGCTCGAGGATTCGTCAGAGGTGGTTGCTTGCTCGATGTGGCTCCGGGCGCGGCGCATCCCACGACGCCACCACCAGACGGAGACGATCCTGGATAAGATCGGTTTTGAAATGAGTACTATTCAATTACCTCCTTTTCATCATAAGTACTGACTTACATGCAGAAACGTCATCGCAGTGTACTTTACAGGAAGGGCTTTTTTCTTATGGAAAAAGGCAACACATGAAATACGTGATGCCAGCGGACAGCACGGCGCGAAACGCGGCGAGCACCAGTAAGTCCACGGCGCCATGGTGGAATTCCCAGATACTGGACTGTGCGGCCCAGATTGCACAGATGAACTGCAAAAGAAGGTCGAGCGCGAAAGTGCCACCAACGGCAAGCTTCCATGCATTACGGTCGAAGAGAGCGAACACGCACCAGGCCATGGCGGGCTGAGGTGTTTCTCGGAGAGGCTACGTGGCTCCTGGGGTGGATGAATCAGGAGAAGAAAACGCTTTGCCTTGACTCCGACTCGACCTCGACGGGAGATGCGGTTGCGAGCGCTCCGGTGGCTTCTATGCTCCAGAAACCAGCACCGACGGAGAGGAGGATGGACTAATCCAGGGCGGTTCGCTCATCGTGTTGATGTTTGGCGCTTACAGATACAGATACCGAATCGAGAAATTCGTTACCTCCTAATATTGACTTAAAGATTTCTCCTTGTTGTCTAGGCCAAATGACAAGGACTGCTATGCCGAAATCAATGCCGAACCCGAAGACAACAGGAACTCGGTCAAGGGACAAACTTAAATGTAACATAGGTGAGTAAAAACGTGGTGCCATCGTCGACTCGTAATACCCTTCTTTTCACAAAGATAGAAGAAAGTTGTACATGGGGAGCTGCTAGTGGGTATATCCGATCGCTCAATTGTATCACGAATGACATTGCGAAATATGAGGCGCAAGCAACACACCAAAACTACTATCGCAGAGTACTTTGCATAGACAGACAAGCCCTATTTAGTAGATATCGGCAACCTAGAACACCGACCGCGGACTGGCTGTGGTGTGCGATGGATTCTGACGCCACATGGCTCGCATACTAGGCGCGAAGCCACAGACATTCCCCCATGGGCCTGCATATTTACTTCCTTGCAAGGGCGGCAACATCTTGCGCCGATGAAGACGGGCGGGGCCAAGAACCAACAGAACATAGCTGCGCTTCTTGGTCACCAAGGAATGCGGGGCACTTTGAGGGGGGGGCGGGATGGAAATACCCGAGAGGGCACACCCTCGCCCCCCCCTTCCTCCCACGCAAAATAGCGAGCACGACAACCAAACAAGCCGCGGGGCACACCAACCCCACACGAAGAAAATCCAAGCAAGGGCGTACGACACGAGGCCCACCGGCCGGCGGATGGAGGCGCGCACCTTGGCGGCGGCAAGTGTGTCGTCGATACGGAACGGAGGGGCCCGCTCTGGCCGCGCCCTCTTCAATGAATCAGCGGCCTCCCTTTCGGCCTCCATTGTGAATTGGTGCGCAGGGCCTCGCCCTCGCCTACTTGGTCCGGGGCACGATCCGAGACAGCGCAGAGCTTGCGCCGCACTCCAGGGCCCCGCCGACCTGTGCGCCACCTCTTTTTATCACGATGGGAGCCAGCTATAGGCAGGCGCCGGCGCTGCCGCCGGCCCCATCCAACCAGGCCCGATAGCATCCAGGCGACCGAACAACCGACCAAAGCCGCAAGGGCGGGCAGGGAGGTGCTGCGCGCGGGCGGGAGCATAGGCACGGAGGCCCCCTGCGAGCAATGCGAATGCGTTTTCCAGGGAGGCCACACGCTTGGCGGCCGTGCCTGTATCGCATGTCACCACATCGGCAACAACAAAACACCTGCCCCCCCGCCCCATTGCCGCTAGTAGGCCCCACCCCCCTGCTGCGCCACCCGGCCCCATGCGCTACCACGGGCACAGGCAACAAACTACGAAACTAACACGCCACCCGCTTCGGCGGTCCCCTGATTCTTGTGCCGCGTCCAGGCTTCCCCGGCCGCCGCCGTCTAATCCCCGCCCGCCCGGCACAAATCGCACACGCGCAAGCCACTAAGCGAGCCCACCTGCCGGCGGGGGGGCCGCGACTGCATGCAAGGACACCCAAAGCCAAAGGCGACGCCAACCCGCGCGGCCCGCCTCCGAATCGCTGCGCCAAACAACCCACGCCACCACCGGAGAGATAGGCCACTGCTACGGGCTTCGTTCGCCCTTGTGGTTCCGGAGGAGGTTATCTACTGCGCCCGCGTCTGTGCGCCGGCGGGGAAAGGGGGGGCGGGTTCTTCAGCGAGCCCTGACGAGTCTCCCGCCGCGCGCGCGCCTATTCTACGAGGCGGGGCAGCGAGCTGCGCCCCAGGCATCTGCGCGCCGTCTGCGTTGCCGCTGCTCTTTGCCCGGCCCGGGCAAAGGGCAGCGGCAACGCCAAAGGGCGCCCCACGCCGTCACGCGCGGCTGCGTCTTCCTTCAAAACTTGATGGCGGCGCTAGGCTCGCGCGCGTTTCATCTGTCCGCATTGCGTGGCGCAACTGTCGTCGGACCAGGCGCCCCCGCGCTCGTCATCCGAATCTACCGCCGAACCCCCGAGAGCGTGCCCCTTCCGATTCGCCGCAATTTCTCGCCTCTCGCAGTCCGTCTTCTTCTGGGCCAGAGTGTGCGCCCCGACTTGCCTCGGGCCTCGCGGCACTCTCCACGCCCACCCTCTGCCTTCCCGAGCTCTGGGCGCCGGGGCCAATGAAATAGAACAGCGGCGCCGAAGATAAAGCAGCGAACAGCCCGACTTTGATACAGTCAGGTGGATTCCCAAAACCGATTCTTCTGGTTAGGTGCGCAAGCTAATGTAAGTAAGATGAACTAGAAAGTAAGATGAACTAGAACACATCGACATCGTGAGCTGCAACGTGAGTTACTTTCTGACAACGAGGCTGCATTCTTGCATCGACGTCGAGAGTCAGAATGATTTCGTCTTCGTATTTGCAAAATATCACGGGTAAACTTCCTACATCTACGTGGCACTGTTGCGCTGAGGTGAAGTGTGCCTGTTAGTAAGCGTGTTGAAAAAGTCTGAAGCGTGCAAGCCAGCCAGTGTCAGCAGAAAAGTTCTGCAGCATCGCATTTGTTGCAGTATGATGCGACTCATTCAGGTCGCTCCTCTTGTTCTGCCAGTTGTTGGAGCCAAGGCTTCGTATACGGATATCAGAAGCCTGTGCCTGTCCTGCACGTTGATGAATGACGGAAAAAAATTATAACTCCTGGTGGCACTTCTTGTAGTCAAGAAGGATTCGGATTCCATCTAGGATGAGTGTTGAAGAACTACATCTACACCTACACGGTGGTCGTGCACTAGATACAAAAACAAATGCATCGCTGCAGCAACTACGTTGCCGATGCCGACGACGAAGCCGAGGACGACGAAGACACACTGTAGCGGTTGTTCATACCTCCGCCGGCCAACGGACTCCCTGGTCTACCACCATGAGAACTATTATCTGCAGCGCCACGGTCAGCAACATGATCCCCGCTCTCCTTCAAGCCGCCATGCGGAAGATGACTGGCACTTGGCCCACTCGAAGATGAGCCTTCCGACACTTCTAACTCCGCCAAGAAATCGACGTACAGCTGGTTTTTGTCCCACCGGTTCTTCGTCATCATGTCCTTCAGCAGCATGTGCGGCGTGTACCCGCTGTGATCCCGGGTTTCCTTCCGCAGTCCGAGCACGCCGCTTTTTCGCAGCAAAAACCTGCAGATGTGCAGCGCCCCGTCCGCGGCCCCTAGGTGCAACGCGTTCCGGCCCTCGTGGTTGGTCGCCTGGTAGAAGGCAAGCGGAAACCGGAGCTGCAGATGATGCGAAGACGAAGATGAACTTTGGCCGCCGCGGCTGTGTGCTGCGGCGACGCTGCTGCGCGGGTTGTGCACCGCAGCGGTGGCTAGCCCGCGAGGTGGGGGGTTGGCAGGGTCGCGGTCGCCGGCGCCAGTCCCAGTGCCGGTGGAAAATAGACCTGTGACAACTGGTGGACCCCGCCGAGGTGCAGCCGCTGTCGTGCGGTCCTCTGTCTGTGCGGGACGAGCAAGAGCATCTGGTCCGGCTGTTGGTGCAGTCGCTCCTCCAGTTGCAGTGCCAGTACCAGCTTCAGTAACAGAAGTTTTCGGGCTACTTGGATCTACGCTCGAGGTGGCGGAGGCGTTGCTCCCGCGCGGTCCTCTGACTACACCGGTACTCGCTGCACCATTTGCATCTTCAGTGTTGTCTGCAGCTATGACGTTATCTCCTCCCACTTCAATATCTTCCTCACCAGTATTCGTTTGCTGTCCCACTCCTTCAACCTGGCTCCGCTGGTGCAGCTGCCCGCCAACATTCGTCCTCCCCGCAACGACAACCCGTCCCCCCGCATCTCCTGCCGGCTCGGTTTCGGATGCGGAGCTGCCGCTTCGACTGCTATTGAAGAAAACCCGTTCCAGGTCCTCCGCGAAGCGGAAGCTGCTCGCTGCGTACAGAAACGCGTTGTTCCCCTGGTGGTCGCGTAATTCCAACTGGTGCCGGTACTTTTCTTCCTGGACAAAATATTCACACACCCCCACGTACCCCCTTCTTGCCGCCGCCAGTAAGGCCGTCAAGCCCTCGTTGTTTCGTTGAAAATGCAGGTTGAATCGCGGGTCGATCGACAACGAGCGGCAAAAGTCCGCGTACCCGTTTTCGGCCGACACGATGAGCATCGTGTCCCCACGTTTATTCATGCTGTTGATAGAGCCGGTAAAGACCTCCTGCGCCTCGCCCGACAGAAGGAAATTGCAGATCGCGCTGTTGCCGTACCCAGCCGCGAGTAACAGGGCGTTGTTGCCGTGGCGGTCGACCTGATCAAGGTGAGGCAGGGTGAGAACTATAGAAATTGAAATGATCGATTGAGCAGCAACATCCTTTGGTTAGCACTGATTTCGTGCGGAACTCTACTTCGAAGTAAGTTCATCGTTGTCGCACGGCACTTAATTCTTGTTTCAGATCGTGATCGCACTCGAGCAAACATGAGTTCCGCACAACACCAGATTCAAATCCTTACCTCATTCACTCCGTTTTTGTCAAAATGCTTGTGGTTGAAGAGCAGTCGGCAAATGTCCATCCTCCCCATCGACGCCGCTCTGAGAATATCCTGTGCAAAAGTAATATCGTACTCGTATGAATGCAAGTCTTGCATATGCAAATCTTCTTGCTAAGGCAAATCCGCATGACAAATTCCATCTCTCATGCTAAGGAAAGTTGTATTGCAACTTATGCTAGTACGGTAGTTTTGCAATGCATAGAGAAAGGCGTTCACCCCCTCGGCGTTCCGCTCGTTGGCACCCGTGAAGTTTTCCTCTTCAAGAATCATGCGCGTAATGGGCTCGGAGAAGCTCGCGGCGAGGAGGAGAGCGTTGTTGCCGACCTGATTTTTTGACAGATAATTTTTGTGTAGCTAAACGTATTATTCAAGAAGATGCGACCGTAATGCATGTTTGCATCAAATAAACACACAAACATCATATTCATACCGCCATATTAGATAGTAAGTACATTGTTCTTCACACTGACGAAGTTTTCGGCAAATTTTCCTTTGTGCGACAGCAGTAGCTCCACGGTTTCGATGGAACACCGGTAAATCGCCTGGTGCAGCGCGTTGTTGCCGTCCTTGTCCCGCGCGTCCAGAAACCCCGGCGCGAACCGGTCGCTGTGCATGATCAGGTACTGCAACAGTGCCTTCGTCGCACCACCGTATCCGGATCGAATGGCACGCAAAAACCCGTTCCGCCCGTCGTTGTCGGTGACGTTGAAACCAGTGAATGCGTTTTTGAACAGACACTGCTGGATTCTGTACCGTCTTCTGCGAAAAACGGGAGGGGGCTGGTCATGGCCGGGATGAAACATCAGTTGCTGCCCATTGTCAACAGCACCTCCAACGGGGTTCAACCGATGGAAGAGACCGCCACCAGCACCGACTGCGCGCGGGCGCAAGGCCGCTGGACCGCCGCCTGCAAAAAGTAGACCCGCGCCTGGCTCTTGCGCATTTTGTGCTGCGGCAGCAGGTTGAGGAGGTGCGGCACCGATCTGTGGCGGTCGTGGTTGCCCATCATGATCTACTTCGTTGTTTCCTTCACGAACAGCATCTTCGTGCGCGATGGGTCCACGACCCTCCGCTCCACCAGCAGCGGCGTTTTGCAGATTGCGACTTGCGTTTGGCCCTAGGTTGTTGCGGTTGTCTTGCCGCAGAAGCCCGTGGTTTTCCAATGTGGGGAAGACAAGCCGTGGAGGTCCCGGCGCACCGGCCACGAACTGGTTCGCTGTCTCGATCGTTTGCACAGCGGCGGCGGTCTGAGTCGTCGAATTTAAAGTGGGGAAAAAACTGATGTTTGACTAAATTCAATTGCACACACTTCCAGAACCAAAAGATTGATAAATGATGAAGTGAAGACACTGACACGCCAAAGAAGCTGAATGCAAAAAAAACTTTTTCTTTGATCATACCTGATGATCCCGTCGCAAAGGTTGAAACCTTCTTCGTCCAGCCTCGTCTGTGTCACTGACCTCCTCTTCCTGTTCCTCGGATCCGACGCTCGCAGCCACTGCTGCTGTTGTTTCTGTTGCTCCCGCTCTATCGCCGAGTAGTTGCGGGGTCTCGTTTTCTGGATCGCGGCCTTGATTCTCTGGTCGTGCTCCAACCGCTCCTCGGCTGGACGAACTACTGCTCGCCGCCGCACTCTCGCCCGTCACCCGCAAAACCTGATCCACTTCGGCCGGGGACCACGCCTGCTGGCTGGGTCGACGGGGAGCGGATGTTGAGCTTACCAGTGCTCCTCCTTCTGAAGGTGATCCTACTTCATCTCGAGGACGACCTGTGCAGCTAGAGGAGGACGCACCACGACCGGTTTGTTGATTCTGAATTCCCGCGTTGTCGAGATCGTAGTGGCCTTTCTCCGCATTCCAAAGCTGTTGTTTCAGAAACCGGCTTTCCCGGGCGTTGTTTTCCGGCGTGCGGTACTTCGAGCCAGAAGATGGCGGCGCACTCTTCTTGCTCGTGGATCTGTCTTGCTCATCTCCTTGCGCGTTCGATGTTGCGGCTGCTGGCGTGGTGGAACAGAAGCGCTGGCCGGTCGGCGTAGCGGAAGACGAGGCGGCACTGGAGCTGCTAGAGGATGCATGTCCGACGCCGTCGTGCAGGTCGTGTTCTGCCGAAAGAACAGCAGGTGCAGCAACTTCTACACCTGCCGTTGAATCCACAGTTCCCGTCGTTGTCCCCGCCACGCTCGCTGCAGTGCCAGCCCCCTCTTCTTCGCTCGTGCCCCTCGTCACGCTCGATAGAGTAGTAGAGCCCCGTTGATTTAGATTTCCGCCGGTGGTTCCTTCCTCAACTCCTCGATCTTCGCCCGCGTAATTTTGTGCATAATCTGGACCTTCGCGTGGTCCTGCCTCCTGGTCAATCTGCGCGGCGAGTTCCTCGAAAATTCGCCTCTGATTGATCATCCGCAGGGCTTCCTGGCGCTGCTGCTCCATGTCCCGGCGTGGTATCTGCGGGCCGGCGCGGCGGAAAAAGTGGTCGCGGTCGTCGAGGTCATCATCGTCGTCGAAAAAGCCGTCTGAAGGGGCCTCGGGCGAGTACTCGTACTCGCTGAAAGAATGCGTGATGGACTGTTTACTCGTGTGATGTGGTGGTGGCGTCATGTCCTCGGGGAGCCTTCGCAGTGAAGAAGCAGCTGCAGCTGCTGCTGCACCACTACTAGTGGTCGCGGTGCCAGGGCCGAGCTCGGAAGGAGCCTCCACTGGTCTCTTGCTCGAAGAGCTGGATGGGGATGATTTCATTTTGTTGGAAGCAGCTGCCTGGCCCTTTACCTCACTCTTCGCTTCCTTTGGGCTATCCTGTGCCTCGTCGATGTTGTTCGCGTTTATTGTCTGATCATCAACGCCATCTGCATCTTCGGCTTCAACATCTCGCTCCGGAACTGCACCCTGTTCGCCTTGTACTAGTTCGTCGTTCGGCTCGTCGTCCGCTATCCCTTCCTCTTCCCCGTGGAGCTGCTGCAACGGCGGTCCCCTCAAAAATAAACCCGGCTCATCTACTATCCCGGCCTGGCCTGCCACTCGCGTCCGCCCACCCTCGATGTGCTCCAATACCTGGTGCTCGATCTGCAACAGCCCGGGATTCATGTTTTCCGCACCAAGACCGCCGACATTCATGATCCCCGGTCCGGCCTGGAGGTTCGCGGCCCGGGTGTTCGGGACGAAATGCGCTGCGTGATCGAGAAGTACTGGTCCGCCTTGAAGATTTCTTGCAGCTCCGTCTTGATGACCGTCTGCTTCTTCCCCCTCCGCCCGCACCGGAATCCGAATTTTGCCCTCGAGCAACAGACGCACCATCTTATGGGAGTGTCAGGATTGAAATCGTCAAAGTTGAAATGATTTGTCATGCATAAAATGCAACTCAGAGATTGTCTCTATTGCAGAGCACGCAAGGGAGGCAGATTGTAGTACTGACAAGGGTCCAGAATTGGATTGCTGATTAGCATGACAGAGAGGAGCCCTTTTGCCCGAAACAGCATGACAGACTTGCTCTAGAGGCCAGGAAAATTTGTCATGCGCCACTTGAAAACTAGGCGCCAACTGGTATCCGTTTTACGCATCACAAATTATTTCAACTTTGACGATTTCAATTCTGACAGATCCATACATCTGGATGCTACCGTAGTGACTGCAGGCGTAGAGGAAGGCGTTGCAGCCGTCTCTGCACTATGGATTGCAAATATGTCTGGGTCAGGAAACTTGTAATGCTAAAAGTGAATGGTATACACACCACGATACGCAGCTGTGCATGACAAATTTTCTGGCTGCCATGTCTTACGTATTCCGCATGGCAAACTGCGTTTTTGCACGACAGGTAAGAGGACCTTTTCGTGCCTATGCAACACAGATTCTCGAGTCATACCAGACAAGCATGACAAACTTGCACTCTTCCAGACCCAGACATTTTTGCATTTGATATACACTGTTCATTCACCCCCGCAAACCCGTCCACATCCTGCATCAACATCCGGCAGATCTCCACCTGGTTATTGCTCGCCGCGAACAGATATGCTGTGCAAAAGTATCGCACTCGTAGTAACTGCAGTCATGCATTACAAATCTTTTTCTTAAGGTAAATCAGCATCACAAAAGTTATTTTTCATGCTGAGGAAATTTGTAATGCATTTATACGAGTACGATACTTTTGCACTGCATAACAGAAACGCGTTCAGCCCGTATTCCGATTTCTGGTTGATGTCGATCGACAGAACCTCCCGCTGCTCAATATAGAGTTCTCAAACAGTACACTTTCAACTGGTGTTGCATGAGTTTGTCATGCAAAAACACCATCATCATCGACGCGATCAAGCTGCTTCGCATGACAAATTTGCCTAGGGCTAAACAGCGCCTACATCTGTGCGGAGTTTGTAATGCTAGAGGCGCAACCTCCCCCCTTTCGCTTTTCGCATTCTTGCATCACAAATTCATGTAACACTTGAGAATGTAACGTTTGAGAACGCCATACTCGATCATGTACTCGAAGATCTTCGGACAGCCCTCCCGGGCCGCGAAGAGAAACGCGGTTTCCTTGCCCCCGATGTTCTCCCTAATTTGCATCAATTCCTTCGCGCAGTCCTCCTGCAACGCGTACTCAAGGATGATTTTAAACAGCTCGAAATTTTTACATCTCACCGCCAGCATCAAAGCCGTTTCGTTCACGTCGGAGAGCTTGTTTACCAGCAAATCCCGCTTGTTTGTGTAGGGCGAGTTCAATATCAGCGAGCAGATCTTCACCAGTCTATCACTGACCCCGTTCGCGTGCGTCAGGTTCTGGTTCCAACCGAGCACTCGGATGATCGCGACCAAAATGTTGTCGTAGTATCCGTCTTATGCATTTTTAGGAAAGCATCGTACCTCTAGTGGAAAACGAAAAGGAAATGCAATGGCAGTACACATTCAAATTTTGCCGAGAGAAACAATGCAATCTGTAATGCTGGTTGCCCGCAGATGAGGCTGTGGCTGTTGACCATAGATCTGTCATGCATGACTGGTGCGAGGATAATTTTACGCTTAGTACTACGAGTACGACACTTTTGCAATTCATACGTCTCTCCCGTGCGTCTTGTCGCAAGGTGGGAACTTGAATCGGCCGGAATCCACGATGGCGAGGGCCTGGTAGGTCTTCGCTAGAGGCGTTTTTGTATTCCGGGTGACGTCGTAGAGCAGGTGGGTTTGGACGTCTTTGTCAAATATGAATTGCAACAGTAATATCGCGCTAGTAGTACTTAATTGCAATACAAATTCGCTCAGCATGAGAAATGGAATTATTTGTCATGCTGATTTGCCTTGGGAACGAGATTTGTAATGCATGACTGCATCTGCAATTACTGTACGAGTACGATACTTTTGCAGTGCATATCAAACGTCGTGTACTGATTCAGCTCCTCGTCGGCCATCTGGTACACGATCTCGTATCAAATGCAAAAGTGTCTGGGTCTGGAAACTTGTGATGCTGGTTGGCGAATCAAGAGAACGCCAGAAATGACGGCTCAGCATGACAGGTTTTTGAATCGCTAGGTGTTGTCTATTCTGCATGAGAAACTGGGTTTTTGCATGACACAAAAGTGGCGCTTTTGGGTACCTTGCGTGACAGACTTGACAGTCATGCTAGCAGAGCATGACAAACCTGGCATTTTTCCAGACCCAGACATATTTGCAATGCATATCTCGTAACACGTGTCCAAATCCTCCTCGTGGAGCAAGGCGTTGCTGAGGGATTCATATTTCCCGTCTTGGAGGTAGTCTTTCGTCTGAATCACCAATAACGCCGTGAAGTTGTAATCACGCATAAACTCGTCGTCGCGCATGATGTGCCCCTCTGCCTTGTCGATGTCCACGAAGTAGCAGAGGTTCACGGGCACCTTCCGGTCCGTCTTGGACAGGTGCTGCGCGACCAGCAAGCGGGCTTCCTTCACCGTGAGGAAGCAGGCGTTATGCAATACAAATTTCCTGTACATGCGCAAAATGCATCACAAATGTCACCAACTCGGAGGATGCCACTTGTCATGCTGAATAGGATTGAGTAAAAGTTTTGTCATGCAGAAACCGCATTTGCACGTGTACGGGAAATTTACTGTGGATAGGTGTCGTGCACGGGCAACGGGTCGGCCCCGAATTCGGATTCATCACTGTACGTCGGGAAAATGTCCTCGGATTTGCTCACTTCGGAGGGGGTGAACGCTTCCTCGTGGGCCGGCGCGTTGAGAAAAGAATCTCCGGGAAGATGCTGGTGTTGGAAAGGCGGCCCGGAATGTAGTGTCGAGTCTCCTGGAGCTGCAGCGCCGTCCTCTTGTCCTCGATTCATCTGCATGTTATCACCAGATGAGGAAGAGGAGGAACTGCCGCTGCCCGCGCGTACGAGCGGCTTATTCTGCTGCTTCGCGGGAGAAGATGATGTTCGGGGACTCGGCGTGCTGATGACGGGCCTATTTTTGCCGTTATTTCTTTCAGCAGCAGTAGTACCACTAGCACTACTTGCAAAACCAGCCCCAGCAGCACCCACGACCCCCGCCCGCGCCATCGGCTGCAAAAATGTGATTTCGTTTAGCCGTTCCTAGTATGGATTGCAAAAATGTCTGGGTCTGGAAGAGTGCAAGGCTTGTCATGCATGTTTTGCATGAACCACGATGCCTGTAATGCATGACCTAGCATCACAGATTTTTAGAAGGCTTCCTGATGCCTATTCCGCATGACAAATGCCCTCCCCCCGTAGCACAAACAGGACGGCTCTTGCTGGTCATGCAATACAAATCTTTTTAGAATCCAAACACAGCATCACAAGTTCCGACCTTCCAGACCCAGACATATTTGCATTTGATACCTGGGAGATCCCAACCACGTTCAGCGGGTTGTCGTAGAGGCGCGCGTTCTATCCAGAGGAAAAAACCCATCCACATCCATTTTTTGCATGACAAACAAAGGACTTTATACGTGTTTTGCATGACAAATTGGATGGGGATGGGTTTTTCTCTTGATACGTTGTACCGGAATTCCAGTTCGTTTATCATCTTACTGCCATCCTCCGTTGGGCTACACGCTGCGTTGCTGTAGTCCACGAGATTATCGGAGACGAAGCCACCCGGATCCGTTTCCACGTGCTCGTCGTCCTCGGATTTTGTTTCCCGTTCGGACGACGCGTACGCCTTCTTGTTTGGGGAGGCTTTTCGCTTCCGCCGCCAGTTCTCCGCGAATGCTTTCCGGGTTTTTTGCAGCAAAGTGCGCGATAAAGGGCGGCGCGTCGCGGACGAGGGAGAAGGACTGGAGCTACAAGTGGCTGTCGCTGCGGCTGCTCCCCCGGTCGGACTGGGCGGTTTAGAGATGGCAAGCTTGTTGCTTCGACTTTTATTCGCCGCTTTTCTCGAAGAAGTCCTGGTGTCTCCCGATTTTTCTTCCATCGTCAATGGGAGGAGCGAAGATGGTGAAGCGAGTTGCGCTTTTGCCGCGTCACCAGTTGTGCTTGGGCTCCTTACAGCGGCCATATTACTGCTGCTCGAAGAAGAGCTTGAGGAGCTCACTTCCATCGACGATGCTATTACACCGGTGTTAAAGTTCATCCCTCCACCTTGTGTGCCCGTCGCTTGCAGAGCTCGTCGTCCGTCCAAGAGCTCCGCTTGTTGCCCTTCATGCGCTAGTACACCTGCTCGTTCTCCTGGTGCCATCCAGGAACTACTGCTAGAGGAGGAGCCCCTAGTTTCTTGCAATGCAGCTTTCGCTGACGTCGTGGCGCCGGAGGCAGTAGGGGCAGCAGCTCCATTCGCACCTTGAGTTGACGAGGAAGACGACGGTCCGGTCGTTGTTCCGGTTGCAGAAGTTGTGCTTGTCGCTCCAGGTTGGCTTTCGGTCACCGTCGGGGGAGGCACGGGGACACGGACGACGTCCCCGGAAGCACGGTAGATCAGCAGTGACATACTGCGAAATTTCGTGGAAAAAATAAGTAAGTATAAAACAAGTGCACAGGAGACAGACGGAGACGCAAGATGAATTACACTTAAAGAACCCGAAAACCTAAACCAAATCCTTTATTTCATCCGGGACAAAGCAATAAATGCTGACTCAGCCTATTTTTGAGGTCTTTACAACATCAGAAACGAAACCGCTAGGAAAAGGAAATGACAAAACTCTACATTTTTGCAATTGCTACGAACAACTGCGCTCTCCAACTCATTCAATAGCTCTAGTACTTCTATTCTTGCAGACTATCGATCATACTCCCTGTCTCGCTACGACTCAACCTCTCTCTTCTGTCGAGACGAATTTCTTTTTCGTACGATGAGCCTAATGAGAGCTGCCCGCCGCATGGGCAACAAGAACAGCTATGGCATGTCGTTCCTTGCCATAAAGCGAAGATTTCATGGAAGGAAAATGCGGCATCAACAGGTGATTTGCCCACACAGGTCAACAATGGCACAACGACAGGACATGAGGACCTCTCCTGTGGTCAATTGCTTCGTCGAATTGTCTCCCAACTACTTCGTCGTGTTTTTCTTTAATTATTCCACCGAGGAAACAAATCACATCTGCACCCTTAGCCGCTCCGTTTCCGCATCAATTTGGTCCTGCGGCCAGCCTTCTGGCAAACATCGTCGGAGCAAAATCTCGTTGTTCGGTGCTGTGTTCATCGCTTCGGAAGGATTTTTGCTCTCGTCCGAAACCAGTTCCCAGAACGCATCTTTGTCCACGGCCCCGCTCAGCAGCGATTTTTCGTTAAAACAAACCAAAACGTCTTTTTGCTGCAGCTTGTTGCTCACCGCAAAGGAGTCTGGCTTACCAGCATCGCGGTCCAGCACTTTGCCGACCTGCAAAATCTCCATCTCGAGAGAGTTTGACTTGTAGGACACCACTTGAAACCCGAGACTTCTTTCCGCTGTTCTACTTCCAGCAGCTGTTGACTCATCTTCGCCTACAACTTCGTTTGGTACTTTTACCCGAAGTTGCAGGTACTGACTCGCGTACTTTTTCCTTAGAAACACAAATCCGGTCAGATTTTCCTTGCCGTAATTTCCCGATCTTTTCAATCGTTCCAATGCCCTCTGCACCTTTTGCACGATCGCTTCTTCCGGACTTTTCGCGTTTCTGTATTTCTCCAGAGTCAGCTTCACGTTGCTGATCTTCTCCCCGGAAAAGTTTACCAGAAAATCCCCCGCGACCACCCCATTTTTCTTGGCTCGGGACGTCTCTGCCTGGTTCACGGTTTTCACAACTACCTTCGGAAAATATGAATTGCAAAAGCATCGTACTAGTATAAATTGCATGGCAAATTAGCTCAGCAAGACAAATGCAATTTGTAATGCTGTTTTACCTTGAGAAAAACATTTGTCATGCATATTTGCAATTAGTACGAGTACGATACTTTTGCACATGGTAGAAATTTTTCCCAGGCTAAAGTGAACCCGAACAGGGCTTCGACTTTCTCACGCGCAGCTTTTTTCGCGTCGTTATGGGGGTGCCCGGATTGAAATCGTCAAAGTTGAAATAGTTTGTGATGCATAAAATGCAACCCACAAAGTGCCTGTCTTGCAGAGTAGGGAAGGGAGGCAGATTGTAAGCCTGTTGAGGGGTAGCAATAGAGCTGCTAAAAATGTAGCATGACAAAAGGCGTCTTCCTTACCCAAAGAGCATTACAGACAAGATTTCGACTCTTCCCAGATTTGTCATGCGCCACTTGAAAACTAGGCACCAACTGGCATCCATTTTATGCATGGCAAATCATTTCAACTTTGTCGATTATTTCGATCCTGACACTTCCATAGTCGTTCAAAACTGCTTCGTCGATGGAGCTCTGGTACCAACCGGCGAAACCCCACTTCGCAAGCGGCAGCTTCGGAATGCCCGCGAGCACAGAAATCAACCACTGCGGGCCTGATGTTGTATTCGTCTTGGATGTTGGGGGAATAGGTTTCGCTTGCTTGTTCGCACCTTCGCTTGATGTCGCACCACTTCCTCGGTTTGTACTACTTACCATACCTTCTTCAGTCGGAGGTGGCGTGGATTTCACTGTTGTGGAAAGAACTCCGGTCAATTCACCATCACCACGTCCAACTACAACGCTACTTCCGTTGAGCCGTTTGGTTTCCTCGAGAATTTGAGCTTTGGGCCAGCCTTCCGGGGTGCAGCGGCGGATGAGAAGCTCGACCGTCGGAGTTCTTGCAGGACTTTCGCTCGAAGCATTTGATATTTGTACCTGCTCTCCTGATGTCACCGCCTTCGAAAATCCTTCTCTGTCCACCGCGCCACTCAACAACGGTTTCGCCTCGCCGAGAAAGACCAGAATGTCCTTTTCCTGCAGTTTGTTCTGGACTGCGAACGAAGTTGCATCGGTTGTTGAGATTTTTCCCACTTGCAGGATCTCCATCTCCAGCGAATTCGATTTGTAACTGATCACGTCGAAGCCCAGAGTTTTCTCGGCGAGAAATTTTTCGTTTTCGCCTCCAGATGTTGTAGTCGGTATGGTCATCCCCAGCTGCAAATACTGATCCGCATATTTCTTTCGCAGGAAAATGAATCCACACAGGTTTTCTTTCCCGTAATTTCCGGACTTTTTCAGCCTCGCCTCCGCCCGTTGCACTTTCTCGACAATCGCCAACTCTGGCGCTGCTTCGGTGAATCCGGGAAGACTTTTCACGTTGCCTATTTTCTCGCCCGAAAACGCGACTAGAAAGTCGCCACTTACGATCCCGTTCTTCGCTGCGCAGGAATTTTCTGCAACTTTCGTCACTGGGACTTTCGGAAACTGCGACCTGTCCCACGCGAGTCTGATACCGAAAAGCTGCTCGAGCTTATCTTTCGGTGAAATTGTTGTGTCGTTCAAGATATGCATTGCAAATAAAGTATCGACGTACTCGTATAAATGCATTGCAAATTTCCTCGGCATGAGAAATAAAATTTGTACATGCGGATTGAGCTTCGGAGTAAAGTTTGTAAATGCATGATTGCAATACGAGTCCGATACTTTTGCAATTCATACAAAAGATTAGAGTCGATGGAACTTTGGTACCAACCCGCGAAACCCCACTTCCCGAGCGGCAGTTTGCTCACACCGGCTAGGTGTGAAATCAGGAATGGGGGGAGGGGTGGAGGGTCGACGTTTGAGGTCGTGGCTTGTTTGGTGACAACATAATTCGAGTTCGCGGCCAGCTCTTGCCTCGGTTTGGTGGAGGAAGTAGACTGCGGGGGCTCCACCTCTGGCTTTGCTTTCGCCATCTCTTCTTTGTCACCCTTCAACGAGGGTTCTTCTTGATCCAGTTTCTTTTCTCCATCCTTCGGCTTTGCCGCCGTCATGTTTGATGGGGGTTCTTTGATGTCGACCACATCGGTGCCGGAACTACTTCGTCCTTCCGTTGCCTCTTTTAGTGCCGAGGTCGTGGTGGTGTTGGCTGCCTGCCGCGATGAGCTGCTCACGCTTTTATCTTGTCCTTCTGTAGCAGCAGCGAGTGCAGCTTTATTCCGCGAGGATAGTACGACCTCTTCCCCACTCGCACTAACCTTGGAAATCATCACGGGAACGGTAGCAGCATCGCCCTTGTTGTCCAACTCTGATGCTGCTGAATCCTCTAACGGCGACGACGCTTCTTCTATTTCCGCAGCACTACCGCGCAGCCGACGTGTTTGGTACTCTCGGTTTTCTTCAGAGCCGTGTATTTGGTACTCCTGAGGCTGAGAGCCATAGCCATGGGCAGCACCAGCAGCAGCTGCATAGTACGAACCCTGATGTATGATCTGCGCATAATTCGGTTGGTCCGAGTGGAAACCATAGTGCCCCAATGCAGACGAATCGGCGGCGTAGTGGTGGTGGTAATCATGGTAATATCCAGGACCACGACCGGCGTCGCTATCACTCGACGAGGAGGAAGATGACATCTCTCCAGCAACAGCTACACGCGTTGCTTGCTCACCAAAAGGCACCTGCACCGCCGACACTGCCTGTTGCAGTAAAGCCGCAATGTCGTCGTAGTTTTCTAAGGTGCTAGCGGCATTGTCTGTTTCTTTAAACGTGTTCACGTCTTTCTTGAACTTTGCGAGATCTGCTACAGGAGCGCCGGACCCCGCACCGTAGGAGTTGATGTCTTTCTTGTTTTCATCTCCACCATCAAGATCAGGCGAAGATGTTGTCGAATAAACTGTGCCGGCAATGGCCGTATCGAGCAGCACCCTCGCATGCACCACTGCCTCGTCAAAGAATTGGCGGTTTTGCGACAGCCCACGGTCGAGCAGCTCCCTCGTTTTCCAGTTTGCCTCGTCCAACTGCGTCCGAGTGCGGAAAATGGCCTCGTCCAAATGGTTTCTCGATAACAGGTATACAACACAACAGCAAATTTATTCCCGTACACGTTCACGTACAAATGCGGTTGCTGCATGACAAACCTTGCCTGCGATCCTAGTCAGCATGTTGACATGTGTTACATTGTAAGTTGGCGAAATCTGTGACGCGTCTTGTACGTCGTGTACGAGACGTTTGTAAACATTGCATAAAAGCAATGCAGCGTCCATGCCGTTTTTCGCAGTTCTTTCCGTTTTTTCCTTCTGCTGGATCTGTTTTTTCAGTCGTTGTTCTAGTTCGTCCCTTCTTTGCTTGATCGCCGCTTGCAAAAGCTCCTTCTGCTGCTCGTAGGTTTCTTTAACCGCTTTTATCCGGTCCTGCTCTGCCTCTTTTCTCGCCAGTTTTGCTTTCCGTTTATTCTCCTGTTTTTTCTCCTTTTTCGCTTGCTTTTCTTCGGGGCTAGTTCGACGGGGCTTGGAAGAAGAAGGAGAAGAAGTTGATGTAACAGGCGCGGGTGGTGGTGGGACTGGTGCAGCTGCTCGTCCGGGGTAGAAGTAGTCGTGCTGATACGACTGATCGTACTGATAACTCGCTGGGTCCTGCTTCAAAAAAGACGGCGGTGCGGTGAAAAATTTCTTCACTGATGTGGTCCAATGCTCGTCTTTGGCTTTGCCGTCATGGTCATTCGGATAATTATTCGCAACATTGCCATTGGCATAAAAATCGCCGTGATTTATCTCATCTACTCGTGGTTCAACTCCACCTCCACCAGACAACATGGAAACCTCTTGATCACCGCTGTTCATATTAGCACCGACACGGTTTATTTTACTAGTTGTACTAGTAGCAGCAGCAACTTCATCTGGCGTGATCATCCCGACACCAAGAACATGCTTCGACACGCGATCAGCATGCTCACCGAGGAACGACATCATTCTCGACAGGTGGCCGACAACATCCTGCTGAGTAGTGGTCCCTGCAGCTTGTATAGTCTCGGAGGTGGTAGCGAGGTTACTAGAAGTGTCTCCAGCTCCAGCAACATCCGCCGAAGAAAATACTAGAGCGGCGTCGTTCTTATAGAGTGGCGTTGGCGATTCAATTTTCGGCTGCGTTATATTCGGACTCGCTTCTGCCGTGGAAGTAGATGCGGGACGAGCCACGACGGCCGTTGACGCCCCCACATCAGCCTCCGACGACCCAGGGTTGCTCAACATCCAGGGTGCGGTCACAGGAAGACTGAAGTTGGTGAGAAAGAAGCCAGATGAAGTGCTGGCTCCGCCTTCTACGACAGATGAAGCAGGTTCATCTTGATTTTGCTTCTCACCACGACGAGAGCCTTTATTCATCGGGGCAGTTGTTGCGACGCTCCTCGTCTCAGCAGCGGCACCAGTAGTTCCTGCTGCTGGTCGTCCTGTTTCATTATCATTTCCAGATGAAGCCGACCCAAAGATTCCCCCGAGCCAATAGGCCATGGAAGGCACACCGCGTTCATCTTCTTCGTCACCAGGCTGCCGTCCAGTTGATTGGGCGTTCAAAGAAAAGGCTTTCGGTGCTTCCGGCAAAAAGCTAGTAGTTGACCGCCTGCTTGGCCGTGTTCCATTGGATGTTGTAGTTCCTCTGCGAGTGCTGATCGCGGACTTTCGTGTCAATGCCGGTCGTGGGTCTTGTAGTTCCTGATTCTTATCTTTGTAACTCTTCGCATCGTGTTCCACTGCCGAGAAATTTGTCGTCCCGGCACGCGCGGCGGATTTCACTGTACCGAAAGACTTAGATTGCTGCTGCTGCTGCTGTGTGGCGTTTGCTTTTGCACGACTTGCTCCTGTTGTACCTCCTCCGGGCCGGGGAGAAGACGGCACAGAGGGCGGCTTAGTCTTTTTTGCGACAGCAGCAGTACCTGTAGCTGTACCTCCCTCCCGGGGCGAGGAGGGCAGTGACGGCGGCTTGGGCTTTTTCGCCGCAGCTGGTGGTTCTCCTCGGGGAGAGGCGGGCAGTGACGGTGGCTTCGATTTATTGCTCACGACAGTAGAAGTCGTCCCACTTCTGTAGCTCTTGACTGGCGCACCACCAGGGGCAAGGACAGATGACGCACTTGAGGTTACAGCAGACGCTCCTGCTTTGATGGCACCAGAAGCGGAAGCCGAAGCAGACCCGGCGGTGGGCGACGCTTTAGTAGCTGTTTGCGCGTCGACTTCTTCTACACCTCCGACCGTGCTTGCCTTGGAGCCGGGCACAACTTCAGGGTGTTCTTTTGCACCAGTAGGCTCAGTTTTCACCGCAACCTCCGCTGCCGCCGGCTGCGCAAGAATGGGAGCTGCTTTAGCTTGTTCCGGAAGAACTGGGGGTGGTGCTGCCTTGCCTTTGGTTTTGGTAGTAGTACTCTTGTTACCTCCCTTAGAAGAGGCAGCGCCCTTCTTGTTCGTAGCGGCAGCAACAGCAATTCCTTTTTTCCTTCCCTGCTTAGTATCATCTGCGCCCACGACCGCTGCTGCCTGTTTTGGGTCAGCCGCCTGCTCCCCAGATGAGCCCATGAACAGAAAAGGATGAGTCGGCTCCGGAGATGCAGAGGACTGCGAGTGCTCTTGTACCCGCTCTTCATCTCCTTCCAGCCGTGGGCCTCGTTCTTCACACACAGGCTCCTCCGTATCCACATTTTCTTTCCCGTTCACCGTCTTTTTTATCTCGGTGGAACTTTTCAACGGCAAAGTCTCTCCTTTCCCCTGCCGAACGCCTGCCACGTTCTCGAGGTGCGGATACACGACATCGTGTAGTTCACTGCTGGATCTAGATGACGCCACCGGAGAGAACTCCAGCACCCCATCGCCCGTGACTACGTATGCTGACAGTCCCGGACTGGAGACATCAGGATCTCCCAGCAGGGCATGACCTTCTGCTTCACCGGGGCTCGGGCTCGGGCTGCTTTTCTCAGTACTACAACTGAGCAGGCAATCTCCTGGAGGACTGCCACCTCCCACGTAGAAGTATTCGGACGCATTCGACGGCCGCTCCTCGCTTGCACTGCAACTGCTCCACGCGCCGCCGGCGCTACTTCGGCTGGTCGCACAGAACGAAGCAGGCTGGTCGTCGTCGTCGTCCTGCTGACGGTTAACCGTTATTAAAGATGGCTCGTTCATCATCGGCTGGTAGTCCTCGTAGAAATCCGGAGGCCTTCCTCGCCCGGCTAGAGCCTCCTTCGAATCTGTCTCCGTCTTCCTCGGCCGCGTTGAAGTGGTGCTCAATATCGAGGACACGACTTGTGGAGGACGTAACAATCGAACTATTAGAATTGCTGCTGCTCCGAGGCGGTATGTTTGTTGTAGTCATGCCTACGATTCGTCGTGACGCGGGTCTTCCACGAGGATGGGCAACAACAGGAAGAACAGGAAGACCACAGAGCTTAATACTCGCCCTTAGATATTACTATTTGATCGTCTTCAAATTTGCTTAATTAAAAAAAACCGTGTAGTTACTTCTAAGGAAGATTATCGCGCTAGACGGCCTCTGGTCTGTGTTTTGAAAAGAAATTGGGCGGGGCTACAAGGAGGACACGACAACTTACTACGACAACACCTAGTGCCCTTGATGACGAACCTCAAATCTAGAATCTCTGCGAGCGCAACGAGAGCACCCAATCTGGATAATACCCTTGATGTCGTGCGACAGCGACTTTTCGAACTTTAAAGTTGACGGTATGTGTGCTGGTCAACGTCGTGTGTAGCGCTAATATCCCCAGCTGGAGAAGAAGAAGTAGTAGTAGATGCGAAGCCGATGAGGTTGTAAAACCATCAATAGAAACAGCGCGATGACGAACCAAACTATCATGAAACCAGTTACAGCAATGCAAGGTTGCCGATGACATTCTCATTCAAACTTGTTTCGACCGACGTATTAGAATTTTCAGAACCACGATGATCACGACGACCCGGCACCTTCCGTAAGTGGCTGTGCCCTTCAACATCTTCGTACGGCCGAAATCAACATCTTCGTACGGAACGCTTTCAAAAGAGGACACACCAAACGCGGCCTACCGCAGTTATGTTTGCTTACCCCAGAATCAACTACTCCCTTAGAAGAGCATCCAGCAAACAAGGCACGTTGGCGGGGATCTGTTCTTGTGCGCCACGATGCTGCACCTTATTTGAGGATCCATGAATGAGAACACCTGCCGGCCACGTCGTCGTTGTGTTCATTCCCCGCCTGCTGTTGAGGATGTCGTTTATTTTTCCGGACCTTGTTGAACATCAAGGTTCTTGCTATACAAAACTACTGGTACAAGTTCTGCAAGATTCCCCTATGGTATGGGGCATCTTGGCCGGCCTATGGGAGGGCGCGGCATTATATGCGATCTCCATGCATCTTGAGTACTTTGTTCTAGGTAGCCAATGTGAATGATGGGCTTTCATCGTATCCGGCGCATGATGTGGAGTTGCTGTACTGCTGACGGATAGCTGTTGCAGTCTGTAGCTTGTTGTAAAAGAAATGCCGTTCATCATACATTGTGATCAAATTTTTGAGGGACAACAAGCTACTCAACGCTCTTCAAACTCTTCCAGCACACGCCGCACTACAGATGTTGTGCAACGGAGTACTATGCTCTAGCCGAGCGGCACGTCTGTACCAGTTGTAGAGCTAGAACAGGGCTACATGATAATTCTTGTTAGCAAAAAACCCATCCTCATGCTCATCGGACTTAAACTATATGCTTCAAGAACATAAGAAAAGACTCTTCGACATCAAAAACCAAAACCATTGCGTAGAAAATAAAACAACGATAGAAATAAAACCGATATCATCTTCACAATCTGACAAAAAATAGTTCGGATGAAAGGGTTCGGGTTGTGGAGGGGAAAAAAAAACCTGTATACTTCGAAGTGACTGGTGCAGACGGACCTACAGGCGAAGCTGGCGTTGCTACTTTTTACGAATCAATACGCTTTGCGCTGCCTGCCCCTCTACGCTTCAGCCGAAAAATAAATCGGTTTAAGAAATAAACCAAAGCTTGTAGTTGTAGTCCGATCAAATAAACAAGTCGATATATACAATCGTGGCTCCTATGTGTGCTATCGTCATTTGTGTAGTCCCTCTCCCTACGAGGGTTATGGTTGTGCTCCTTCCACAAGCGCACACAATACTTATTTTAGGCGCCGTCAGACTTTCTTCATCTTCTTCTTCTTGAGACCAAAGCCAAACCCAAACGCTAACTCCCACTTGTACAACACAAATACTTAAAGATTATACAAAATCAAAATGTGTGTATGTGTTGCTTTCTTTTGAAAACATCCAAGCTCCGACAAATACTTGCATCGGACGTGTGCGATAAAATAAATTTTGTAATATAGATACTAAATGATCCATATAGTGTTTGTTCATGGCAAGCCCTGCTCCAGGTATAGTGTTTGTTCATGGCAAGTTTGCGTTGCTAAGTACTACCTATACATAGTTGTAGCTCGTGCACAAACTAGTAGAAGTAGACGTAGAGCAAGTGCAAGTATAAAAACTCGCAGCGAACTGAGATTAGTTGTGCAGCGAACTGAGAGTAGTTGTCGCAAGCGAAACACTGTAGCATAGCGAACTGAGATTAGTTGTGCAAGCACGTCTTGTGGAGAGTTTATTGAAAATGAAGAACGAGGCGACTACGTGTGTCCCTAACTGGAAATGGGCGCAGACTTAGAGGCGAAGCTGGCGTTCCTACTTTTTTACAAATACGCTTTGCGCTTCACCTCTACTTTTCAGTCAAAGTTGGTTTAGGAAAACTTGTCCGATCAAAAAGTCGATAAAATCGTGGCTGTGTCGTGTGTGTTCCTATCGTTGTTGCATTTCCCCTCGGGGGAGGTTAGGCTTCCTCTTCCTCTAGCGCGCATACTAGTATGCGACTGCTTTAAAATAACAAAGAATCAGATATTTTACTGCAGACGCCTTTTTCTTTAAGCAGAAGCCCCGAACTTCAGGCCCTGCTACTCACTAAAATATAAATAACGCATCATCTATAGTTCAATTTTAATTTTCTTTGTCCAATCACGGTACTGTGTGATGTTATGGGTCCACACGTATCGCACGCCAAGCTGAAACAGCATGCCATAGTAAGCCGTTCCCGTGTGCGCGGTGACTGCCTCGATCGCGAGGTTGTCAGCCTCAAACGTGTTCAAATACTTCGAGTCCCACACTCGAGCCACCGGCGGCTCGTCGCGAAAAGTTGCCGTCTGTTTGAAGGCGAGTCCAAACAAAGAACCCGCTCCAGCATAGTCCTCCTGCACCAAAGCGGCCTGCATCACAACCAAACGAGAGTGCAACGTTTTAAAACTTTCAAGGGGCGGCTCAGGTGCGAACTTATACTTTTTTTTTGCTTCGTACGCTGCGCCACCCCGTCCTTCCGGAGTCGGTTGAAGGTCGTCATTTAGCTCCGCCTTCAGTTCCGAGTGCCGCCTCCCAAACGCTTCCACCGCAGACCGATCGGCGACGACATCACCCGCTTCAAGCGACGCCTCCCGTCGGCGACGAGGACGACCGCAGCATCCCCGACGACTATCGGAAAGACGTGCCGACCTCCCGTTCTGCTGGTGTAGCCTTGTCGCGTCGTCGAGTATCTTTGTCGCGTCGTCGAGTATCGGGCTGAGAATGCCGTCGTGAGCAGCTCTATCAAATGCAAATATGTCTGGGTCTGGAAACTTGTGATGCTGGGTGGCGTATCATGAGGAGGCCACAAGTGCTGGCTCAGCATGAGAAGTTTCTGAGCTTCTAGGTGTTGCCTATTCTGCATGACAAACTGCGTTTCTGCATGACAGAAAAGTGGCGCTCTTGGGTAACGTGAGTGACAGATTTAAGAGTCATGCCAGACAAGCATGACAAACATGCATTCTTCCAGACCCAGACATTTTTACATTTGATAAGCTCGGCTTTTCAGCAAGTCGAAGTTTAGGTCTTGACTCAGCCAAACGTCCCCTTTTTCGTCCGTTCTATCTACCGCCCATTTGAGAAACTCGATCCCATGGCGCTTTTCGAACAGATCCTTTTGCACTTCGTTCCTGTCCGATTCAGAGACGGGCAGGCGATACGGTAACGGTATCGTCTCAGAATAACGTTTCGCAAGAGCTTCTTCTTCCTCCAAAAGGCGGTTATTTCCAATGTTGGCGAAATAGCTTCGATGTCGATTCGCGTTCTTTTCATACCACTCCCTGGCGCGTTCCATAGCTTTCATCGTCCCGGTGGTTTGTTGTTCGGCTCGATGAAAATCAGAATGCTCCTGTAGGCGCGGCGTCTCTAACAAATACCCGCAGCTATCGGCGGCCACCAATGGCAGACGAGTGTAAACGACAGCCGCCGAGCCCGACGAGGAGGACGGCGTCGAGTGTGGTCCTGGCCCTCGTTGTCCGTCATCTTCATCTCCGTCCTCGGAAACAATAAATACCTGGTCGAGCAGACTATCGATCACTTGAATGTATTCTCTGAATGGTCGCAAGGACTGCACCCCGCGAAAGATGTACACTACCAGGCTGAGTAGCCCGCGCATCAACGCCCAGTCGCTGAGTTGGTCAACATCTGTTCTTTCCTCCATCATAAGTTTGTCTCGCAATTCTGCCCGCGTCTTCTTCTTTTGCTTCGTAACCTGCTCAAACATAAGTTCGCGAATGGGCCACACCTTAGGTTTCTTCAGGTCTTCTGGGAACAATGACTTTCCTGCTGCTGCATCGCTCTGTGCTGCACGAACACCGTCGTCGGTGAGATCCGGGTCTATTACTTTGGCAAATTGCCATTGGACCCCCGGCTGCTGCGGCTGCTTCCAAACAGGTTTTTCAAGTATCTGCCGTGGAGTCTTACTGCCCGCGTACCGCTCTTTTGCATCCGATGCGAGCTTATGGAGCACCTTAATCCGGTTGAAGCCGTTCTTCACCCGTTCCGGAACAAACGGACGACCGCCCTCATCAACAGACTCCGTCGAGGGCAGGCCGGACCGCAGCAACAGGGCGAGCCCGGCAGCTTCCATGCGGGCCCACCGCGCCCTCATTTCCCGCAAAAAGTTGACTTTGTTGTCGCGTCTTTGCTTTAGTTCTTTCAAATACAGCTCCCTCATAGCCTTTCTGCGTTTTTTGTGTTCCATGTCCACGCCCCTTCCCTCAGCCCACTGCCGCCATTTATCGGTCTCTTGTTTCTCTTCGGCGTGCCAATGCTCATCAAGCTGATAGAGCTCGGCCGCGAATTCCTCATACTCGACATACATGGCGGAATATGCAAGAAAAAAACTGTGTAAGTGTAACATTGTCTTGGAGATGTTGCAATACCATGCCGGATATGCATCAGAGGCTATTTTAATACGTGTTTCTGTTTTCGCGTACTAGCTACGCATGACAGGTTTTCTGTCATGCAAAACAAATTTGTGATGCTATTTCTGCAAAAAAGTATACAGTTACACATACACTTACAAAATTTTTTTCTTGTATACGGAACCGCGTCGAAAGAGCAAGTCCATCGCAATCTCGACCAGCACGACATTCGGCGTCCACTTCGTGCTGCCTTTGGTGGCCTGAAATAGTGCCCGGCACTCCTCCGGTGCGCGGCTCTTCCACTCCTCCAGAAGCTTTTTGTCCTCTTCCAACAGCGCTTCTTTCTCCGCGGCTTCCAGGTTTGCACGCTTCGCCGCTTCTGATGTGCGTTCTGCCTCTTTCCTCGCCTGTTCATCCTTTTGCCTCTCTTCCTCAGCTCTCTTTTGTTCTGCTTTTTGTGCTTTTTGTTGCTCTTTTCTCTCTATCCTGTATAGCCTCTTTGCTTCGCTTTTTGATTTTGAAGGCGCGTGAAGATGCGCGCCTTCACAACTGCTCGGAAGATTGCCATCAATCTGCTCGGCCGTGCCAGCATCGGCAGTTCCGCTTGCTCCTGGCGCAGGCACAACATCACCACTGCTCGCCGCACGATTTGCAAGCAAACCCGGTTCGGCACTGGACGTTCCGGCAGTTGGGTCAGCACGGAAGGTCTTGGAGGTAGTAAAAGTCGAAGCAGCTCTCCTCGTCCCCCGTGAAGATGTAGATGTTGATGCGGACCGTCCCCGCGAAGGTGACTGCGCACGCGATCTTCTGGAAGATGCCGGCCGCAAAGCTGACGCCGGACACAAGGCGGACCGGCAAGGTGAGGCAGCACGTCGGGAAGATGAACTTCTGCCGCGAGTAGATGGAGATTTTGGCGCGACACCAGCAGGCGGTTCTTTCTTGCGTTCTTCTCGTTTATTACCACCTTGAACCGTACCACATCGCTGTGGCTCGACACGTGCATGTTTCTGTTTGCTCGTCTTCTGTTCGCCAGCTGCATCCGAGACTCTAACTGCACTCGCCGACCCTCCATTTGGTGGTCGCGCTGTGGCTCCCTCCGGAGCTGCCTCTTTTTCCCCGCCGCGGAGCTTTTGCTGGAACTCCCCGAACGGAATCTGCTGTTCCGGCGGAACTTGGTCAAGAGAATGGTAGACGCAAGCTTGATATGCTCTGCAAAAGAAGTATCGCACTCGTATAAATTGATAGTCATATCTACAATTTCATCGCAAGACTCACGAATAATTCAATTTCTTGAATAATTCAAATCGAATAATTCAAATTCTTGAATAATTCAAATTGAATAATTCAAATTGGATAACTCAAATTGAATAACTCAACTTCAGAATCTTAGCCCAGTCTCAATCTTATTCGAGTCTGAATCTGAAATCTTGGCCCAGTCTCAAATCTTATTCGAATCTCCAATCTTATTATCAAATCTTATCGCAAATCTCAAATCTTAAATTGATAGTGCAGATCTTAGATCAAGTTGCAATCTTAAAGTCATGATCTTAAATCTTACAGTTGTAATCTTAGAACTAAAAATTTTTCATACAGATTGGGGCGCAATGTCATCACATCGAAAGGGCGGGGGGGGCGCGGGGGGGGGCGAGGGCCCCCCGCATGTAAGTCTTCATCTCAAAAATAAAAACTACTCATACAGATTGGGGCCCAATAACATCACATCGAAGGGGCGGGGGGGGCGCGGGGGGGGGCGAGGGCCCCCCGCATGTAAGTCTTCATCTCAAAAATAAAAACTACTCATACAGATTGGGGCCCAATAACATCACATCGAAGGGGCGGGGGGGGCGCGGGGGGGGGGGCGAGGGCCCCCCGCATGTGAGTCTTCATCTCAAAAGTCATAATCTTAGCTCTTATCATCTTAGATCTTAAAACCATTCATACAGAAACAGATCTGCACCAGGGCGCAATGTCAAAACTCATGATCTTAGATCTTACAGCTATCATCTTAGATCTAAAAATTTTTCATACAGATTGGGGCGCAGTATCATCATATCGAAAGGGCGGGGGGGGCGAGGGCCCCCCGCATCCGCATCTAAGTCCTCATCTTAAAAACAAAAACTATTCAACATACGGATTGGGGCGCAGTGTCATCATATCGCTCGAAAGGGCGGGGGGGGTGTCGTAGGGGGTCACTCGGATCCGCGCGATCGCGTGTCACTTTCTTACTGAAATCCCTAAGGAAAAAAAGCTTCAGCTGATCGCGCGCACGGAGACATCGCGAGCAGCCGACGGAGACGGAAGGCGGCAACCGCAGCCACGGACGCTGCACCTGGAAGGCGTGCAACGATGGCGCAGATGGACGCCTCCATCAATACCTTCCCAGCATTCTACTAGAAAACCCATGCCCCGGGTAGGCAGAATAGCTGTGCTAAACACAGCAACTCGGGAAAAAATAAAAAAAACAAATCCCCAATACATTTCCACTATCCCAATGAACACCCTCCCGCGACCCTACTAGAAGATCCTTGCCCCGGGTAGCCTGAAGAGCCGCGCTAAGCACAACAGCCCGAGAAGAGCTTCAGCTCTGCCACCCCTTCCCGATAGCTTCCCAATACCTACCCAGTATCCTTCTAGGCAAACCTTTCCCCGGGTAGCCAGCAGAGTTTTGCTAACGCGGGAAGAAACCCCGGAAAATCAAAGAGAAATCGGCTGCCTTGCGATTCTTGACGCCTGGAAATGCCCCGAGGCATCTCCGCCCGCAAATCTATCCACCTGGCAACACCTTGAGGCGCCTTGACCTGGAATCCCAGCTAACAATGCGCCGCGGATGCCTTTTCAAAATGTTCCCCACAACTGGAATCAAAGCTAGAAATCGAAAGCCGTCTTCTACTAGAAATCCAGCTGCAGCCACTTTGTTTGAAAAGGTCGGGCGGGAAAGCGCTGAAAAAGCCTTCTCGATGCGTTTCCGTCTGGATTTCCCTCGAAAAGGCGTTTCCAGCAAGCTGGATTTCCATTGCCGCGGCGTCTTCAGCTGGATACTCTTCGAAGCGGCGCCCTCGAAGGATTTCCAGCTGGAGGCGCGTTGCTTGCGGATGCCTCTTTAAGTAATGCACTGCCTCCCTGCTGGATTTCCTCCCGGCTAGAAAAAAACGCGCCTCCGTCTGGGTTTCCCGCTAGGAATGCTCTGAAAAGGCGTCCCCGGCTCCATTTCACGCTAGAAATACTCCGCAAAGACGCGGCCGGCTGAATTTCTTCCAGCCGGGGGCGCTTTGGCGATGCCTCTCCCGCTGGATTTCGTTCTGGGAACGCGCTGGCGATGCCTTTCCACCTGGATCTCTAGCCGGAAACACGCTGCCGCTGCCTTTCCGGCTGTATTTCCATCCTTTCAGCTAGAAAGGTGCTGAGACGGCATTGCTAGCTGGATTCCCTGCTGGACACACACCGGGGCGGCGTCGCTAGCTGGCTTTCTAGCTAGAAACGCCCTGAGGCGGCGTCGCTAGGTGGGTTTCCGGCTAGAAATGCACTGAGACGGCGTCGCTTGCTAGATTTCCAACCAGCAACGCACTGCGAAGGCGTCTCTAGCCGCGTTTCCGGCTCGACATGCTTTGAAAAGGCATCCACTAGGCCGCGGGGGGATGCGGCGCGAGACGCAACAGCGTTGTTCCCAGGTGATACGCAAAACGTGCGCGTCCCGCAGCGGGAGGTGAACTTTCTGAAAAATGTTCCTTCTAGCGCAAGTTTGCGACGTCACACCCAGCGGGCGAAGCTATTCGAGTCTCGTGCGAGTCTAGCATTACAGATCTGCTTTCTTTACCTGAATCTTCATGACACATTTCATTTTTCTTCTAGGAAAAATTTGTCATGCAATTCATACTAGTACCATACTTTTGCATTGCATACTTGACTTCGCCGCGCCGCCGTGAACACCATCTTTTCGTGCCCCTTGTTGGGCAGCAGGCTATGGAAGCGTCAGGACTGAAATCGTCAAAGTTGAAATAGTTTGTGATGCATAAAATGCATGACCCGAGCCACGTGTATGGCAGAGCAGGCAAGTGAGGCCGATTGTAAGCCTGCTTGGGGTTACAGCTCGAGCTGCTAAAGTAGCATGAGAAAGTCGCTCTTCTTTGCCTAAACAGCATGACAAACTGGATTTAGGGACCACCGAAATTTGTCATGCGCCACTTGGAAACTGGGTTCCAACTGGCATCCATTTTATGCATGACAAATTATTTCAACTTTGTCGATTTCAACTCTGACACATCCATACAGGCTCGCTCCGACGTAAGGGTAGACGTTTCTTCGAAACGCGTGACACAGTTTCCAGGACTCTGCCAGCGCGCGGCACAAATCAGGTGCACAAGCGGCCCGCGGAGTTGTATTGGTTTTGCTTTTGTGGTCTTCTTCATCTTTGATACTAAAAGTGAGCTCGTCGCCAGAGTCAGGGCTATTAGTTAGTTGGTCCTCCCCGGAGAGGCCGTCACCCCAAGTCCTTTGCCCCCTCCGCTGCCACTCGCACATATGCACGCTTGCGTCCAGGGGAAGGGTCTGTTTGCGATAAATTGACGACGAAGCTCCTACTCCTGCTGCAGGAAAAACACCTGATGTCGACGTCGCTCTGGTACTCCGCACTTGGCAGAATTCGGCCTTCAACTCGGCATAGCGCGAATACCAGAACGCTTTGTGCTCCGGAGGGAGCCAGCGGATGTCCGTGACTGAGTCCAGGTCCTTCTCATTGATTTGGACGCCGTCGCGGCCTCGCACCGCCACCATCGCATCTCGAAACATTTGCAATTTCCTTTGCAAAACTTGGAGGCTGGTTTGTAGGGAGCGGGTGATTGGTATATCGTCGTCCAAAACCAAAGCCACCACGGGGGTCGCCACCTGCTGCAGGCAAATAAACTGGAGGCCGCACCACACGAAAAAACGAAGCGGTGTCGACAACGCGGCCCTCCCACCTGGGTAAAGCGATTTCTCGTTGACCGCACTCCGCATCTTGTTCACTACTTTGAAAAATTGAGAGAAGTAAAAATTTGTTATTGTTTTTGAATTCGATATAGCACTACTTTCCAAACAACATCAGACTTTTCTATCTGTTCTCCTCTTTACGTTTAGAATATGAATACTTGAATACTTGAGTGTAAATGTAATGCTACTTGATCGTGCTGGTGCAAGACTTGCAGGCTTCTTTTGTAGAAAAAATCAGAGAGAACGGTTGTCGCTTTACCAAAACTGGATGAAAATACTATAATGTAATCTTTTTGTCGTACAACGTGTTCACTGCGTTTACCTTCATTACGTTCACCCCGCCAATTCTTCGAAAGAGTCTTACAAGATAAGCGTAGATAGATCTCGTCAATCGAAGTTGGTGCAAATATGTGTAGTAAAGTAAATTTTTTGAAGGCAAGTAAAAAAAGTAAGTTTTAGGAATCCGATGAAGCAGCGCAACTTGGTTGTACACACTGTGGGAGATTGGTGTTTGTTTATTTAATTTCCGCAATTCAGGGAAAAAAGGGAAAGTGAAAGAGTCGACGAGACAAAAGAGGCCAAATTGAAGTTCTTTCATATGATTCAGCTGAAAACTTCTGTCACAAGATAATCAGCCGGCTCGTTCCGAAAATGATCTCGACATTGCATTTGATTTGCATTCTGATTCTGAGCTGCTAATATATAATTTTGCGTGCTTTATTCCATTTCATTACTATCTGAGTATGACGGGGGACGCATGATTTGATCCTAATAGACAGGTCCTTCTTGTTCTTCGTCGTGAGAAGATAGACACTGGTTGCGCTTAATTTCATGCATTTATTTCAGTGATCATGATCGCGTTGTGGTTCATATACTTAAACTGATCAACATTTCATTCGTGCTGAAAATCTCAACAAGTTACTGGAAAAAACCGAAGGCGCTTTTTGCGAATAGACGACAGGATCTGAGAACCTTGACCTTCCTCTTCTTGGAATTTTGAAAATAAACATCCGTACTACTTCTATGGGAACAATTTCATGAGCCTCGTTTCATCCAGATTCACCTACGCCTTCTATGGATCATGAGACCTTTGTTTCGGTCTAGCAAAAACTGTATGGCAATTTTTCTGTTTCTGGTGGAAGAAGAAAAATGCAGCGCATCAGATAGCCATTTACTATTTCTCATGCGGGACGACTCCTGCTTGCTTACGGCCTTACTAAAACTCGTCCGCACCGCCCCCGGCCTTCGTACTGCCGTCATCAGCTTGGAGGTCCTCGTCAGGCATTGATCCTGTTGCGGGCTCCGCTGCTGGTGCGTGGTCTGCTTCCTCCTGAGTTTCTTGTATGGAAGCGTCAGGCCCGATGAAATCGCCCAATTTGTTCATAAATTAAAATGATCTGACATGCGTGCTTGGCTGCACCCACAGAATGCTTGTATTGGACAGCAGGCAAGTGATGCCAGGTGCCAACAACAAGCCGAATTAGGAGGAAGAATGCGAGTGGTGCCAAAGATGAGCATGTGCCACGAGCAGCCCCGTTTATTGCACCGATACCGAACAGAGCAAGGCATCGAGATAATTTTTCATGCGCTGCTTAGAAATTTATTGTGGTCAACATTTTGATTTTCTTGTGCGTCACAAATCATTTGTTCGACTTTGTCGATTTCAAGGCCGACACCTCCATAGTATGCTGTCCCGCCGCATCCGCCTGTTCCTCGAGCCACTGTGGCATATGCAACGAAAAAGTACCTTGGCGCATTATACTTGTCGTGCAAACTTGGAGTTGCTCAACATGCTCTTGCATATACAAAATAATATCTTTCCTTCTCCGCAACCGCACGAAAAGTGTGCGGAAAGAGAAATCTGTCATGCAACAATGCAAGAAGTACGACGAGTACGGCCCTTTTTTTTCTTTCAGTGGGTACTGCACGGTGCTCAACCATTTTTCAGATTTTACGAGTTCCCACGGGTGCTGCTTCGCCTCGATCTTCTTGTTAAGACTGGTGAACTTCGTGTATGAAAAGGGACAAAGAACTTTTAATACCGGTGTCCTTCACCATCACCTACATACTTGAGCCTGACCTAGTTCATAGGCAGGGAAGCGCAAGTAGAAGAAAAGTGCAACAAAGAAGAAAAAGATCCTCGATGTTGTGCTAGTCCTCTACTAGTGCAGCAAGATGACACAAGCCACACGACGACCACGAGGTACTTAGATCCCTCTCGCCCCTATGGTGAAGAAGAATGGATTACGGTTTAATATTTCTCTTTGTCTAACTCCGGTTTTTCACTTGACAACACAAGGGTCGGAGACACGATGACCTCCTGAAGGATCAGCTCGGTCACGTTGCGCTCTAGTGTGTATTGTGGACGCTTGTCTGTGATAAGATTTATTTTTGGCATGATGTAGCGCACTTCGATATACAAGCTGCATGCGCACAGGGACTCGCAACCCGTCCCCTGTTCGACCTAACGTAAATAACTTGACTTGCAGCTCGTGCTACTTCTAAATCCAGGTACTAAGTGAATGCGCAACGAGACTATGAGCATGCGTATTCAGTAGCATTCGTCACCCAACACACGACATGGTCCCAAAAAAAAAAACATCGCTTCCTCGAAGACAAAACTTACCATGCGCCATGTGCATTGTAGCATCGCGCAATATTCCTATTGGCAGTTTGTTGAAGGCTTTTTCGCGACCTACTTCATTGTGCTTCTTTGAGGTCGACTCGTCGCTGAGAAGTTTGGATTTCAGGTCCTATGAACTGCAAAAGTATCGCACTCGACGTATAAATGCATTACAAATTTCCTCAGCATGAGAAATAAAACTTGTAATGCGGATTGACCGTAATAGAAAGATTTGTAATGCATGACTGCAATTATACGAGTACGAGACTTTTGCACAGGATAGGTCCTCGACGGTGTTGATGTCCTTGTTGGAAAAGAGTTCGTTTGGCCCTGTCCAAACCACGTAGTCAGGCATGAAAGCGTCAAACATGCCACGCGTGAGGAAAGGCGAATAGCCGGACAAGACCTGGTAGAGCAGCATTGATACTGATGTTCTAAGACACCAAGTTCTTGTCGGCGTAGTACTTATTAGGTGGAGCGCTACTAGGTAGCACGAGCGACAGCGGCAACCGATATCATAAATATTGTTCAGTGAGAAGACCGCTAGCGTGAGCAAAAATCAAACCAAATTGATGAGTACATCTCCACAAAATTTGTAAAAAAAGAAAAACATAATACCAGCGTCTTTGGCACGCCCTCGGGAAACAAGGTTGCATCTGCGCCGACGATTTTTTTTCCGAGCTCTTCCCAGTCGTCGCCCGAAGGCAGCTATGCAAGAAAAAAACTGTAGATCATAGTGGTCGTGTAACTTTGTATAAACATGCGAAGCATGCAACACTTGTTATGCTGGCCAGTCAGGAAGCCCTCTTATGTCATATGCGCTTTGGCGTCGTACTCGTAGAAGCTGCACATGAGAGGCTTTTTCTGAAGAAGAGGAGTCATACAGAGCGAATTTGTCATGCTGTGGTCACCTCCACAAGACACCTCCTACACGTAACACGGTTTTTCTTTTCCATAACAACCAGCACGTGCTGCGCCCGTGACAGGGAAGGTCTATCAAGAGCACGTTGCTTTTATCCTGTGCAAAAGTATCGTACTCGTAGCGTAGTAATTGCAGTCATGCATTACAAATTTTCTTCCTAAGGTAAATCCGCAGGACAAATCTTATTGCTCATGCTGAGGGAATTTGTAATGCATTTATACGAGTACGATGCTTCTGCACAGGATAGCTTTTCTCGAATTTCGCGACCACGTGGGCGTGTTCCTCTCCAGACAAGCCGGTTGCGTGGAAAAACAGCACCACCGACGTGGCGGCCTTGCTGTCCGTGGTCACTTGTGTGTCCTCGCCTTCCGCTTCGCTTGCGTGCTGGTGCGCAGCTCCGGGGGAAGATGAAGCAGGCGGAGAAACAACTGCTGGGACGATCGCGGAACGCTTCGCGATGTGGACGGCCTTGTCTCGTGCGAGGGACACCATGCCATGCTGGAGCGCGGTGGGGTCTTTCGGCTTCTCGGGCAGCGCGTTGTCCCCGTCGGTCTTGCCGGACCGGGTAAAACGCATGTAGAGCCAGTAGCCAAAAAGAACCACTGCATACATAACCACTTTGCCGAGACCTGACATTGTGGTGAAGCGGCCGTAAATAGTCACATACTTCTTGTTTTTATGCGGTTTGTTTCATGATTGAAAATGCGCGCCATGAACAGGATGCGAAACTACAATGATGATAAAGAAGCAGCTGATAAGCACCAACACGGTAAAGAAGGAACTGGAAGTTATTTGTCTGTCATCGCCTCCCTCTACTTGCTCAGGGTCAGAATGGAAGCTGTGGAAGTAGCTGACATCCAAAAATCATGATACCGCCTGAGTTCATCAGCTTCTGTCCCACGCTTGCCAAGTAGCCCTGGATTCCGTCCCCGCTACTGCCCTTCTGTGACCTCGTGATTGCCGCCATGGATTGCTGTAGCGCGACATTGGTTGGGTCCAAGCTGATATCCTGTGCAAAAGCAAAGAAGTAATCGCACTCGTATACTTAATTAAAATGTTAACGACCAGTCTTGCAACATGGCAGATCTAATTTTCTACCTCAATCTGCATCACAAATTCAAGCTTTCCTTCTTGAAAAATTTGTCATGTGTCTCAATATTATACTAGTACGATCATGAACATGATGCTTTTGCAATGCATAGATGAGTCCCGCCCGGTAGGCTTCCGTCGCCTCCTTTACTTTTCCAAGCTTAAACAGTGCGAGCCCTTTGCGTTATGCAACACACATTTACCGTAATAAATTCATTGTACGGCTATCAGTACAACGTCAACGGCGTCCGTGTCACATGTTTGCAACGCAGGTTTTGATTTGCAAAAACCGAAAACATAAGCATGCAAGGAACTGCGATCATGCAGAAAAACTAAACTAGGCAACAGGAAGCAGCTTTGCTTTGTCATGCATGGTCGCCGCTTGATACTGGTTCGATTCCGCGGAGATGTACGGTAAAATTTCCTGCGGATATGCGTGAAAATCCCTTGATGAACTTCGGGTCGATCTGCAGGCATTTTTCCGCATCATTCAGCGCGTTTTCGAACTTACTCTGTGCCGCCCAGTATCCTGTGCAAAAGTATCGTACTCGTGTTGCAGTCATGCATGACAAATCTTTTCTTTAAGTTAAATCCGCATTACAAATTTTATTTCTCATGCTGCGGAGATTTGTAATGCATTTATACGATTACGATACTTTTGCAGTGAATACCCAGGCGGCGGAACGGTTGCTGTAATAGACCGGGTTCTGGTTGTCTAGCGTGATGGCCTTGTTGTATTTTTGAACGTATCCTGCGCAAACGGTTTTCTTGAACAGGAACAGTGAGGAGTCTTCGCACGACTTTTCAATATCTCAGGTGGTGTCATCCTCGTCATATCAATTTCATTCCGTCATATCAATTTCATTCCTCATTTCAAAAATATATGCGAAGCTTTCGCTCCTGAAATGCAATGGTTGATGAAATCTTCACGCATTGCCCTCCCGAACAAACTCTCTACAGAAGTTTGTCCTGCTGGGCTCTTCTCCTGCTGCACCTGCACGTCTGTATAAAAGACTAAGATAAAACTGTTGCCCTGCATAGGATCGCCTCGGTGAGCTCATTTTTCTTCAGGTGCTCATTTGCCTCGATCTTCCAACGCTCGGCCTCGGAGTTCGACATTTTTTCTTGTGCTGACCTCTTCAAGAACCAAATGCAAACTACTTCTTCGAGGACGGATACACGTGGATTATCTTTTGATTAATGTTAAGGTTGAGCGCTTTATTTCGTTTTCCAGCCGCCCTTGTGCATCGATCTTGATCATGAGACGAGTCGGGTTACCGGTTTTCATCCAGATCTATCAATTATACACGCACAAAGGAGCCACAAACCAAGAAGAAAAACTAGTAAATGCGGATCGTCCTGTTTGACTTTGAACTCGAAGCAAAAAGAACAACTGATTTTTACAGATCTTTACAGATACAGGTGAACTACGAAAAGCAAATGCATTCAAGAATCTCCTCCTGAATCATGATCGTGGTACCAAGTTCCGAAACTAGATTCGGCATCAACTCACTGCTGCCACCTTTCCTGAAGTACAAGTTCTTCAGGACGGAACACCTTACCTGTTGTCACCGGTTTATCTTCACCGGACGATCGAGTTTCAACAACGCGGCTTGATGCGTCTGTCCCCGAATTCACGACGAGGATAACTCGCAAACGTCATCTATCGAATGAAAAAAAAACTGCACTCTTTAGTAGCTTGTGGTCATCAAGCGGCGGACACCGCCGGTGCCGAAAGAGGCAGGACAAACGCGCTCCTGGCCCTCTTTCTTACTGTTTTCTTACGGGAACATCATGATGGAACAAATTACGAGGTGTAGGGGACGCAAACTCAAAAAACTAAAAAAAAAAAATGCAGGAGCTCAAGTTGAACTTGAAGCGCTGTTAAAAAAAGGAATTCAAAATCAACATGAGGGGTGACTCATTCTAAATATTTCTCCTCAACATAGAATATAAATCTTGAAACGGTTCTTACATGTTGACGGCACCGTAGCACTCTCGAGAGCAGAAAATTGCTATCCAGAGTGCTGGTCTAGCCAGAAACAAATTTGTGGGGTACAATACACTTCGAAAAGAACGGTCAACAAACTGACTACTACTTAGTTTACCACCACTGTGATTTTTCAATAGCGGTGATGCCCAGGAATGTGTAATTGCGAAGCAAAAAATCAGTCCACTACTAACATAAACATAAAATAATGGACGAGAATATGACAGGAACTATGAGGACTATCTGTCAGGAGAGCACGAGAAAGATACCCAATAAAGTACTGGCGCAACGACCCCAATCCCTCCTACTTCTCTTTCGCGATCATTTCCGCGTACGCCTTGTGGCTGGTTTCCGTGACACCAGACAGCCCCGGCAAGTGCGCCAGGGCCACCCGTCGTGTCTTCTTCCGCGCGATCAGGTCGCTCTCCTTGTTCTTCAGCAGCTTCGCGAAAAATTCCTTTCGCTCCTCCTCCTGCTTGTCGCTGATCCTAGGCGTGTGCACGAACCTGGACCGCGTCAGCACCAGCCGCTCGCGCGTCGCCACTTTTTGCGCGTCCTTCGCCACGTCCTCCTCCCGCCGCGGCGTGAACACCGTGCGCGGCGTCCGGATCGGCTCCGCTGGAACGCGCCGAATTTGGGAGGAAACCAGGATTTGCTTGCCGTGCGCCGTGCCGACCACCGTTTTGTCCTTGAATTTCGGGCTCGACGGCAGTCTCTCCCCTGCAGGCAGGACGTTTCGGTACGGGACAAAAACCCGGTTTTGGTTGTCGCGGTCCCACCGCGGGGTCAGCTCCTTGGTCGGCGCGTAGGGCGTGATCAGCGGGTGCTTGAAGTTCAAATTATTGTTCTTGCCCTTCCGCATGTAGTGATACGAATTCCCGCCGACCTGGTGCAGGTGCGCGTGGTGTCGCTTGTGCAGGACTTTCAGCCTTTTGATGTCGTTTTTTCTCTGTTCATCTTCGAGCCTCTCTGTGGACTGCTGTGGTTGGCCATGGCCTCGCTCTGGTACTACTCCAACGAGATCAGATCTTGTTTTCTCGTCGTTATTTTCAACTAGATTTACCGGCGGAGCCGACTCGGCGCGCTGTTTTACTATCAGGGCGGAGGTTGGGGTGGTGGGCACCCCGGAATAAAACTCGTGCAGCGACTCGGAGGGCGTTTCGTGATGCTGAAACTTGTACAGGTTTTCCGCGACCTCGTCCTTGAAGTTCGGCGGCGAACGGAAGATCTTATCTCGTTTATTTGATGTTTTACACAGTGCAACTTCGGAGACATCCTCCTCGCCATTAATATCGCTGTATCCCTGCAGCGCCCGGGCGGCCTTCTGCCGCGCGGACAATTTCCGTCTCTGCTCCGCCCTCGCTTCCTGGCCCAAGAGCTCACTCGCGGTTTTTAGAATGGCTTTGTTCTGGGTGCGGGGCGACGTCGTGCGGGGTGTCGATAGCGCAGAGGTATTGTTGTTTGCGTCAGCTGCTGTGCCGGCGATTATATTTTTTCCTGTATTAGAGTTCCTTGCCGAGGCGGGCCGGGAGATGTTGCTGTTGTCCTTGTCCGTACCAGCTGCACTGCTCGAAGCAAGAAGCGAGTTCAGCAGCTGCTTCGGCACGCCCCAATCGCAGAGGTTCATCGGTTGCTCACTGTTATAGTACCCTCGGTGCAGGTCCCTGCTTCCGCCAATGCGGCCGGCCTATGAACTGCAAAAGTATCGTACTCGTATAAATGCATTACAAATTTCCTCAGCATGAGAAATAAAATTTGTAATGCTGATTTACCTTAACAAAGGGATTTGTAATGCATGATTTCCATACGAGTACGATACTTTTGCACAGGATACGGCCGGCGGACCCACGACCTTTTCGTCCTGCAGCAACAGGTATCCCGTGCAAAAGTATCGTACTCGTATAAATGCAAGTCTAGCATTACAAATCTTTGTCTTAAGGTAAATCCGCATTACAAATTTTATTTTTCATGCTGAGAAAATTTGTAATGCATTTATACAAGTACGATGCTTTTGCAGTTCATAACAGGTCCTCCTGAAGTGCTCTTCTTGCCCGGGCAGATATCGTAGAATTATTGTCGTGAATTATATTGCCCGGCGTACAACTCGAAGATAAACCACCGCGAGGGGTAAAATAAATAGCGCCTTGTTTTACTCCCCCGCCCTCCTGCCCCCTCCCCAACACGTCGAGCCGGGGCACGCCGAAGGCCGCCCGATAACTGCTCGAAAACGGACCCGCTTGCCTGTAGTGATCGTTCACGGTGAAGTTCGGAAGGTTTTTCGGTTTTACCGTCTTGGTCGTCAACGGTCGTTTGCGCGCCGAGGCGCTTCGAACCGCAGTGTGCAGGTTCTGGACTACAGTTTGGAGCGACAGCTGCCGACGGGGAGTGGCTTTTAATAAATCAGCATCTTCAAGAGCAGCAGCAGCACGAGGTGATGTGGCTTGCATATGTGTCGAGCCATCCTTCTGATGTTCCACCACCGAGGTCGCAGCAACAGCAGTGCTAGTTGTGTAGGAAGCCGATCTTTTTGCAGCCGCGCCCTCCGCGGGAGTTAGCCCTGTAATCGTCCCACTCCCTGCGGTGCTAGCTGCAGTAGTAGATGTAGGCAGGAAGGGTTTCCACAGGTCCGCCCGGGATTTCCTGGTATTCACCTTCGGCGTCACACAACTACGGCGCGAATTATACAAGTCACGAACCACCGAAGCAGACGACTTCGCTGCACCAAACTCAGCGCCGAAGGTGGACGTTTGCTGCTGGTTTATTTCTTGGTCCTGTCCACCGTTAGAATTTTTCCGCGGCGTCACTGGCGCGCTTTGCGACGGTTGTTGTGTGCTGGCACCATTCGCATCGTAACTCAGCGCCGTCGAGGACCGCTGTTTACTATTCACCAACATATTTGTTCGGGACATTGCCATCTGTGGTTGCCGCTTTTCCCGTTCGATCTCCGCTTGCAGGTCCCGCTTCACCACGTCCTGCTTGACATTCAAAAACTGCTTGAAGGGGCGGTTTTCCAACCGCGTCATACTGTTGTTCCCTTCCTCTGTCTCGTCAAGCTTCCGCAGGGAAAAGCCCATGGCGTAGTCCAACTCTTTGTCTGCCGTCCAGTATCAAACGGAAAAATCCCCCCTCCCCATATCTAAACGGAAATCTGTGATGCAGATTTGTTGTCACAAATCAGCTTTGTCATGCTACACGGGAAAAGATGCGAACTGTAGTGCTGGGTGGCGTGGGGAAGCCTTGCATCTTCAGCATGATAGGAGGCAGCTGAGAGTGAGAAACAGCACGACAAATTGCCTGCAAACGAGGCCACGACTGCGGCTCTTGGCCTTCTAGCATGACAAGTCGATTTGTGACCTCAAATACAGCATCACAAATTTCGTGTTCGATATGGGGAGGGGGGATTTTTCCTTTCGATATCCAGCGGATCTGCTTTCGTTGGACTTCGTCCGTCCGCATGGTCCACTTCACGTCATCGCCTATGTTGCGCTTCGGGAGCTTATTCAAAATTTCCAACTGCTGCTCCTTTGTGGGTGAGGAGAGGGAGGAGCGTGGAGGACCACCGGGGGACGTCGGAGACGGCGTTGTACGACCTCCCGGCAATAAATTTTGTTCCATCGCGGTGCCTGTAACTCTGCTGTTCGGCACTGTTGCAAGATCGGCAGGAGCAAAGTTAGCTACATCGACGTCACCTAAATCAGCGACACTGTTTTTTGACATCGTAACCCGAAATTCCACCGTGAAATCTGGGTTCACAACCCCCACACTAGAGCTCCGTTCCAGAGGAAACGCGGAACTCTGCATCGACACGTGCCGGTGCGCGTTTAGACGACGCGAAGATTCTGTTTTTTGGTTGAAGAATTTCGCAAAAAATTCATAAGTATGTTGAATCCGTGATCATCGTTGCGTACTAGATTAAATGATACATCACCTCGTGCTGCTTCTCGTCCGTCGTGCGTTTGACGACGCATAGAAGCTGCACCAGATGCATTCATTGCTTTTACATCGTCGAACTATGCAACGAAACAACTCCACGCTTCCCTCATTTCAAGCAAACAAAAAACATCAAATACTCCTTCTCTGTAACGGCGTTGAGCTTCTGGACCCCCCGCCCCCAGCTGGTAGCGACTCCTTGGACAACATACTAGCTGCTGGGGTCGCAGCTCCACTGCCCCCTGCTCTTGGAGAAGTACTCCTTCCACAACCTGGGCTGCGAAACACATCCTTCATCTGGCTCCCGCCCTGGTGCATGTCGTAGGCCTCGCGGCGCCTCCCCTTGGACCCCTGTCGCACTTTGAAAGCGGGCAGGAAGTCGTCGGGGTTGCTCTCTTTCAACCCAAATGCGTACTTGATGTGGTCGGAGGACAGATCGCGCATGCGGGAGCCGCGAGAGTGAGGCACTAGTACCTGCTGTGTACTAGCTGCTGTAGCATCTTGGTCCCTGGTGCGAGCCGCCGCGTGCGAAACGCTACTTGCACGGCTCCGGGACTGGGAGCTGCGGGTTTTGGCCTCCTTTTCCGGAAGCGTTTGGAGGGACATCGACATTTTTTTCTTGCTGTTTAAGTGCCGCGTGTAAAAGTCAAGATTTAAGTGTTTAATATCAGAAAAGCGAGGTCAAACCATTACGAAGACGCTGATGCCAGCGGCACACACAGAAACATCACCGTAATAAGCAGTATGTACGGACACGAGCAGGGACAGGGTGGGTTTTACTTTTAGGATTGTTGTAGTGCTTCTAAATAACAAGAGACGCAAAACCAAAAGGTGAAAAAATTCAAGTTTCGCCTCCTCTGAAGGGTAGTTGCGTGCCTGCTTAAAAGTTTGTGTGCTTTTATTTTCAACATCATCGTCAGAGGTTCATCTCGGAGTCGATATCAACACCCGGACACCGTGTACGGTGGTGTCAGTCGAGCAATATGTTCCTGTCCAAGACACGGACTATGTAGCAGAACGATCTCAGAGGACGTCGTTACTGAGCTGGGCGCGAACGACAATATAAACGAAGAAGAACGAAAGACGAATCGGTAGTGAGTACATGTACGAGGGACGACAATGCGAGTACCTCCCGTGGGCCTTTCGCAAAAATGCAATTGAGATCAAGCGGACGACTACTTAGGAGAGAACAGGTGTCGAGCACCGGAGACGAAGACATCACGCTGAAGCGACAAAAGAGAAACAATGAGGGCGAGCCAGTGTTGAAAAATCTACTCAGCTTGTTGATGGAAACGGTACCGAGACGACATCGCAGTGAAAAGATCGTAAAGACACAAAATTGGCGTTGCACTTCTGTGCAAAGCCAAAAACGTCTGATATTGCTTTATGCTTTGCAAAGCCCCAGAATTCATTTCAAAAACTGAGATGCAGGCTCAGGAGTGTTTCGGGCTTTTCATCTGATACGGTCCTGTCCAAACTCGCCGGACACCACGAGCACGCAGAAAATAGAACACAGAAAAGCGATCAGCACCAGCAGCACGTGAGGCCTTCTGGCAGCTCGTCGCCATGACCGAGCACGTGGCACAGGCCTCTGTAGCCGAGTTTTTTTTCGTTTTTTCGTAGACAAGCTACCGTTTTCAAATTTTTTTGGTGGGTGTTGTAAAGTTTTGTCGCAGGAGTTTCAGAATTTTTTTTTTATTTTTTGTGGTTTTGGGTTTGCAAAGATCTAGTTGCAACCTGGATAAGGTAAGTGCAAGATACTAGAGGATTCTCGTGCTGACGGCGAGGAGGAGCTTGGCGGTGGATATCATGCTTCCACTGTCCCGTTCTTTCTACAACATTTATGCTCTACACTTTGCACTTCTTAGTCGCAAAAGGAAAAGTCATCAACATGATCTTCGATGTGATTTGTAGTCCGTGCAATGATGTAGCAATCCATTATATACAGGAGGGCGCTTGTTGTTCTGAAACAAGATAGATGAAGCTTCTGCGACCACGTACGTGGTAATGATCTCTAGTATCCTACAAAGCAACACGTTGACCTTGCAATGCGACGAAGCTGCAATTTCGAATTTGGGTAGGCGTTGAAAGAAAGTGATTTGCGTTTTTGTTCTTGATAATGATATGTACGAGTGCTATGCATTAGCTGTAGCTCGATCTTCTTGCAACGATTTGGGAGAACGGGAAAATAGAACTGGCAACCATTATTTTTTTGCTGTTGTGAAACGGTGGAGACAGACTAAATCAAAATCAAACTACATCGGAGGTGGACTGAGAAACGGATGGCTTTGGTAATGTTGAAATTGTATTCTTATGAATGTACTTCTAAAATCCAGAAATGAAAATCCGAAAAAAATGATGCTAATGATATGAGTGCCCATTTTCTGAATCTTGCGCAGAATATTAGACAGGTACTTAGCGACCCCCCTCCCATGTTCTAGAGAACCAGTAACAACATAGAGGACGAGTCAAAGTTGCAGGTCGTGGCTTCTTCTCTCCCTCTACTTCTTGTCGCAAGGGCTTCCGCAGCTGGGCAGGCTGTGCCTTCTGCGTCTAGGCAGGCTGTGTATAAATACGGTTTAGTTTACTTTGTTTCGGTTGGAGAAAAATGAAAAAGAAAGTAAGTCTACGTATAGTAGCCAAACAAAAAAAGGAAAAGGCGAAGCAAAGTCATGGGGACTTATATTATCTGAAACAAGTAAGTATAGGCAGGCTATATCGGCACGTAATTATGCTTTTATGAATGTGAAGGCTGGTAATCCCTGATCATCACGGAACTCTGGACGTAAATAAATACTTATTGTGGTTGCTTTTATTTTTTTTGTGGATTATTTGCAAATTACTGATGCCAAACATATTTATTTCCTTCTTGTATTCTAAGTACGTAAAACTGCTGGCTCGTGCGCAATTGCTCTTCGCAGAGCTCCTAGACGTGCGAATTCATACAGGTTCTGCTGTCGGCGCTGCTCGAATTCATGTTGTACGGAGCTTCGATGTGATATGGAGGCGTCCTTTTGGAAATCAACAAATGTAAATAATTTGCTACGCATGAAGCGCGACGCAAAAAGCCAGTATATTATTGGAGAAGTAAACAGGAGGAGGAGGAGGAGAGCGGTCCCTGAAGGGTCGAGCATTGCGCTGCTGGCTAGCAGGGCAGAAGTGAGCTACTTTGCGCTGCACAGCATGACTGATTGTGATTTGCTTCTCAATGTCACCAGAATAAATTTGTTAGACTGCGATGAGAAACTGTGGATACGGCCGACTACTAGTGTAGTACTATGTATCAATCAATTTTATCCAAATCCAGCATGACTAATTTTTATATATTATTTCCATTTTGCCGATTTCCAAGAAACTGACGCTCCCATAAAAATATCGACTCGCCTTCATCTCCGAGTTGAAACAGAAGTTTCACCGCCGGGCTTTTGATTCTGCCCTCTCCGTACAGTGCCACGCATCCGCGCCCGGGGTCGGACAGCCGTTTTTTCGTTTGTGGTTGCAACCCCAGTTGCACATTTTCATGCTTTCCCCTTCCTTCGGCGCTGGCGTATCCGAGCACCACTGGCACCCCTCAGGGGCACACCACTGGGTGTCTGCAAAGCAGAGAGAGCCAGCGGAATGGCAACTGATGCCTTGATGGTACGTCTCTTTGCGGGGGTCCGGATACTTGTCGGTAATGTGGGTCAGATCGCACCCCTCTGGGAATGATCCGCGCGGCCGCACGATCACGTTGCTGTGCTGCACCTCCAGAAGGCTATTCTGTGAGACACTGCATAATAATTGGCACCATACCATTTCGTCGTCGTGGGCGATGCAAGATGCAGAGTCAAGCGCGCGACGCTGGCCGTGGGGGCCACAGAGATTTGACTTTCTACTTACATTTATCTATCAATTTGTAAATCTACATTTTCTACTAATTCGTCAGGCAGAACTGGAAACACACAGTGATGCGGATGCGCAAGCGTGGTTCTTAGAAGTATCAGTATCTACTTGGGGGCCATTACAAGTAGCAGTGCAATACAAGGTATGGCTGTTGTTCGAATGATTATGCATTCTTTTTCTGATAAAAGCCGGCGTCCTCCTTTCCGACCCAGTGGCGCATCTCCCCTCCCTTTCCGTCCTTTCCGGCAACGCGGGCCGCTCCGGACGCCATCAACACAGAAATGACTTGCTTCATTCTGTTCGTAGATGATTGGATACGAAGATAATATCGAAACTCGATATCGACTCCGGAAAAAAAAACTGCGTTTCCAGTTGTAAAAAATTGATCAACTCTTATTTAAGTATATGTTAGCTATGGACGAGTCTATAGCTGTCGTGACCGCTCCGGAGCGAATACTTATGTGAGGAAGCGCCTGCTTTGTTGTTGGGTAGAAAAGAGGCTCGTTCTCCTATACACTGACTTACACGCTTTTACAATTTTGGTACTGTTGGTTGTTTGGAAGTAGAGGTCGTGGGATTTCATAACATAGAGAATTCCCCTTGTCATTCTGTTTATTATTATTTCCGTTTCGTGTACAGTTCATCTGCAGACAAATAATACGAGAACGGCATCAGCTTCTTGCACGAATGAGATGGGGCCTTTGTACTACCTTAAGAATTATGTTCGGTCTTCCGCCCTTGCTCGATGCACCACGGGGTGAGAGAAACGACTCATTTCCCTATCCACGACAAAGATGCAGCTTTGGATCAACTACGAAGGAACGAAACACAAATTGGCTCTGAGTTGCAAATTGGCTCTGAGTTTTTGCACGAAGATCTACGAATTCAAAAAGCAGAGACCGTGTCGGTAGAGCATCTTCGCAAGAAAGCAGCACGAAAAGAACTTCTTGTCAAGAATCTTATATCTTTTTCTACGCACACGCAACAGCATGGCACAGCCCACTTATCATGTCATGTGACGACCCAGAGCATGTGACGACCCAGAGCACGTTCTTCTTGTTCCACGAAGTCCAAAGGGATTAATTTCAGTCGACCGGTGAAGAAAGCCAGTCAATACGCGATACGATGTTTCAACTGTCTTACGGAAATAACAGGCGGAACACCCAGTACCACAGTATCATCTACGAATGCGTAGCAGGAACGCTCAGTAGTCAATCATGCATGGCATTGTAGTCCTGGTGCTGTTCACAGTCACACTTGCAGACGTGCAGCCAGAAATGGCAGGCGCAGACCACAAGCCGATTCCGGTCGTCAGCGCTACGACATCCGTCAAGTAGCACTTAATATGAGCACCAGCTCTGAGTCTGACAGTGAGCAATCAGCCGAGTCATCTCTTCGGGCTTTTCTTCTTTTCTTGAAGGTTTCCATACGCGCCTTTCTTGTTCGGCTCCGGACTCTTAATCCTCCCATATGGTCCCTTCCAAACCTTGGGCTTGCGTCATGGGAGTGCACAACTTCACCTTCGCGCCACCCCTAAAATGTTTATGCCAAAAACCGACTCCAAAAATATCATTATCGAGTTGCCTTTTAACAGTTTCAGGTCGGAACTGCCCAAAGGAGCGCACGCGCACATTCCTTATGCAGAAGACACGCCGGCAGTCCCATTCGTCATGCAGAACCAGAAGCCATTGCTTCATTTTGCTATGTGTTGTGTAGCCAAAGTACCTACTTTTGATTAAACTACAAGGGAAACGAGATGGAAGTTGTGCACTCATCTCATATCCGTTTCCCCGCATTTTCATCTAGTATCTGAATGTCCGCGTATCTCCTCGCCAAACTGTTGAGTCTGCTTTTCGCGACGGTCCGAGTCGCTTTCCGGACGTAGGGTTTAGCGACTTTGGCGACCGGATCCATGATGTTCCTGTTTTTGGTTCATATGTGTGCTTATGTTGGTCTCACTTGCAATTTCGTCAAGGGCTTTCTAGCGAGATTGGAAGCATATGAATATGATCGGACGTTAAAAGCTGCAAGGACATGTACAAACGTCAATTTTCCTTCCAGCACCAGTCGTGGGATGCAAAAGAATATTGGTAGGTGCACCGGTCGCTGCACGGCCACAGTCAGAAACTACAGAGTGTGTATGTGATTTTGATTTTTCGGGTTGTCAAATAAATGAAACTATATCAAAAATAAGGCCCTATACTGCTTCACGGTATTTGCGAATATCCCAGTGAAGAAGTCCGCCTCTTTATTCAGTGCCTTCATGTTCGCCCTGATTTCCCCGTACATCTTCTCCTTCTCCCTCCGATCCTGTTTCCGCTGTTGGTATTTTTCTTCCCGGGTGAGTTTCAAATTTCTCAGGCCCATTTCGTTCACCATCCGCTTCACCGGGTCTTTCTCCAGGTCGAAAAATTTTGACATCTCCTTTTTCCCGTCCCGCAACAGTTTTTTCGCTTGTTTTGTCGGCGTTTGTCGCTTCTTCCTTTCGGCTTTTAAAATTCGCATTTTCTGGGACGCGGTCAATTCCTCGTCCTGCGCGTTGTATGGCGGCTCTTCCTTGTAGCCTTGTTCCGCCTCCAAAATTTCTTTGTCGATTCGCTCCCGCTCCAGTCGCCGGACCAGGCCCGGGTCGTTCGACTTGTCTGCCACGTCCTGCAAAGTCAACAGCAGCGCCCCTTCCATGAAGCCGGAGAGGTCTTCCCGAGACCGGACTTCTTCGAAGATCTTCTGCTCCAAATCAAAGATCTCCTCGTCTTTCTGCAGCAGAAGTTTTTCGCGCGCCTCTTCGGTCAAGTCCGTGCGCTGCAAAATGAGCTGTCGCGCCTCCTCCAGCATGTTCTGCAGTTTTTTCGCCTTTTCGAAAAATTTGACGCGGGACTCTACCACATCTCGCTTCTGCTTCCGTTTTCGCGCTCTCTCCGCGATTTTCATTCTCTCCCAGGTCTTCACGGACTCGGCGCCGCCCAAGGCGTATCCCACTGAAAAACCAGCTTCACTGTAAATGACTTCTGTTGATGATGCGCAGCCAGGATGTATACGAACATCAACATGTGACCGCCATCTTGTGAGAATAAACGCATGAAGGGTGGGATTTTTTTTACTCGTGTTTCATTCCCATAACAAGAGCCAGCACGCACGGTAGATTTTGTTCCCTGTGGTCAAGATGCGCAACAAACTTGTCATGCGAGTTGGAGTCCTCCAAAGTCATCTTCTTTCAGCACTACAGGCAAGCAATTTTTTCATCGTGGGATAGATCGTCCAAGCTGAGCAGTAACGCGATGTCCATATCGGATTTGGGTTCCGCAGGCTCTTTATGCAATGCAAAAGTAAAGAACTAGTAGGAATAGCATGACAAATTTTTCCAAGAAGAAAAATAGAATTTGTAATGCTGATTCACATAAGATAGGAAATTTGTCATGCATCACAACAATTACTACGAGTACGATACTTTTGCAGTTCATACTCTTGCGCCAGAAATTCGCCAGTTTTCTCGTCCACGGCGTACTCGTAATTTTCCGCGTACTCCGTCTGCTGCTCCTGCAACTCCAATTGTTTCTCCAACAGCCCCCGCCGCAAGGCGTCCAGGTCGGAAACCAAAATACCGACTTTCAACTCCAGTTTTAAGACCTTCTTCCTCGCTTTTTCCGCCTTTTTCGCAAAGTCCTTCGCCTGCGGCTTTAGCTTCAACACTTCAAAGTTCGTCTTCTGGCGCTCGAAGTTATGAAAGAAGCACAACTCCCCCTCCCCCTCATTTGTCTGGCATCAACAGCATTACAAACACCAGTACAGGTGCACCCTGTGGATGACATAGCTCATGCGCCGAGTGTAGTACTGTTTGGATTTCCGGAATTTGTCATGCTTGCACGCGGTGCCACAAGGTAGCAACTGGATTTGGGTTTTTGCATGACAAATAACGAATGGAAATGAGGGGGAGGATGAGTTGTGCAGTGTCATAGAAGTAATTCAACTCCTGGATTTGCTCCTGCAGCTCTGCTATCAACTGCAAAAATGTCTGGGTCTGGAAGGATGCAACTTGTGATGCTGGATTTCGATTCTTACAAGAAATCTGTATAATACAGATTTCTTGTAAGAATCGAAATCCACTTTTGCTGCTCATGTAATACTATTGCATGAGCAGCAAAAGAGGTCCAGTTTTTCCCATGGCGAGAGGGTATTTCTGATGCGGTATAGGAATCAGGAAGCCGTCGTAGAACGTGTGACGCTAGGGCATGCATCACAGACATCAGGAGTCCTGCAAAATGTGCATGACAGACCTGGCATCCTTCTAGACCCAGACATTTTTGCACTTGATATCCGCCTGCTTCTCCTTGATCTTTTCCCGAAGCGCTTGTCTTTCGGCGGCATTTTCTTCAAACGGCATCATGTCCTCGGTAAGCTGCGTATGAGGGTGCACACAACTACGACTACCTCCCCCTCATCTCTGCCCTCATTTGTCATACGAAAACGCAAGACCTCCTGCTTTAATATTTGGCACCTTGTAGCACTACCACCTCGCATGGCTATGACGGGCTGGCGGGCCACTCAAACCATACTAGAGTTGATGGCGCCTTCGCCTCGTGGAAATCTGTGATGCAATAAGAAACATTTCGGACCGATGGGTCCCTGTTCATTCTTGCTGTTGATGCCTTTCAAATGAGGGGAAAGAAACCCTGGGCAACTACAGGAGCTGTGCACCACTCTGATATTGCCGGATCTCCTCGCCCTCCGAATCTTCGGCCTTGCCCTCGTCTGCGCCCTCGTCCAAAACCTTCGTCAGCAGCTCGTTCGTGTTGTTCTCCAACCCTAACGCAACCGAGTCTTTTGTCTTCGACTTCCCAGCGCCTTTCTCGCCCTTCCGAGCCTGCAGCGCACTGAAGTGGTCCGCCGGACTAGTAGCTGGGGATTCTCCTGCTCCGTCGTTTTCGTCGATTTCCTCGTCCTGTTCATCACCCGCGAGAATCCGTTTCTCCAGCAACCGAGCCTGCTCTTCGTGGTCCGAGTCGGAAAGTTATGCAGTGCAAAAAGCATCGTAATAAATAATTGCGATTACAAATTTTCTCAGCACGAGAAATGTAAGTTGTCATGCGGATTTGCCTTTGGAACAAGATTTGTAATGCAAGACTTGCATTTCTACGAGTACGATACTTTTGCACAGGATAAAAGTGCGGTCATCTGTTCGAACCTTTTTTCCAAGGCTTTTTCCAACCCGGGGAAGGCGTCGAGAAAGTTCGCGTTTTTAGACATCAAGTTGAAATCATCTTCAGGAAGTTCATTATTGACGTGCTCATCAAGATCGGCTTGTCTTCTACTTGATGTACGCGCCCAGGAGCCTGTTTGTGTTTTTGTTTCATCCGCCGGTGTTGTACCTGCTTTTTTTGCAACACTACCACCTCCACGTCCGCTTGTTTTATCCTTTCGAAGTTTTTCTTTTTCTTCTCTCTCGTGCGCAAAAATCCATATTGGCCGGGACAACCGCAGTAAGCGGCGGCGCTGCACCTCCTCAGTTGGTATTAAATTCGATGAGTAGCTACTGGACGACAGTTTGTCGATTGACCCTTCGTCATCAACATCTTCAACATCCACCGGATTTCCTGTTCCATCAAGATTTTCAATCCCACCCGGTTCTCCTGTTTTCCCGTCCACGTCTTCAACGGCCCTCTCCTTCCTTTCCACCTTTTTCAGCGCCAAGCCGGCTCTCTTCGCCAACACAAAAAGCGGCGAGCAGTGCTCCTTGTCGCAATTCACGCCCCACGCTCGCGTCCACGGGGCGTAACCTTTGTCGCCGCGGAAGAAGAGAAAATCGATCTTTTTCTGCTCGTGTTCCGCGTTGTCCAGCATCTCTTTGATGGAGAAAAAATCCAGCACGAAGTTGTCCTTGTAGCCGTGTGATAATCCCATCAACTCGTATGACAGTGCACAACTCCCCCTCCCCCTCATTCGTAATGCAAAATCCCAAATCCAGGTGCTGCCTTGTAGCACTGGTTGCACGACAAATCCTGGAAGCTCAAACAGCACTACACTACAGTGAAAATTTGTCATGCAAAGCCGGCACTGTTGCTGCTGCTTGTATTGCCGTTCATGCTATACAAATGAGGGAGAGGGGGAGTTGTGCACTGTCATAACTCGTCCCCCGCACGCAAATGTCTCCGCGCCGCGGGCGTGTTCTTGAAAATCTTCGTGATCCGGCACTTGTTATCAAATGCAAATATGTCTGGGTCTGGAAGAATGTAAAGTTGTCATGCTGATTTTCCATGACCCATGAGGTCTGGAATGCGGGACCTAGCATGACAGATTCCGTGAGATCACTATCATGCCTATCCTGCATGGGAAACTGCCTCTGAACTTGATCAAAAGGGGACAGCATTTGGTAATCATGCAACACAGATTTTTGCATGATGCAGATTTAGCATGACAGCTTCCAACCTTCCAGACCCAGACATTTTTGCAGTGCATACTTGTGATCCAGCTCGATGCCGATTTTTTCCAGAAACGAAGGCGGTTTTGTTCTCTGGCCGTCGTCTTCGTCTTGCGGATTATTTTTCTTTGTGTAGTCTCCTGTATTATTCATCTCGCTCCCCGCAGCAGGTGCATTTTTACCAGCACCTTCCACGACAACTCTCGGCGGTTTGAACCGCAGCTGCAAGTACCGCATTTCGTGTTTTTTGCGCAAAAAACGGAACGAGCAGATCTGCGCCCTCTTCCTGTCTTCCAGTGCAAGTTCCTCGGGCGACTTCGTCAACAGCTTCTCCTCGCGGTCCTCCATCGACTTGCGCCATGCCGCGCGTACCTTCGTCACGAAGTGGCGCTCCACCAATTCAGTTAGGGTTTCCGGGGAAATCCCCGTGGGGATGGTCGGGAGATAGAAATCTTGATTTTCAACAGCTCCTGCTGTGTGAGCGCCGTCAACATCTTCTGTTGTTATTCTTCCAAGGTTATTCTTATTCCGCTCCTGCAGCGCCACTATTTCTTTCTCATGCTCCACCCGCGCCTGCTCAAACACCGCTCTGGTCGGGATTTTTTCCACAAATTCAATGGGCGTGTCGTTCCGAATCTCCCCGTAGGACAGGGCGAGCAAAATGTCCCCGACGGCAATGCCCGATTTCGCGACGTTCTGCTCCTCATTCCTCGCGAAAACGTGTGTCACACGCACCGGGAACTGGGACCAGTCGAGCTCAAACCCAAACAACCGACGAAACATCGTACGCATCGTCGCTGGGGCGGTTTTCAGGTACTGCGAACCAGTGGTGTCCTCGGGGGAGGATGCCGCGCTGCCGAAGAACTCCTGCTGCTGTGAAAAGCCTGGGTCCTCTTGTTGGCTGCTGTTATACAGGGCCTCGCTCGGAACATTGCCAACGTCAACGTGTATGAATTCACCCGCGTTTTGGTCGACAGTATTGTTACCACCGCGTATTTGTTCTACTCCTACGCCATCACCAAGCACAGGACCCTCTGCAATTCCAACCACCCCTCCCACATCTTGCACTTGCTCTACTTCATCCGCTGCCACGATGTTCACCAGAGGAGGTTCCTGATCTCGTCCACCAAGTCCTACCGCTTCCATTCCCTCATCTCCTTCCGCCGCTTGGTGAGATCCCTCCACGCTTTTTTTCCTTTTTCCTTTCATCTTACTCTTCCCCGCTGTACCGGCAGCCGGGCTTGATCTTCTCGCGCCCTTCGGGCTTTTGTTCGCCTGCTTCGGGCTGCCTTTTGTTCTGCTTCTTCCCTTTTTCCCTTTCCCAGCAGCACCTTTCGGCGAAGCACTAGCCTTCTTCTTCCCTTTCTGGGCGAGCAATTCCTGCTGTTTGGCGTGTGCGACGATGGCCTGCGACGCGGCTTCCACTAGCTCCATTGGCGGCTCGTCGTCCGAGTCGATTGTCCAGGACACCGGATCGAGTGTCGTCTGCGCCCAACCGATCGTTCGGTGCTGCGCCGCTTGCTTAAACCGCACGATTTTGAAGGGAAGAAAATAGGGCTTTTTCTCCGTAATTTGCTTATGCGCAGGTGGGTGGTACGCGTCAAAGGGCTTGTCCTTGAACCGGGTCGGGGCGTGGTTTCGGAGTTCCTTGGGATACACGCCCTCTGGCCGGTGGAACAGGAACAGCGGAGGGCGTGGCTGCCTGGTGATTCTTCCTCTCTTGTTCGCGATGAAACTTGTGCTTGTGGTTGCTTTTCTCCCGGCTGCAACGAGAACGTTTCCTTTATCTGGGTCCTCGAAAGGACTGGTAGAGAATAAAGAGTCATCAGACGATGAAGACCCTTGTTCCTGTCCAGTCTTGTCACCTTCATCGCTTTCGCTCGACGTCACTGCTTGTTCCTTGAAAGCAGTGCCCGGTACGCAGTGTTTCAGCTCCGCACTGGTTTTTGCCACAAGCGCGAACTGCAAAAACTTCCGCGTTTGCACGCACTCCACGGTCGCGCTGCCGCCGACGAAGACCTCCTCGATCGCAATCAGCTCGTCGTTGATCTTGATCCTCCTCCTTGCCGCCCAACTTTCCGGCACCACATCGGTCACGACCAAAGCGGACCTTCGGATAAGCTGTCCTCCGGGTTCTTGTTCTACCGTGGCTCCTGAGACAGTATTTGTTGCGGCACGAAACTCCAGCTTCAAGCAATCCCCTATCCGCGCGTCCTTTTCGTAGCAGCCGGGCGAATGGCAGGTCAAGTACTTCGGCCCGTGCTTTTTGAGCCGAAACGCCGTCACGGTTGGGATTTTCACTTTCTCGCCCGAGAAGATTCGCACGCCGGCAATCTTCTTCGCAAACCCGCTCTCAAACTCGTCCTGTTCGTCTCCTGCGATCAAACGCAGCACCGCGTCGATCGCGTCAAATCCGGGCCACTCGCCGACGCGCGCGATGGGCTTCCCTTTTACCGCCAGCAGTTGGTCCCCGTCGGCGACGCCGTTTTTGAAGGGCGACGACCCCTTGGCGACGTTTTTGAACCGGACAACCGGGAATTTCGAAAAATCCAGTTTGAACCCGAGCATGTTGAACAGTTTCTCGTTGCTCGGCAGGCTGGAAAACAAGACTTTCGGATTGATCTTCCCCTTGTCTATTCCCCACCGCTTGAAGCCCGGGTAGAAGTTGTTCAACACTTTGTACCCGTTCAGCGCATCGTCCCTCAATGCTTTCCCGTCACAGGCCAGAAGCGACAGCTGGCAGCCGGGACCGGCAAATCGTTCGCGGCACCGTCGCTGGTAGTCCTGCTGTTCCTTGCGGAGCACCGGGAGAGGATCCGGAACTTGCCCGCGTTTCAATTTGAACAACCTTCTGGCTTCCCGATAGTCGTTTTGCAGCATGCCATATGCATTGCAAAAGTATTCGTATAAATGCATTACAAATTTCATCAGCATGAGAAAGCAAATTTGTAATGCGGATTTGAGTTAACAAGGAAATTTGTAATGCGTGACTGCCATACGAGTACGATACTTTTGCACAGGATACGCCAAGTGTTTCCCGGTTCATGGTGACGATCGCGCCGGCGCGGGTCTGCTTCTCGACGACTATTTCCTGGATCAGTTGACCGACGTCCATACCAAGCGTGAAAATCGGGATGTCCTCCGGGGGTTCCGGCGGTGGTGGGGGTCGTGGTTTTTGAGAACTAGATGTTGACCTGTGCTGTAGTCGTGAAGAGGAACTGTGGCCAGATCGGGATGTTGTAGGATGCGGTCGGGATGAACCGGATCGATGCTGGGGTTCTTCTTCTTGCGCAGAAGCAGTATTTTTCGCACGTGCTTCCGGCACGAAGAAAAACGGTCGTCGTGGCGGTGTCTTCTTACTGGTAGCGGGGAGGTGTACTTCGTGCTCTTGAATCGTTGTCACGTTTTCATCTTCTTCCTGCGAACAATTATCACCAGGTAGCCGCGGCTCCTCCGCACCGTGATCGTTGTAAAACAGCGCCCTTGTAGCTGCGGCCTTCGCTTTCCCCTTCGGTTTACTTATTTTCCTCGCCACTTCAGGAGCATTCCCTGCACCCCCGCCGAACAAACCGCCAAACAAATTCCCGAGCACACCAGCTCCGCCTGCCGCTTTCGTCCCGCCAGCGCTTCTCTTCCCGCCAGAAGCCCCCGCCTTTGCAGATAATTTCGGAGAGGACGTGCCTGAAGCCTCACGCCTGCGACGCGCTTCTTGCTCCTGGTTGTACATACGCTCCATTTCCCGTCTGTTCTTCTCGTGCTGTTCCATTAACCGCTGTCGCTCCACCCGTCCCCTCTTTGCAGTGGAAAAATAACCCGCGCCCCTGTGGGGCACGAAAGGAACTCCCTTGTCGTCCGTCAACACGACGGGAAGCTTCGTCTCCGAGTACCTATCAACAGCAAACATGTCTGGGTCAGGAAGAATGCAAGTTTGTCATGTACGTTTTGCATGAGCCATGATGTCTCTGATGTTTGTCCTAGCATCACAGATTTTCTAACGGCTTCGCGATGCCTATCCCGCATGACAAATGCCCTGTCCGCGTAGCAAAAATTGGACTCCTTTTGCTGCTCATACAATACAGATTTTTTTAGAAACCAAACGCAGCATCACAAGTTCCACCCTTCCAGACCCAGGCATATTTGCAATTCATAGTACCGGGTGACCTGCAGATTTGGGTCGTAGGTGATCTTCGCAATCGCTTCCTCCGTGACCTTATTGTGCAAAAGTATCGTACTCGTAGTCGTACTAATTGCAATTATGCATGACAAGTCTTGTTCTTAAGGTAAAACAGCATCACAAATTCCAGTTCTCATGCTCGGGAAATTTGTATATGCATTTATACGAGTGCGATACTTTTACTTTTGCAATTCATAGCCGCCCTTCTCCCGAAAAGCGGCTTTCCGGTCTTGCACCTGTTTCTCGGCGATCGCCAGCGGGTTGCCGCTGTCATCCACCGGGAGTAAGTACAGCCCAAACGGGCTGATGTCCGGCAGGGCGATGGCGTTTTCGCGAAAATTCCCGCCGAATTTCTTCTCCCGTTTCTATGAACGGACAAAATACAATTTGACCCCAGTAATAGCGTATAGCGTCACGAGAATGAAACGAGCGGCCTACGAGAATGACGCAGCAAATGGGGCTCCACCCGCTTCCAACTTTTCCCGCTCCGGACGGGGTAGAGGCTGCGCTTTTCGTAGGGCTTTGGCCCGTTTTTTCGCGCAAAGCTACTTGCTTTACACCCGGTTTGTCTCCACCCGAGCGGTCGAGTGGAGAAAAACTCCATTACAAATTCGCAAAACCGGCCGGATTTAGATGCGGTTTTTCTCCCCGCAGGAGAAAAGCCGCATCACAAATTCGCAAACTTCGATGGGCTCTTTTTCTCCCCGAGACCTCGGGTAAAGAAAGACCGCATTACAAAAGACCCGAGCTCCGGTCCTCCGCGTTACAAATGCGGAAAGGTCGGGCGCTCCACATTACAAATGCGGAAATTTACATGCGCCTTCCCAGAGCTCGGGGCTGTGGGTAATGCGGAAAGCCCGGAGCTCGGGTTCTTCGCATTACAAATGCGGAAAACCCGGGCTCTCCACATTACAAATCCCCCTTTCGCCACAAGCGGCTGCCGCCGCACCGTCGTGCGTAACCTTTTGCGCGATGCTATCACCAACCTACAAAATTCCCATTCCTCCACACACGCATCGATAGCATCGGGCATTTATTAGGTTATGCTGCATGGTATCGCTGCGTGCGAATTTCCCTCGCAGCGATACCATGCGGCATTAGGTTATGCACGAGCTGTGGCTGTCTTTTTCTGCCCCGTTGGGCGTTGTGCAGCTTCTTTTCCCCCCCAAACACGCGCGGAGCTCGGGAAAAGAAAGTTGTGGCTTAGGGAGGAAGCCCAACTTTTCCGCGCGTGGACCGACCGCCCAAAGCCGGCCCCATGGTCCCCAATGGGCGCCCGCGAGAACACGCCGAGGCCGCGCGCAAAATTGCGGCGGGGGTCTTTGTTTCGCAAGCACGCAGCCCCCTTGGTGTGGCCTTCCTATTTTGCGCGCCGGCTGCATCTACGCCGGGCCGGCCCGGGCCGGGGTTCTGATTGATGGGAGGCCGTGGGCCGTTCATTCTCTTCGCTGGGCTACTCACAAGGCAAGGGGATTCGGTATGGCGTTTTCGCGAAAATTCCCGCCGAATTTCTTCTCCCGTTTCACTTCCACGACGGTAGTGGGGACAACCGGCTTCCCCGTGTTTTTCTATGAGAGTGCACAACTCCACCCCGCCCTCCCCCTCATTTGTATTGCATGAACAGCAATACAAGCGTCAGCAAGAATACAGGTTTTGCATGACAAATTTGATTAGGATTCTAGAACTTGTCATGCAAACAGTGCCAAGAGCCAAGGCGCACACTAGGTATTTGGCATGGCAAATGAGGGGGAAGGGGTGGAGTTGTGCACTGTCATATTTTCGTCACTGGGATTACAAAAGTCGGGTGTCCCCCGACGGGGCGAACAGCTACATCTGCACGTCTTGGAGGTTTTGTTTTCGACGTCTTTGCCTTTCCACTTCTTGTTCTCCCATCTGTACTTGATGTCCTTGTTCTTTTCGGGAAGTAGATATTACTGTGCTCGACCGGGAAAATCGGCATTTTGTCAATTTTCGACACGGGGAAGATATCCTGTGCAAAAGTATCGTAATCGAACTAATTGCGTTTATGCATTACAAATACAAATCATTTTCTTAAGGCAAATCTGCATTACAAATTTAATCTGTAATGCTAAGTCAATTTGTGATGCAATTCATACTAGTACGATACTTTTGCACAGGATAGAAGATCCGTTTTCCCCGGAAATCCCGGGGTAAAACCGGCTTTCCGTCAGCGTTCAAAGGGAGAAACTTCACGCCGGGAGAGCCGAGGTTGTTGGACAACTCTTGCAAAAATTCCGCGGGAAAGTAGGACGTGGCCCTGTACTGCTTCAGCACCGGGTACCGCCCCTGCTGCGACGCGTCGTTTATGCATATGCAAAAGCATCGCACTCGTACTAGTTGCGATATTGCATCGAGAGATTTGTTTTTTTTTGCCGCTAAAGCTGAATCAATCTGAAAGTCAAACTGCATGAGAAATTGCGGTTTTATTTTGCTCGTGAAAATTTGATGTAATGCACAACTTACTTTCTTGATGCACTAGTAGTACGATTATGCTCCACCTGCATTGCGTATCATTCTCGCTGTCTTCGGAGGAATAGGCGTCGGAGCTCGGCGGAGCGGAGATGGTTTTGTTGTCATCTTCCACTTCGACCTTTTTCACCACCTTCACCTGGTGTGCCGCGTTTTTCCCCCAGAACATTCCCTTGTTGGGATCGAAAGCGGGCGGCCCTCCGCCTACGGCGGCGTCGCCATGTTGACCATCGTCAGAAAAATCCATTTCCCCCGGAAGGATTCGGTCTCCAACCGCGCGAAGGACGGGACCGTTTAGTTGTATTTCACCTCCTGTTATCAAATGCAAAAATGTCTGGGTCTGGAAGATTGCAGACTTGTCATGCATATTTCCCATGCCCCGCGAGGTCTGGAATGCAGGACCCAGCATGACAGATTCTGCAAGGTCTCTATCATGCCTATCCTGCATGAGAAACTCCCGGTCATGTTGGTCAAAAAAGGACAACTTTTGGTGATCACGCAACACAGATTTTTGTGTAACCCACAGGGCGCATCACAAATTCCATCCTCCCAGACCCAGACATTGTTGCAGTTGATACCTCCTGTAGAAGTACCGGCAACTACGAGCCCCTCCTCCTCCGCGATTCGTTTTTCCGCATCTTCGAAATTTCTTGCGATCTCCGCCGTAAAAGCCTCCTCGGAATGTTGGTGGCGGCGCAGAGAAGTTGTAGTCTTATTCTGTGGACCAGCTCTGTCTTTGTGCTGATGGTTATCGTGTTCATGCGCAGTAGAAGCATCAGAAGTTGTAGTTGTACCACGATAATTAGCGTCTGGCGTCACCATCCGCCTCTTCCATTCCCCCACCGTCGCTCCCATGTTCGTCGGCACCGCTAGGCTGGAGATGGATTCTATCCTGTGCAAAAGCATCGTACTCGTAGTAATTGCATTTATGCATTACAAATCTCTTTCTCAAGGTAAATCAGCATTACAAATTTGTAATCAATGCAGGACTAATTTGTATTGCACTTTATACTAGTACGATACTTTTGCACAGGATAGATTCCAACGTTTTACAATCCAGCCCCAATCCGCTCGCCAAGTCCCGCAACGCTGCCACCTTATTCCACTGGGCCTCGGAAGCTGCAGCTAAAAACCGGTGTCGCACCAAATACACCAACGTATCGACGAGCGCGCTGGCCACTGCGCACCTTTCCACGAATCGCCCACCCACCGACGCGATCACGTCTGGGCCGCCGTAGGCGGATTTGTTGGACGCGATATCAAATGTAAAAATGTCTGGGTCTGGAAGAATGCAACTCGTCATGCTAAATCTGAATTAGGCAAAAAACTGTGTTGCATGATTGCCAAAAGTTGTGCACTTTTGACCTAATCGAGAGGCAGTTTCTCATGCAGGATAGGCATTGGAAAGGTTTCGTAGAATCTGTCATGCGATGTCCTACATACCAGACCTCATGGGTTATGGAAAACCTGCATGACAAATCTGGCAATCTTCCAGACCCAGACACTTTTGCAATGCATACGCGACGACGTTCAACCTTTTCCCAACCAACGCCGGCCCGTGGATAGCAGAGTAGAGTCGCGTTTGTTGCTCGATGGAGGGATTTTTTTGGAAGAAGTCGTTCTGGACAAACTCGTCGTAATTCAGAAAAGCGGAACTTTCATCTTCATTTTCCAGTTTCCTCCATTCACCGGAAAGCTTCTCCCTATCCGCCACTTCCTTCTGCAACACCAACGCGCGCAGCATATGCATTGCAAAAATGTCTGGGTCTGGAAGATGCCATGCTGTTTTTGCATGACACAGAAGGT